AATTGATTGGGGATGGGGGGTGGGGGGGGGGTTGTAGGTAATATATCCTGAGGGGCAATGGTGTATGGTGTTTAGTCGCAGTGCTGTAATTGGTCGGTTGTCTGAATTTTTTTTAAGAGGTGGGGAATCCATTTTTTCGAGCCTCATCCCTCCCCTCCTTAATCTCCTGTAGCTGCGGGTCTGCTTCAGGCAGGCATAGCGACCCATTTCTCTAGATCTCGGTCAATATCTTTTATTAATTTGAACATCCAATGCCTCGACCTACTGAAAAAATCAGACTTCAATGGCCTTATTTTGGGATGCCGGTTTAGAGGGGTCCACTGTGTAGATAATAAGATGAAACATGGATATTTTAATAATTGAAACCAAGCAATGATACAACAGCCACAATAACAGAATTACCATCTAACAACAGATACTGCAACTTGTATTTATTGTTTTTGTATTTAAAGAGATTGTAAAGTGGTTTTCTGGACTTTTTTTTATTTATTATGGACTCTGATAGCACTGATCATTCCAATTTTCATTCTGATATCTGGGATTCTTGCGATTCCACTTAAACTAAACGTTTTAAGATGTTTCTATCGTAATAGCTTCTAATAATATCTAGGGGCCATTCCAATGATGACGTCATTAAAAGCACAGTTTAAGCGGAAATGCAAAAACCACAGACGTTTGCTATCAAACCTGAATTCACTTGTAATTTGACTGAAATTGACGGAAATAAATATATGTTACAGTTTAATAACCTACCGTATGTCAACACTCTCAATCTTACATATCGATTATCAGGACAAATCAGGGCACTGCACCTCGTATATTCGCACCTATAGATAAAACTAAACTGAAATAACGTTGTTGTGTATTATTGTGCGCTTAGTGGTTACATGACAGGCGTGTCGGCAATAATAAATATGACCTATATTATAACGTATTATAAGAGTGAATATTATTTTATTACACTGCATACATCACAATACATATTGACTCTATGATGTCGAGGAACATTGATAATGTCAAAGGTGCAGTCTGCGTAAGCGATGTGCTCAAATAATGAAAACTAAAGCTTATCTGAGCGTTTAACCCAAAATATTTTGGAGTTTTTAGAACTCGAAACCAAAATCTATAGAAATGTGTGTCAGGTTTTTATATAAAATTTTAAGTTTATTTTAAGAAAACTGAAACTAGTAAAAAGGCTTATGTTAATATTTAGTTTTGGAATTTATTAAGCAAAATATTTCTCCTAGAGTTTTCCACTAATAATCAATATCAGGCCGTTATAAAACCCAACATCAAAATAGATTTAAACTGCTTCATCGTTAATTAGCACACTCAGTTCTTTTCAGTGGCGGAGCGAAAGGGGGGGGGGGGAGGGGGTCGGGGGTCGGCTGACCTCGCAGCCCCAAAAGCAAGTTTTTTCGAGCAAAAATCTCATAATTAGGTTGGAAATTCGGACAATCTCAGATATTTCAATTAACAAATTAAAATATTGCATATTGCCTCTTTAATTTTGCTTATTCAATATATATATTCCTTTATATCTCTGGTTTTAGCGTCACCCGAAGATACCTTCAAACACCACAGGTGATGCCAGAGAAGTCATATCATAAAGTTTCAGAGTAATTGTTAAATCACAATGGGAATGGTGATTGCTAACAAATTATTTTTTTGCTATTTTTTGGTTCAAACATATTGTCAATATCTATATTCACATATATATTATAAACATGTATAGTCAAATATTCTCTTGTGTGAAAAAAAAAATTTCGCTCTGAATTTTGTATCGATATAGATGATTATTATAGTGATGGGCGTGTCAGTTACTCCACTGTCCTTGTAATATAATGTTATTAACTTACCTAGTTTTTATGATTCCAGACTCTCGTAATGAAGATTACACAATATAGTGATTATCACACTGTAACAACCTCTGTCCATGTCGTTTATCAGCAATATTACAATTTATATATACAGTGCACTGTTATTGCTCAATTCTTTTCTACGGAAGACTTCATTGGCCATCGTTACATACAGTTTGAGTAAGTAACTGTAAAGTTATGGAGTCGAATGTTCGAGTTACTGGGTCGAATGTTCGAGTTACTTAGTCGCTTGTTCGAGTTATTGTGTCGATTTCTCAAGTTACTAAATCGTTTGTTCGAGAAACTAATTAGATTCTTCGAGTTTCTAAGACGATTGTTCGAGTTACTGAGTTGATTGTTCGAGTTTCTAAGACGATTGTTCGAGTTACTGAGTTGATTGTTCGAGTCAATAAGTCGATTGTTCGAGTAAGTAAGTCGTTTGTTCTAGAACCTATTTAGATTGTTTGAGTTCTGGGTGGATTGTTCGAGTTACTGAGTGGATTGTTTGAGTTACTGAGTTGATTGTTTGAGTTACTGACCTGATTGTTTGAGTTACTGAGTTGATTGTTCGAGTTACTGAGTTGATTGTTCGAGTTACTGAGTTGATTGTTTGAGTTACTGAGTGGATTGTTCGAGTTACTGAGTGGATTGTTTGAGTTACTGACCTGATTGTTTGAGTTACTGAGTTGATTGTTCGAGTTACTGAGTTGATTGTTCGAGTTACTGAGTTGATTGTTCGAGTTACTGAGTTGATTGTTCGAGTTACTGAGTGGATTGTTTGAGTTACTGAGTTGATTGTTTGAGTTACTGACCTGATTGTTTGAGTTCTGAGTGGATTGTTCGAGTTACTGAGTGGATTGTTTGAGTTACTGGGTGGATTGTTCGAGTTACTGAGTGGATTGTTCGAGTTACTGAGTGGATTGTTTGAGTTACTGAGTGGATTGTTTGAGTTCTGAGTGAATTGTTTGAGTTACTGAGTGGATTGTTTGAGTTCTGAGTGGATTGTTTGAGTTACTGAGTTGATTGTTCGAGTTACTGAATTGATTGTTTGAGTTACTGAGTGGATTGTTTGAGTTACTGAGTTGATTGTTTGAGTTACTGAGTTGATTGCTGGAGTTACTGAGTTGATTGTTTGAGTTACTGATTGGATTGTTTGAGTTCTGAACGGATTGTTTGAGTTACTGAGTTGATTGTTTGCGTTACTGAGTTGATTGTTCGAGTTACTGAGTGGATTGTTCGAGTTACTGAGTTGATTGTTTGCGTTACTGAGTTGATTGTTTGAGTTACTGAGTTGATTGTTCGAGTTACTGACCTGATTGTTTGAGTTACTGAGTTGATTGTTCGAGTTACTGAGTTGATTGTTCGAGTTACTGAGTTGATTGTTCGAGTTACTGAGTTGATTGTTTGAGATCTGAGTGGATTGTTCGAGTTACTGAGTGGATTGTTTGAGTTACTGAGTGGATTGTTTGAGTTACTGACCTGATTGTTTGAGTTACTGAGTTGGTTGTTCGAGTTACTGAGTTGATTGTTCGAGTTACTGAGTTGGTTGTTCGAGTTACTGAGTTGATTGTTCGAGTTACTGAGTTGATTGTTCGAGTTACTGAGTGGATTGTTTGAGTTACTGAGTTGATTGTTCGAGTTACTTAGCCGAATGTTTGATTTACCGAGTCGCAGTTTCCAAAGTCGAATGTTGCAAAAATATTGAAGGTAAAGATGGTCCGAGGCCTCTATCGTACTTTCCTTTCCCAATAAACTTTGAAATGATTGACAATCAGTAACTAAAATTACACTGATATCTGTTATCAGTCATTGTTTGTTTACGTGGCAGATGCATTTATGGTATTATGCAATAGTAAAACTATAAAAGATAAACAAAATTATAAAGAAATTGCACTCCCCAGACAAGATATTTTATGTTGACATAGTCATTTTTAAATACCACCTATCAATATCTGAAATCAATGGAAGGCTATATAACAACTGTCTGTACACCATACTTGATCTATTTCTTTGCTTTGATAATCTTGGTAAACTGCGGTAAGTAATGGTAACAAGGTAAATGGACACACGGTGACTTGTCACATGCAAATTGGTCACAAGGTAAAGTGGTCACGTTTTACGAAAGCACAGGTACATGCATGTTGGCATAACCTCCAGTTACAGAGTATTGTTTGTACAGTTAGTCACTATTATCAATGCTACTTATTTTTCTTTGTAAATCAATACCTTGTGATCCCATATAATACACCTCCTTAACTACCAGATATTGACAATCAAACATTACGCAATATTTATCTTTTGATATCAATCTTTATTTTGTGTGTATTTTGTTGCAGCATTACTATGACCACAAAATAAATATTCAGAAGTTTAAAGCGGCAGTAAATTTCATTAATCATAATAATACAACTGAAAATATTTCTAAAGTATGCTATTTACATCTATGTATCTACTTGATCAAACTGAATTTATTCTAAAAGAGTCTTAGCTTCATGAAACTAGAATCCTTGCATTCCTTGACCCAAAAATGCAAACTTAGCCACCAAGAACGGGTTTATAACTGGCATAGATTCAGAAATAGGGCAGTGGAATAACTAAGTTGGTAGCGAGTTTGATTGTCATCTGCTACAACAGTGGAATAGCTCAGTCGGTGTCGAGTTAGATATGCTGCTAGATGATTAGGCGCCATGGTTTTGATTCCTCTTCATGGTAAAAAAATTAAGATACCATAGCAAGTGCTCTCGGAAGTCAACGCATTGTTGACCTTCAATCTTTATCACCTAACATTTGGTTTCACATCTGTTTCCAGATTATGCATCACTGGTTCTGTCAAAACGAGGCGATAATGAATCTCATATAGGAAACGTGCTGTCAGAAATACACACATAATCACATACACGTACTGTACACGTATAAATTTCTCATTAGGGTGTTCTAGGAAAGGTATATCATAAAGTTGTTACAGCTATTGGCATCAAACCAGTTCTCTCCCCTAGTAACGGCTGTACCTTCGCTTTACATAACAGACAGGTATTTTTTCGATGTAAGCACTGGCATAAACATCTGAAATGAGAATGACATGGCATTGTCAAATGTCTTACACAATTTGCTGATACATACCTTATATTTAAAATAGATTATTAAGAGGGTTTTAAGGAGATTCGTATCATTTCAATTTTAAGTCAGACATGTGTGGTTCTTACAATTCAACTAAAACTAAGAATTTGGCGAGGTAGTTAACACACAAGCCCTTAGATTAGCTTAGCTAAAATATTCCTGTTTCTGAGACTAAGGTTCACTTTTTCAAACGGATTGCGATTCTGTCTTTTTAATCCACTTACTTCTGATGAAAACCATGTTTACACGGACAGATGGCTCATTTCTCATTGGATTTAAAATCTTCTAAACACACTGGACACGACTGAAAAAATCAAAACAGAATTAAAAAATTTTAACATCAGAGCTTCAGGGTACATCAAATATTCACCATTGATCTTATATTTATCAAGGTTAGACTTTGTGTTTGAGACCTCTATTTGAATATTTCACATTTGAGTCCGTCCACAATTGCTCGTAAACATTCTAGAAGGCACAATATTTGACTGATGTCGACAAAACTTGGTATGATTGTTTGTAATCACTCAAGGATGAACCCTATAGAAAAATAATTAGTATGAGTTATTGCCCTTGTTCATGAAAACGCGTTCAATTTTAGCTTGTAATCATTCTAAAAGGCACAATTCTTGATGGATTTTGATGAAACTTGGTGTGAATGTTTGTAATCATCCAAGGATGAACCCTATCAAAAATCAGAAGAATCGAAAAGTATTTAATTTGAGTCAGAAAAATCGAAAAATAATATGTATGAGTTATTGCCCTTGTTCTTGCCCGCGTTCAATTTTTAGCCCATAAAGTCACAATTATTGATGGATTTTGACTTGGTGTGTGTGTTTGTTATCAACCAAGGATGAACCATATCAAAAATCAGAAGAATCGAAAAGTATTTAGTTTGAGTTATTGCCCTTGTTCTTAAAAACACGTTCAAGTTTTAGCCTGTAAACACGATTTTGACGAAACATCGTAACATTATTCAGTATCCCCTTAAAAAGTTCAAAAGAAGTGTATGTCTGAAGGTTGAATATTTCATACTGGTAATTATTACTGTACTGGCAAATATTTTTTATTTAAAGGAAAGCTGCCAGTGGGCGTATATTACCTTGCCCGGCAAACTATCTTATTGATTTTATTGACAATAGCAGCATGTAGATATTATAAGATTTCCTTACAACTTATATAAACTTGTTATGCATGCATATATTGATTAAGGAGCCACACAATTTTCCAGGGTTATTTCTGTCACTAGGAGGTTACAGCTATTCAAGGTGTGAAGGGGGCTTATTCTAGTAAATTTAACATACATATTAATCCAGATTAATGACATACAGTAATCTGATTGGATAATAAAACTAAATTTAGATTCTATTTTAGTGATTGACCAATCAAATAATATTTATCATCTTAACTAAAAAAGGATTATAAAAACGTCTTCTAAAGTTTGTATATGTATCGGGAACACTGATATCCTCAATTTGCACCGTTTCAATTAAGAATCCCTTTAAGTTTCTGAGAAAATGTAAACTACTTGATTTATCATACTCTGCCTTGAGGGTATTCTATACTGCATTTGATCCTTAGTATATTGTAGCCGACAATCCATCATGTGTATCTTACGGTTCGGACACACGAGCTGTCTTGGTCGGAGATTTTTGTCGACGATTAGAGTCTTAAGTAAAATTCCACGGGCTTCCACGACAAGATTATAGCGATATTCATGTGACACCGTTAATAATATTCACGGGTACAAAAAGTGCAACAAAAAGTCTACTTGTCTGTGTCTACCGATAACCTACCTCTGTAAGTTCCTTCTTGCGTGTTGAACAAACAGCTTATACTGCATATTCAAGTCTTTTTTGTCAACCTGTTTTATCATTGCATAATACCATCTACTAGGTAAACAAACAAAGGGTGATAACAGATAACAATCTTATCCTAATAACTGAAATTACCGTAGAGCCCTGGGACCATAATTAATTTCAATATTTTTGCAATATTCGACATGAGATCACGAAATCCTGCGAATAACTCAAACAATCCACTCAGTAACTCGAACAACCGACTCAGTAACTCGAACAATCAACTCAGTAACTCGAACAATCAACTCAGTAACTCAAACAATCCACTCAGTAACTCAAACAATCAACTCAGTAACTCGAACAATCAACTCAGTAACTCAAACAATCAACTCAGTAACTCGAACAATCAACTCAGTAACTCAAACAATCCACTCAGTAACTTAAACAATCAACTCAGTAACTCGAACAATCAACTCAGTAACTCAAACAATCAACTCAGTAACTCAAACAATCCACTCAGTAACTCAAACAACCGACTCAGTAACTCGAACAATCAACTCAGTAACTTAAACAATCAACTCAGTAACTCAAACAATCAACTCAGTAACTCAAACAATCCACTCAGTTACTCAAACAATCCACTCAGAACTCAAACAATCCACTCAGAACTCAAACAATCCACTCAGAACTCAAACAATCCACTCAGAACTCAAACAATCCACTCAGTAACTCAAACAATCCACACAGAACTCAAACAATCCACTCAGTAACTCAAACAATCAACTCAGTAACTCGAACAATCAACACAGTAACTCAAACAATCCACTCAGTAACTCGAACAATAAACTCAGTAACTCAAACAATCAACTCAGTAACTCAAACAATCAACTCAGTAACTCAAACAATCAACTCAGTAACTCAAATAATCCACTCAGAACTCAAACAATCCACTCAGAACTCAAACAATCCACTCAGAACACAACCAATCCACTCAGAACTCAAACAATGCACTCAGTAACTCAAACAATCCACTCAGTAACTCAAACAATCCACTCAGAACTCAAACAATCCAATCAGTAACTCAAACAATCCACTCAATAACTCAAACAATCAACTCAGTAACTCGAACAATCAACACAGTAACTCAAACAATCCACTCAGTAACTCGAACAATCAACTCAGTAACTCAAACAATCAACTCAGTAACTCAAACAATCAACTCAGTAACTCAAACAATCAACTCAGTAACTCAAACAATCTACTCAGTAACTCAAACAATCCACTCAGAACTCAAACAATCCACTCAGAACTCAAACAATCCACTCAGTAACTCAAACAATCCACTCAGAACTCAAACAATCCACTCAGTAACTCAAACAATCAACTCAGTAACTCAAACAATCCACACAGTAACTCAAACAATCCACTCAGTAACTCAATCAATCCACTCAGTTACTCGAACAGACGACTCAGTAACTCGAACAATCAACTAAGTAAGTTTAACAATCCACTCAGTAACTCAAAAAAGTCACTCAGTAACTCGAACAATCCACTCAGTAACTCGCACAATCAACTCAGTAACTCGAACAATCAACTCAGTAACTCAAACAATCCACTCAGTAACTCAAACAATCAACTCAGTAACTCGAACAATCAACTCAGTAACTCAAACAATCCACTCAGTAACTCAAACAATCAACTCAGTAACTCGAACAATCAACTCAGTAACTCGAACAATCCACTCAGTAACTCAAACAATCCACTCAGAACTCAAACAATCCAATCAGTAACTCAAACAATCCACTCAGAACTCAAACAATCAACTCAGTAACTCAAACAATCCACTCAGAACTCAAACAATCCACTCAGAACTCAAACAATCAAATCAGTAACTCAATCAATCAAATCAGTAACTCAATCAATCCACTCAGTAACTCAAACAATCAACTCAGTAACTCGAGCAATCAACTCAGTAACTCAAACAATCCACTCGGTAACTCAAACAATCACCTCAGTAACTCAAACAATCCACTCAGTAACTCAAACAATCCACTCAGAACTCAAACAATCAACTCAGAACTCAAACAATCCACTCAGAACTCAAACAATCCACTCAGTAACTCAAACAATCAACTCAGAACTCAAACAATCCACTCAGTAACTCAAATAATCAACTCAGTAACTCAAACAATCAACTCAGTAACTCAAACAATCCACTCAGTAACTCAAACAATCCACTCAGAACTCAAACAATCCACTCAATAACTCAAATAATCCACTCAGAACTCAAACAATCCACTCAGTAACTCAAATAATCAACTCAGTAACTCAAACAATCAACTCAGTAACTCAAACAATCCACTCAGTAACTCAAACAATCCACTCAGAACTCAAACAATCCACTCAGTAACTCAAATAATCAACTCAGTAACTCAAACAATCAACTCAGTAACTCAAACAATCCACTCAGAACTCAAACAATCCACTCAGAACTCAAACAATCCACTCAGTAACTCAAACAATCCACTCAGAACTCAAACAATCCACTCAGAACTCAAATAATCCACTCAGAACACAAACAATGAACTCAGTAACTCGAACAATCAACACAGTAACTCAAACAATCAACTCAGTAACTCAAACAATCAACTCAGTAACTCAAACAATCAACACAGTAACTCAAACAATCAACTCAGTAACTCAAACAATCAACACAGTAACTCAAACAATCAACTCAGTAACTCCAACAATCGACTCGAACTTTACAGTTACTTAGTCAAACTTCTTAGTCAGTTGGATTTTTTTTAAACACTATAATGTGACGATGACCAATGAAGTCTTCTGTAGAAAGAGATTAGGCAATAACAATGTACTGTATATGTAAATTGTAATATTGCTGATAAACGACATGGACAGAGGTTGTTACAGTGTGATAATCACTATATTGTGTGATCTTCATTACGAGAGTCTGGTATAATAAAACAATAGGTAAGTTAATAACATTATATTACATGGACAGTACAGTAAGCAATCATCATTCCCATGAAATTCGTTTTAAATTGGTTTCAAAAGAACTGAATGTGCTAATTAACGATGAAGCAGTTTAAATCTATTTTGATGTTGGGTTTTATAACGGCCTGATATTGATTATTAGTGGAAAACTCTAGGAGAAATATTTTGCTTAATAAATTCCAAAACCAAATATTAACATAAGCCTTTTTACTAGTTTCAGTTTTCTTAAAATAAACTTAAAATTTTATATAAAAACCTGACACACATTTCTATAGATTTTGGTTTCGAGTTCTAAAAATTAACTCCAAGATATTTTTGGTTAAACCCTCAGATCAGCTTTAGTTTTATTATTTGAGCACCTCGCTTGCCTAAACTACATAAAACTCAGACTGTACCTTTAACATTATCAATCGTCCTCAACATCATATTATAGTTAAGACATGCAGTGTATTATAAAATAATATTCTCTCTTATGATAAAGTATTATGTAGGTCATGTGTATTATTGCCGACACGCCTTTTATGTAACCAATACCTTTAAATCTAAAAGTTTTAAACAATCCCAAATCAGTTCATAACAATTACGGCATTTCTAACTAAAAATTACCGACTCGGTGACATTTTGCCGAACCGTTACTGTCTTATATAACTCTTTGCTACGTCTTATATTGCTTACATTTAGCGGGATGGGAGATTTGTATTATATTTGTTCAAATCAGAGCGCTAAATATCATTATTTATTATCAAATGGCCGGTTTTGAAATCAGAGAGGCGAACATTTGGTAAATCAAGTTAGTCCAGAGTACTACCAAACGGCTTCGGTGAAAGTTACGCTAGCGCAATGCAACCAGCTCACGGAAACTGCCGAGAATTGCCGACTGGAGTATTACTGGATCTCGAAGACTAACTTGATAGTTTAAACTCTATATAAGATCATATACACAGTAATAGATCACTGACCCATCCAAGTCTTAACTATGATAACCTTCGCCTACTACCCTACTAACTTTTGACAAGTAGAAATCTTCAGGCGAAGGACCTATTTCAGCCTAGTAACCTAACTGAACTAATTCAGCCAAGTGATCTACTGAAGTTTGACAAGTATCTTCAGACAACTGGACTATTTCAGCCTAGTCACTTACTGGCGTTTGACAAGTAGAGATCTTCAGACAACTGGACTATTTCAGCCTAGTCACTTACTGGCGTTTGATAAGTAGAGATCTTCAGGCAAATGACTTATTTCAGCCAAGTGATCTAATTGGACTATTTCAGCCAAGTGATCTATTTTAATTGAGTACATGTTATTCTCATTACTGAAAGTTTTCTACAGAATTGTAATGAACAAAGTCTCGGAAATAATAACAGTGTTACTCATTTAATATCATCGTCCAGATAGTTGAAACCATTAACGTTTAAATAACGTTATATTGGCAAGACTTGTGCTGCCGTTATATTTTCTGATGTTTGTTTGTTTCAGATTTTATTGCACCTGTAATTAAGCTGCATTAAGCTGCAGTGAACGAGACCATGATGGAAATCCGAAGAATGATGAGAGAGTGTATGAAAATTCATAACGCATATAATTGGATATCAAATTCATGTAGGACGCTATCAGGCAGTTTAAACAATCTAACCTCTCGGTACCATTATTCCAGCCAATCAAACAACACTTTAAAACCGGAAGTGCCTCAATTGCCGAAGTCAGCACGGGTTGTTATTGGTGGTGGAGGTATTAGTGGACCCAGTATAGCATATCATTTATCAGAACGAGGCTGGAACGACATTGTGTTACTAGAACAGGGAAGGTAAGGTGTTTAAATAGTGTTTTACGTCATACTATTCTGCGTTTAGGCCAATGAAGAATAATAAAGCAATGCAGAGTTGAATAATCGAAATCTTAAAAAGACAGTGTCATACAATGTTTCTGTATCCAACTGTCAAACAGTATGAGGCTGGACTTTAAGTTATGTTGTGTTTGGGTGATTTTAGTGTGAAAGGGGATGCCAGTCAACTGCGCATATATCCTAATCGTTTGCCGATTTGATTAAAAATCTTGATAACCAAATATCAAAAGTCCAAGAGAAGAAAAAAGCAGAATTTCAGCAGGAATTGTCTTTTTTAGTAAGCTATGTGGACTCCTGTTTGAGTGTATATTCCAGATTAACATGTGGTACGACATGGCACTCGGTTGGTTTATGTGGACAACTTCGCAGTGATCTAACAGAAATGAAGATAACATGTTATGGTAGAGATTTATATAAAAAATTTGAAGAGGAAGGCCATGGGATCGGTAGGTATATAATTAAACTTCTCATGTTATATTCTAGGGTCTTTTTCACAAATCACAAACGCGAGCTTCTGCTGTAAATGAGTACAGAGTAGAGGCAAGATCAATGCTAAAAGGTGATTGCACGGCAGTTTCACAGTCTGTTAGAGTGTCTGAATGCTTACATGACATCATTTGGTTGGTTATGTCGAACAAATGGGTGGTCGTAGTTTCTAATCTCAGTTGAAGTGTGAAAGTTTGGTGACCTGGAATAAGTCACTTCTCTTCATTATTCAAATCGACCAAGCTTTAAGTGAGTGCGGATAATTTTGGAATGGTTAAATGCCCAGGACCAGCAGAAAGGATCCTCGTAAGTTGTTACCTAAGATGATTATGTCTTTTTTCGTTCATTATTTCTGTATATTTATCAGGTTGGAAGGACAGTGGTAGTATCAGTTTAGCTAGAACTAAAGATAGAATGACAGATTTTAAAAGGAAACATGCTATGACCAGGTAACCCTATTTCATATCTTACTCTTCCGCCTGTATCTGGTGACAACACATCACCTACACCGCACATCACCAACACATCACCTACACCTCACATCACCAACACATCACATCATGAAACATCGCCAACACCTAACATCACAACCCCTAATCTGGGGTCACCAGCATCAAACAACCTAAATACTTGACATTTCTGCATCACCAACATCGGATATTGTCGAAGACATACATTTCTCACATCCGTCACCATTACTGGACATCACTAACTTGATATTGGCGACACCTGGCATCACCAGAATTGGCCCCGGTTCTAAAACAACGTAAACCCGTTTTATTGGAATGTATACATTATCAGTACACTAATTATTGTTCACTAAAAAAAGTGTTATTTGACTTCTAGAGCGAAATGTTAAGTAGCTTCAGGTGTTCGGAGATAGTAAGCAACGCCATCTGAATCATTAATCACGCCCACCAGAACTTTTTGGCTGATTCCATTGATTTTATAGAACATTTTTCAAACCAGACAAACAAATAATCACTGCCGGCAAGCGTACCAGTTCCAAATTTTGTTTCAGTGCCAGTGGGTTCGAAACTCATTTATTGACGCCGAGAGAAATTCAAGAAAAATGTCCCGTGATCAGAACAGACGATTTACAGGTAATGTCGAGAATCTAGTACAATTATTCTGATAATTATATTATCTGTGACATTTCCATTGGAGTCAAGAGAGGGTAGGGAGGGGGTATGAGTTGATTTGGCTTTGCTACCATGCATTGAATATGGATGCGCATTATATTCGAAATTGTACAGTATACGTAAGCCATAGATAATTTGATTAAAATTTAGATCTACGCATTTTTTTCGTGTTTATTGTGTCACTTATTACTTGAAGTCTGACAAAAAACTGTTGTAAGCAATTAACATAAAGTAAAGACATTGAAATGAATTTCCAGGGAGGTATTTGGATTCCAACTGATGGAACAGTTACTGCCCCTGATGTTACTATGGTTTTCTCTAAGCTAGCAAAGAAAAATGGTAAGTCTTTAGCAATGTCATCTTCAAAAATTCAAGCTATTACGAACTTCATACTTATACCTTGACTGAAATAGCTACTATTCTTATATCACGGAATACAACGATTTGATTGGATTATTCTGCCAATCACAACTTTCGACAGAAGGGCTGTATACATTATGGCTTCGAGTTCACAGACTACATGTCGAGATCTCTGAATGGTTGTCTTTACTAGTGTATAATCCAATCAAATCTTCCATGATACAAGAAAGGTGGCGATTGTTATACGTTTATGCTCCTAAATATGTGTCAGAATACACCAAATCAATTGAATTTTTCGAAAATTTTCTCAGGGCAACCATCTCATATCTCATTCGCTCCACGAGAGACTGGCGACAGGACGCTTCCACAGAATTGCCGCAATTTGAATTCAGCCTCAACAGTTGTCCCCCATTGAGTCAGTCTGTCCCCTATTTGTACCCCCAGTCTCACGTGGTCGCTACTATATGTTATTGAATCAAGGAATATGCCTAGGTTATCGATCCAGCTTCCCTTTATCAATAGTCTAGACTGACAGAAGAAAACGCATAAAAAAAAATCAATGATTTGTAAAAATATGCAACATTTTTGTCCAATACGAGAGTCGATACTCACAAACGTAAACATTAAAATTTCTTCTTTCAGGAGCCAAGTTTATGGAAGGTGTAAAAGTGGAGAAGATTTTAACTAAAAATGATCGAGTGACTGGGGTAGAAACTTCGGCTGGCAATATTGATTGTGAATACTTTGTTAACTGTGGCGGGTTGGTAGGTATGAGTCTTTATGCACGGTTTAACCAGAAAAGGGAAAGGAGAGGGAGGATACAGGAACCAGGAGTTCACTTCATACGTCTTCAGCTTTGAAGGAGTTATGGTAATAAACCGTCACCCTATGTCCTATTGGTACACACGATCATATTGATATATCGTCACGCTCTGTCATATTGATACACCATCACGCTCTGTCCTAATGATATAGGCCTACCGTCACGTTGAAATGGATCTGTCACTTAAACCTCTAGGTCCTAGACCGATATATTCCTGTTTTCAAATTTAAATCGGTGAATATCGTCCAAATTGTTATAAACATGTCGAAAAGCCGAAATGGATTGCGGGATAAAGTCCATAGTAGAGAAATATGACGGCCTTTTTCAGTTTTACTATCCTTCAATTCGTCATTGTTATCAAGGAACGGGTCATACAAATACATGCTTTAATTGATTAGAAATTAAGTCATTAGAACAAGACTTTGGTAGAAAACTTGTAAGATTACATCGGATACAGAAAATATCAGAAAAAATGCACGAAATACCAATCTATTTCAAGAAAACAAATCAGATCCTGAATTGTATTGTTGAATTGATGTATGTATATATTATTGAAATATTTCAGTGGGCGAGAGAGATGGGAATAAAGAGCACGCCCAATGTATCCTTGCCCCTACACTCCTGTGAACATTTTTACGTGGTCACCAAACCATTGAAAGAAGTGGAGAGGTTGATGCCAGGTAAGATTACATTACTGTCTTGTTGAACAACGCAACAACGTCTGATTTCTGCCAATGGCGTCGATAAAAGAAATGAAAGTCCATAATCGGAAAGTTACTAATATCTTCCAAAATAAGTCATGATACCCAAAAAGTATCGGTGTTTTTCCCCAATTTTTTGTCCTGCAGAAAGCTCAGAATTCAAATTTCAAAGTATTGCAGTTGATTTTCCCAAATGTAAAGGCCTATAGGGTGAAACAAATATTTCATTTAGAAATTGATACAAGTGGTCTTGATTCGCTGGGTAGTTAACTTTGTAATCGTTATTTATATTCCATTGTTCTGACAAAAAGAATGGTTTCTAATCTAAATGATTTCAATATTAATTCTATATAATATGTAGTAATCAGAGATCATGATGGTTATATATGTATACGAGAATGGAACGGCGGCCTGTGTATTGGGGGATTCGAACCCAACCCCAAACCTTGTTTCCATACCGGTGTTCCTGATAAATTTGAGTTCCAACTCTTACCAGAAGATTGGGATCAGTTTCGTAAGTTAGTTTACCTATTCACTAATTCCAATCCAAAAAGAATTGATAGTGAGAATGGGGATCTGTGCCGTTACAGCTTCACTGGTTTATTTCTTGGTCTTTTTATAATTCTTTTTGCATTAATAAATGTTACTCAAAATGATTTGGGTGCTTGTTTTACTATTAAAAAAAAGGACAATTGTAAATTGTGGTTGGCTGTCCTTGAACACCGAGCCATCGATTAGCCGTCAGCTGCTAACAATTGTTCAAAATATAAAATGTCGAACTGAGCAGATGTCACTAAGCTAATGAATGACATGTTGCAGCAAATGTGATTTTTTAAATCATGTGGTCTAGATCCAACGATTAATCATACTCTCTCAGCATACATTAAAAAATCAAGCTGTTCTCAGATTCTGACATTCGCAAGATCGACCAGAGTCGTTATTATAAAATGACAGGTGCCCGGTGATAGAGTTTCCATAAGTAAGATGTATATTATTATATTGTAGAGGTTCTAATGGATGAATGTCTCCTTCGTGTACCAATCATGCAGAAAGCTGAAATTCGACAACTTGTGAACGGTCCGGAAAGTTTTACGCCTGACTCTAATTGGTTGCTAGGGGAAACACCAGAGGTGAGAAATGATCCATTTCCATATTATTCATTAGCTGATAGACAGGATATATTTATTAATATCAGCGCACGTTTCGGTTATAAATTCCACTTTCAGGGAGTCTCTTTGAAATTGAGTTCAGTGTACAATTATGAACCGGGGCTAAAAAAAAGGGGGGGAGGTAGTCTATTTCATCTCTCTAAATATCTTACTCCTAATGGGTTTCAGTATAAGAATGAAGTCAGATAGAGTTTAATTTCTTATTTTTCTGTTCCTAAATGGGCAACGCCAAGTAGTGCTTAATGGGGAAAATTTGTTAAGAGTTAACAGAATAAGAGCTCATTGAGAGGAGTGGTATTATCTACAAGATGAAATGAATTGAGTTTGAATTTCCGTGTTTCCGTTTCTGAATAAAACACCAATCAGTGTACAATGGAGATATATCTCTTTGTCTAGTATCTAGTCTGATTGTTTCAGATTAGTAATTATTACGTGGCTGCGGGAATGAATTCAAGGGGAATAATCAGTAGTGGTGGTGTTGGTAAATATATGGCTGAGTGGATTATTGATGGTAGACCCAGTATAAATCTCTGGAAATACGATGTCCGTAGATTCACCAAACAGCATAATGATAACAGCTTCTTAAAAGACAGGATTTGTGAAGTATTGGGTGAGTTGGGTAATACAACTCTTGTTCATACGAGTAGGAGCCCGAATAAGATATTAGACCAGGCGGCGGTCTTGTTGATTTCTGACTCGTAAATTATCATCATTTCGTCAACTTGTTTCCCAAAACATTGTGCTCCGTTTAATGTGATATTTATCCATTAATGAACGGGAAAATATTCACCGGATTCAAAACATCAAGAATTGTTTAAATATTAAAACTCCAGTCACTGGAACTATTTTATTTCATTTTTTATACCAGGCAAAATGTTCAGTTTGAATTACCCTCAGACAGAACAATCTACTGGTAGAAAACTCCAGACCACACCGTTACATGATGTCTTACAGATATCAGGGGCTGTTTTTGGTCAGACCATGGCATTTGAACAACCCCTGTGGTTTGATAGCAGTCGTGATAAAGCAGGTAGGATAATTATATTGTATACAGTTGAGAGTCATATCATGGTTATTGGTGTGGTTTCCCTAGGATTACAGTTGAATGATTTGGATTCATAGAGTTCTTATCCAGCTACGATTGTGTGGTCGATGAACTGGTAAGCATATCACCACGAATGAATGGACAGTGAGCATCATTTTACACATAATATATTATATCATCGCTGTGATCCTGATAACAGCACTCCAGCCAGCACTTATCCAACTGCCTTCTATGAGCACTAAGATATTGTCGTCGCCCTCATCTACTTTATATATAATATTTGAACATATTTGTGTTATATTTATAGGGTTGTATTTAAGGTTAATTTATTTTTAAAACGACCATTTTATTACACTAATATCATATTATTATAAAATATATATGTTTCTTTTCATTACAGATCAAGATCTATATATTCATAAAGGATCGTTTGGTAAACCAGTGTGGTTTGATTCAGTACAACATGAATACAGGGTTTGTAAAGATGCTGTAGGACTGGTTGATGTATCAGCTCAAACCAAACTAGAAATTAGGGTGAGTTAAAAAGTATTTTGGTATGTAATAATGTTGTATTAAATGTGGTCTGACTGAATTGTATCCAATCAATGTGTCAAGGGAGATAATTATATATTAACTGTGGTCTGGGAGATAATAGTAGGTTAACTGTTATCTGACTGAATTGTCTTCCATTAGGGAGATGATATTAGATTAATTATGGTCTGTATTTCAGTCTGCTGGAAACGAAGCTCTGGAATATCTTCAGTATCTTTGTAGTAATAATATAGATTTAGAAAAAGGAACCATTATTCATACTGGTATGCAGAATGAACAGGGTGGTTTTGAGAATGACTGCAGTATTGCCAGATTAGGGAACAATAAGTAAGTGACTACAGTATTGCCAGATTAAGGAACAATAAGTAAGTGACTGAAGTATTGCCAGAATAGGGAACAATAATTAGTGACTGCAGTATTGCCAGATTAGGGAACAATAAGTAAGTGACTGTAGTATTGCCAGATTAGGGAACAATAATTTAGTGACTGCAGTATTGCCAGAATAGGGAACAATAACTAGTGACTGCAGTATTGCCAGATTAGGGAACAATAAGTAAGTGACTGAAGTATTGCCAGAATAGGGAACAATAATTAGTGACTGCAGTATTGCCAGATTAGGGAACAATAAGTAAGTGACTGTAGTATTGCCAGATTAGGGAACAATAATTTAGTGACTGCAGTATTGCCAGAATAGGGAACAATAACTAGTGACTGCAGTATTGCCAGATTAGGGAACAATAAGCAAGCGACTACAGTGTTGCTAGATTAGAGAACAATAATTAAGTGACCATGTAGAAAACATCATTACTTTGTGACTATCATGTGGTAAGTCGAATGCCTGTGAAATAGCAAAAAAACCAAATCTACCAATTATGAGAATATTACCATGGCCTAGATTTTCATTTTGATGAAAGTCATTTTATATTTTCGTGTTTTTTATACGCCCACATTATTGTGTGGACGTATATTGTCGTCACCCATGTCCGGTGTGAATATATAATGATGAGATCTTGGACAAGTTCGAATTTGGCTATCTTTAATGAACGTTTTTTGAGTTATTGCCCTTAACTTATGAAAAATGCGTCAAAATTTGGATGTGAACACAATAAAGACTACAGTTTTCATACAATTTAAAAGGAAATTTGGTGTTAATACTTATAATGATGAGATCTTGGACAAAATCGAATTTGGCTATCTTTCGATGAATGGTTTTTGAGTTATTGCCCTTGATTTATGAAAAACCTTGTTTTGTGAACACAATAGAGAGTACAGTTTTCATCCAATTTAAATGAAATTTGGTATGATCATTTATAATGATGAGATCTTAGTCAAGATTAAATTTGACAATTTTTCGAATTTGAGTTATTGCCCATGATTTAGTAAAAACGCATCAAAATTTGTTAGCGACAGAGGTGACAGTTTCTGTCAGAATTTTATTAAATAATGTGTGTTTGTTTGATCAACAATATCTTGCACAAATGAGATTTTTGGTATGATTTGACACAGATAGGTGACTGCCCTTGATATACTGAAAATGTGTCAGGAAAGTGGGCGTATCTTGCTAGGCAACCACTTGTTCCTTTTTTCAGTTTCTTCATGATTTGTCCTGCAACTCAAAAGACTCGAGCATTGTCATGGTTACGACGACATTTACCAGCAGACGGCTCTGTTCAAGTCAGTGACGTCACGTCCATGTATTCTGGTATTAAATTGATTGGACCACACGCTCAAGCTCTTCTGGATGACGTCACTGATGTATCAACACAGAAAAAAGATTTTGAAGTCATGACCTGCAGAGTACGTCTCTTTACATCACATCTTTTTAAATAAAATTGAGAAATGTTCATACATTTCTTGTCATGAAATAGCAAAAAATGATTTGTGACTTTTGGCGGGGAATTATTATGTATACAGAAGTTTTTACAGGTGTAAAACATATTTCCGGAGCTACAGGATCCTTGTGAACCTTAATTGTTATCCATGTAAGATCAATGTCAAATTTTTGGCCAAGACAAGACAGCATCCTCTCAAGTTTTTTTCCATGTACAAAATGCTTTGTTTTCTTTCTCATCTTAATAAGCTGATTCAATATCTGTTGTATTTTGTATATTATAGTTTATAGATGTGGGTAATGCTAGTGGTATTCGAGCCATGAGACTGACACATGCTGGAGAAGATGGTTTTATTCTCTATATCCCATCTGAGGTTTGGTTCTATTTTAGATTTAAAATCACTAGCAAAAGCTCCAGTTATCAACACACTGATCATTTCTGTTTAAACTACTGTTAAAATCACAATGAAGATAAATCATAAAATCATTACACGTCAGATATTACCTTTGAAAAAGTAAATATTTTGGACCACAAATATTGACAAAATTTGAATTTGCTATTGTTCAAGTTCAAGGTGGGATACCGTCTTCCATTTTAGCACCTTTAACTTTCAGCAATAATTTCTAAAAAAATGGCAGACCATCAATATTGACTGGAAACCTCCCGTAAAAAGTTTCAAATTTGTTGTCACTGCACTGTCTATCTATCCATGTTATATTTCAGTATTCTCTCCATGTTATATTTCAGTATTCTCTCCATGTTATATTTCAGTATTCTCTCCTTGTTATATTTCAGTATTCTCTCCATGTTATATTTCAGTATACTCCATGTTATATTTCAGTATGCTCCCCATGTTATATTTCAGTATTCTCTCCATGTTATATTTCAGTATGCTCTCCATGTTATATTTCAGTATTCTCTCCATGTTATATTTCAGTATTCTCTCCATGTTATATTTCACTTACGCTGTCCATGTTATATTTCAGTATGCTATCCATGTTATATTTCAGTATTCTCTCCATGTTATATTTCAGTATTCTCTCCATGTTATATTTCAGTATTCTCTCCATGTTATATTTCAGTATGCTCTCCATGTTATATTTCAGTATGCTCTCCATGTCATATTTCAGTATGCTCTCTATGTTATATTTCAGTATGCTCTCCATGTTATATTTCAGTATTCTCTCCATGTTATATTTCAGTATGCTCTCCATGTTATATTTCAGTATATTCTCCATGTTATATTTCAATATGCTCTCTATGTTATATTTCAGTATGCTCTCCATGTTATATTTCAGTATGCTCCCCATGTTATATTTCAGTTTGCTCTCCATGTTATATTTCAATATGCTCTCCATGTTATATTTCAGTATGCTCTCCATGTTATATTTCAGTATGCTCCCCATGTTATATTTCAGTTTGCTCTCCTTGTTATATTTCAGTATGCTCTCCATGTTATATTTCAGTATGCTCTCTATGTTATATTTCAGTATGCTCTCTATGTTATATTTCAGTATTCTCTCCTTGTTATATTTCAGTTTGCTCTCTGTGTTTTATTTCAGTTTGCTCTCCATGTTATATTTCAATATTCTCTCCTTGTTATATTTCAATATTCTCTCCTTGTTATATTACAGTATGCTCTCCATGTTATATTTCAGTACGCTGTCCATGTTATATTTCAGTATGCTCTCTATGTTATATTTCAGTATTCTCTCCATGTTATATTTCAGTATGCTCTCCATGTTATATTTCAGTATGCTCTCTATGTTATATTTCAGTATGCTCTCTATGTTATATTTCAGTATGCTCTCCATGTTTATGACACACTGATGACTGCAGGAACTGATTACGGTATACGTAACGCAGGATATTACGCTATTCGTCATCTTAGAGTTGAAAAATCGTTCGCTTACTGGGGTCTTGATTTAGATGAACATACTACTCCATTAGAATGTGGTCGAGAATTTAGAGTTAAATTTGGTGTGAGTTGATGTTTTTTTTTTAAACCCATGACACCAGGGGCATGTATTTTTGAGAAAAAAAACCATTAATTTTAGAAAACAGTAATCTGATTGGTTATACAATTTGAATTTTTGAATCAAGTTTTGATATAACTTTCCTTTTTTATTTTCATCTTTCCCCGTTAAGTTACAAATATCAAAGTATATAAATTGGGGTCTCTGTTAAAGAAAATTTTCTTTTGATTTCAGAAAGATTTCATCGGTAAGGAAGCTCTTCAGAAACAGAGGAAGGAAGGAGTGAGTCGAAAGTTCGCTCAGTTTATGTTGGAAGATTTCGATGTTGATACGGATATTTGGCCGTGGGGTGGGGAACCTATTTATAGAAACGGTGTAAAAGTTGGTAGCACTGCAACGTGTGGATATGGATTCACGCTAGAACGAATGGTTTGTTTAGGATTTGTCAGTGACCTTGATCAAAACGGAAATCCCAAAATCAATCCTCAGATTAACGATTATGTGATGGATAAAGAAGCAGTGTATGAGATAGATATTAGTGGAAAACGATTTAAGGCCAAACCTGGTATACATACTCCCAAACTTGCTCTTTCTAGTGTCGACCCTTCATTACTAGCATTCATACAAAAAGATACTTAGATCAAATTTTGATATTTTATTATATTTATTTATGACCCTAATGCTGTTTTTGTTGTGAGTTTGTGACCAGCAAGACATTGAAGATCCTATTACACCTACATGTTGTTACTGGATATTCAGATACAGTTACTAGTGTAGCCTTAAGATCAATGGCTGCTTACTGGGTCACAATCTGGTAGCTATTGTTATAAACAGATAGCAGCAATTAACTATTGAATTCTGGTCACAGTTATAGTATTACAATAAACTACATTATTATGTGTTTCTTTAGTTTAATACGATGTTCAGTTGCATTTTGACCTAATCATGTCAATATCAATTAAAATATATTCTAGCCTATTAAAAACTGTTTATTGTTGATGGACAACAAGCAATGGATATCCCATAATTACACATACTTCATGGACAAATTGGTTGAAAATATTACTTAATGTAACTTTTGTTCCGTTTTTTTTAATAGCCTTTATTTTTTTATTATGGCCACTTATAACGACAGTCCTTTTGACCTAACCTCCCAAGCGCTGGCATTTTGTGACCGTTGTTTTCATCGTTAAGTCAAAAGCTAAATTTGCCGAATGCTTTGAATTCAAAATGGCGACCATCAAAAATATTTTGTTGTTGATATTTCTGAATCTTGTTCTCTGCAGCTAACTGTACATTTTTAGGGTCAAGGAATCAAACTGTGCATGTTTCAAGTGGCTAATACTACCGCCATGTTGAATTTCAAAATGGCACCATAACAAATCTATAAATGTCGATATTTCTGGATCTATCTATGTCGGCCATACACCCGTTCTAAATCGTAAACCCTTTCCTAATTGGTGTTCTTGTACGTTTTGGAGAGAAGGAATCTTCCAATGAGTGGTTACAACTGCCGCCATTTTGGATTTCATGATGGTGGCAAAGTAAAATATAGGTGCTTAACCCAATATTTTGTTAGTCTTGTCATCAAGGTCACACGGGAGAGTGAAGCCCCAAATATATGTCTTTTGCACCAGGTGATGATTTGATGGGAACGGGGAGCAGTTTTGAAGATTGGAGTGTACTGTCCTCCTGGTGTCACGCTCATTGCATGGAATAACAGTCGCGACTGTGAAAAATGTCCTCAAAATGGGCAAAGAAAACTTCGACTTCTTTTGCAATGGAGCGTTTGGTCGACAGATCAAAGCCACCCAGTGTATCATCAAGCGCAATATGTTGCCAATATTGTATCACAATCTGTTACAGCATGGTACAATGTAAGTACCTATGACTTATCAGGTTCCAGATCTCCCTTTTATGCTGCTATGTAGCGCCAAATCCTGCCTATCACGAGCTCAAGCCAGAGTTCACACAGTTGTAGCTGTCGCTAGTGCAATGACCAGAATGACAACAGTCACTGTCCAGATAAGTATGTTTACACCCCATAGCATCTATTGCATGTATCACCATTCGGATGTCGGTCTCCTGCTGTTTGCATGGTGCCAAGGTGGGAATGTCTTCCTGGGGTAGGGCTGGGATTCCTTCTCCCTTGTTGGTGTACGGATCCCACAATGGTTCAAAACGAGATCAATGCCGAGCCATAGTGTTAGATATGGAGCAGACATACCATGTCACATATTCTATGAATATTCTGCTGCCACCTGGCTTCAGCATCTGAACTAATAAAGTATGGCACAGATGGCAAGTGGCGAACCTGTGTTCTTGATAGCAAGCTCTTCTATGGGCTTGAGTAGGTCTGACGTGCTGCTGAATGGAAACTGTCCTTCTTGGGAAAGTGCTGGAGGTTAAGCTCTGACTTGAAGAACTCATCCAAGTCTCGAAAAGAGTTTTGTGTCATGCTTTGAAGGACCTAGCTGAAACCTTTTTTTGCTAACAGCAGTGGCTTTTGTTGAGCCGACCATTGACAACTTATTTCGCTTGCTGTAATCAATGAGTGGCTTTGATCTGTTGACCAAACGCTCTATATCAAAGAAATGTTATGGTACCGTTGTGGTACCAGCAGATCAGTACTTTGGTAGTTGCCTCGAAGGTTTGAACTTTGAACACATAACATATCTTGACGCCAAGATTCTGGACATCACTTTCCTGTGTGGCTTTGTTGTAACGAAATATTAGATTAAGCACCTAGATTTGGCTGTCTTTAAATGGTAGCAGTTCTAGCTGTTTGAATCAATGGATTTTGTTCCCAAAATGTAGAATTAGCCACTAAGAACCGGGTTTATAGCTGACACAGATTCAGAAATAGACTTTTGGTGGTTCCCATTTTGAAATTCAACATGGCGGCATCTGTAGCCACTTGAAACATAAACCATTGAATTCCTTGACCCTAATATGTACAAGTAGACACCAAGAACGATTTTATAGCTGACATATATACGTAGATAGAAATATTAACTATGGAGAGTTTTTTCATTGTGGAATTTCATTTGTTGCTTGTATCATACAATGCACAATGGGTTTGCTATGCCGCAGGACTATTAGTATTAATTACTATTCAAGAATCATTTAATTCAATTATACTATTCATAACTTTTATTAATTCATACATCGTTAGAGAAAAGTGCTATGCAATTTCATGAAATTGAACAGTGATTTCCAGATAGCTAACGAGCTTGGGCGTGGGAATTTGGGCGTTGGTACTGTCTAACTGTCATTACTACCTGTTGCAAATACTTGTCATGATTTATGTTTTGTGTCTCGTTTTCAACACATAAATCAACGTCTACTTCTTGTGAAATGGAAGCCATCTTTTGTAACACAATATGCAAAATTTATTCACAGATAATAGAAACAGAAAATAACCTTTGTAACATAAAACACAAGATTATAATTCATCAAACATTTCAAAACAACTAATATAAAAATCACAAGTTATATAACAAAAACAATACAGATAACAAAAGATATACATACAATCTAATTAAAACATAAATCTACAGGTTTCGTTCGTTTGTTTTAAAGGTGTGAGTCTACTAGTTGTTTAGGTTCTGAATAACCTAATAAAAATGAGACCAAACTTTCGTTCCATTTGGTTTTAGCTTTTATTTTTAATATAGCAACTTCAGTAAGGGTCTGAAGACTGGCCTCTTGAAAAATCATCATAATACCTTTAATTACACTGAGATCTGACAAAATTGCTATGGTCTCTGATCAATAACAATTTGTCTATAAAATGTGTGGAATTATGGGATATCCAATGCTTGTTGTCAATCAACAAAATACAGTTTTTAATAGGCTAGCATATATTTTAATTGATATTGACATGATAAGGTCAAAATGCAACTGAACATCGTATTAAACTAAAGAAACACATAATAATGTAGTTTGTTGTAATACTATAACTGTGACCAGAATTCAATAGTTCAGTATTACTATCTGTTTATAACAATAGCTACCAGATTGTGACCCAGTAAGCAGCCATTGATCTTAAGGCTACACTAGTAACTGTATCTGAATATCCAGTAACAACATGTAGGTTGTCTTGCTGGTCACAAACTGACAACAAAAACAGCATTAGGGTCATATATAAATATAACAAAATATCAAAATTTGATCTAAGTATCTTTTTGTATGAATGCTAGTAATGAAGGGTCGACACTAGAAAGAGCAAGTTTGGGAGTATGTATACCAGGTTTTGCCTTAAAACGTTTTCCACTAATATCTATCTCATACACTGCTTCTTTATCCATCACATAATCGTTAATCTGAGGATTGATTTTGGGATTTCCGTTCTGATCAAGGTCACTGACAAATCCTAAACAAACCATTCGTTCTAGCGTGAATCCATATCCACACGTCGTAGTGCTACCAACTTTTACACCGTTTCTATAAATAGGTTCGTCGCCCCACGGCCAAATGTCCGTTTCAACATCGAAATCTTCCAACATAAACTGAGCGAACTTTCGACTCACTCCTTCCTTCCTCTGTTTCTGAAGAGCTTCTTTACCGATGAAATCTTTCTGTAATCAAAAGAAAGTATACTGGATTAGAGACCCAAAACTGACTATTTTTAAGAATTTCACTTGACTTTGGTAAATGAAATGAGATAAGGCTGATTACATCCTGGCCATACCAGACCGTCTTAATACACTTTGAGAAGACTATGGTATGTTTCATACAAACAACACTAAGCTGGAATCAAAGTTTTAAAAAACAGTAATCTGATTGGTAGATACAGTTTAATTTATAAATCAATCAATGAAATTAATTTTACACTTATCTTTAATGACCAATCAAATTACAGTATTTGTTAAGATATTGATTTTATCTAAGTTGATATATTAACCTGCCTCTGGTCTCATGGGTTTAAAAAAAACATCAACTCACATCAAATTTAACTCTAAATTCTCGACCACATTCTAATGGAGTAGTATGTTCATCTAAATCAAGACCCCAGTAAGCGAACGATTTTTCAACTCTAAGATGACGAATAGCGTAATATCCTGCGTTACGTATACCGTAATCAGTTCCTGCAGTCATCAGTGTGTCATAAACATGGAGAGCATACTGAAATATAACATAGAGAGCATACTGAAATATAACATAGAGAGCATACTGAAATATAACATGGAGAGCATACTGAAATATAACATGGAATGAAATATCACATGGAGAGCATACTGAAATATAACATGGAGAGCATACTGAAATATAACATGGAGAGCATACTGAAATATAACATGGAATGAAATATAACATGGAGAGCATACTGAAATATAACATGGAGAGCATACTGAAATATAACATAGAGAACATACTGAAATATAACATAGAGAGCATACTGAAATATAACATGGAGAGCCTACTGAAATATAACTTGGAGTGAATACTGAAATATAACATGGAGAGCATACTGAAATATAACATGGAGTATACTGAAATATAACAGGAGAGAATACTAGAAATATAACATTGAGAGCAAACTGAAATATAACATAGAGAGCCTACTGTAATATAACAGAGAGAGCATACTGAAATATAACATGGAGAGCATACTGAAATATAACATGGAGAGAATACGGAAATATAACATGGAGTATACTGAAATATAACATGGAGAGCATACTGAAATATAACATGAAGAGAATACTGAAATATAACAAGGAGAGAATACTGAAATATAACATGGAGAGAATACTGAAATATAACATGGAGTGAATACTGAAATATAACATGGAGAGAATACTGAAATATAACATGGAGAGAATACTGAAATATAACATGGAGTGAATACTGAAATATAACATGGAGAGAATACTGAAATATAACAGAGAGAGCATACTGAAATATGACATGGAGAGCAAACTGAAATATAACAGAGAGATCATACTGAAATATAACATGGAGATCATACTGAAATATAACATAGAGAGCATACTGAAATATAGCATGGAGAGAATACTAAAATATAACATGGAGAGCATACTGAAATATAACATAGAGAGAATACTGAAATATAACATGGAGAGAATACTGAAATATAACATAGAGAGCATACTGAAATATAACATGGAGAGAATACTGAAATATAACAGGAGAGAATACTAGAATATAACATAGAGAGCATACTGAAATATAACATGGAGAGAATAATGAAATATAACATGGAGAGAATACTGAAATATAACATACAGAGCATACTGAAATATAACATGGAGAGAATACTGAAATATAACAGGAGAGAATACTAGAATATAACATGGAGAGCATACTGAAATATAACATAGAGAGAATACTGAAATATAACATGGAGAGAATAATGAAATATAACATAGAGAGCATACTGAAATATAACATGGAGAGAATACTGAAATATAACAGGAGAGAATACTAGAATATAACATGGTGAGAATACTGAAATATAACATAGAGAGCATACTTAAATATAACATGGAGAGAATACTGAAATATAACAGGAGAGAATACTAGAATATAACATAGAGAGCATACTGAAATATAACATGGAGAGCATACTGAAATATAACAGGAGAGAATACTAGAATATAACATAGAGAGCATACTGAAATATAACATAGAGAGCATACTGAAATATAACATAGAGAGCATACTGAAATATAACATTGAGAGCAAACTGAAATATAACAGAGAGATCATACTGAAATATAACATTGAGAGCATACTGAAATATAACATGGAGAACATACTGAAATATAACATGAATAGCATACTGAAATGGAGTCTTATGTATTGGCTTACGAATATAGACAGAGAAAAATTATCATGTAATTCTTCACCAGTGGCTTTCCATTGATGGATTGCTATTTTTTAAATGATCGCCAATGGTCGAAGGTGCTAAAATGGATGACAGTAACTCACTTTGGACTGACTACAGCAAATTTATATTCTTAAAACATTTGTGGTCCAAAATATTTCATTTTGCATGTTACCATCAACTGTATAATGATTTCATGATTTATCTTTCCTTTTGATTTAAATAATGGTTTGAAAAGAAATTGTGAGTTGCTGGTGATCGAAAAGTTAAAATAGAACCAAACCTCAGAAGGAATATAGAGAATAAAACCATCTTCTCCAGCATGTGTCAGTCTCATGGCTCGAATACCACTAGCATTACCCACATCTATAAACTATAATAAACAAAATACAACAGATATTGAATCCACTCTTTATGATAAGAAATAAAGAAACGACCATTTTGTACATGGAAAAAAACTTGGGTACTTGAGGATTCTGTCTACAAGCTTGTCATTTGTCAAACCTCTCGATTATTTATACCCATTAACAATTGATTCAACTGGAATAATGAGAAGAGATGACTTCAAAAACAACAGACTTATTCTAACCTATATTAGAACCAACAAACACCAATTGTTTGTTGTTACCCTACAAATGATGCTCTAAAAAAAAGTGATACTCTCTGCATTTCTGTATTTCATAAATTACAAATCCACTTCTTAATTATCTCAAAAAAAGATGCGATTTAAAGAGACGTACTCTGCAGGTCATGACTTTAAAATCTTTTTTCTGTGTTGATACATCAGTGACGTCACCCAGAAGAGCCTGAGCGTGTGGTCCCATGACATTAATACCAGAGTACATGGACGTGACGTCACTGACTTGAACAGAGCCGTCTGCTGGTAAATGTCTTCGTAACCATGACAATGCTCGTGTCTGTTGAGTTGCAGGACAAATCATGAAGAAACTGAAAAAAGGAAAAACACAGAATTATTAAATGATTGCCATAGAAGGAAGATCCAGGCCTTGTATTCTCAAAACGATCTTAGCGCTTGGATGTCCTAGATTCTAATCTTCTAATATTGATTTTAGGACATCTTAGATCATTTCTAGAATACACAGCCTGGTTAGAGTAACATTATCATAATTGCTAGATTTGGTTACTTGCTCTCTCTATAAGTAAAGTTATTTTATTGTGTTCTAGAGAATCATACAGTTCTCCATTACAAATAATAAAGAACTTCTCACAAATACCAAATATTTTCTGGCGGTTTTCGGAGGATACAATGCTTTCTAAAAATTTGAAGAGGGGCTAAAATCCTCTTATCTTACTCTAATCTGACAAAACAGGCATCGAAGCCTTAACTTTTAGGGATATTTGCTCCATAATTACTCACAATATTTCAGTAATTGGATTGGTTTGATCACAATCAGAGCAACTTCTCAGAGTAATAACAGGATTCACCTTAGTCCTCAATTATTACCTAATCTGTCAACACTGCAGTCATTTATTTATTGTTATTGTTCCCTAATCTGGCAATACTGCAGTCTCTTACTTATTGATTGTTCCCTAATCTGGCAATACTGTAGTCTCTTACTTATTGTTCCCTAATCTGGCAATACTGAAGTCACTTACTTATTGTTCACTAATCTGGCAATACTGCAGTCACTTACTTATTGTTCCTTAATCTGGCAATACTGTAGTCATTTAATTATTGTTCCCTAATCTGGCAATACTGAAGTCACTTACTTATGTTCCCTAATCTGGCAATACTGTAGTCACTTACTTATTGTTCCTTAATCTGGCAATACTGTAGTCACTTAATTATTGTTCCCTAATCTGGCAATACTGAAGTCATTGACTTATTGTTCCTTAATCTGGCAATACTGTAGTCACTTACTTATTGTTCCCTAATCTGGCAATACTGCAGTCATTCTCAAAACCACCCTGTTCATTCTGCATACCAGTATGAATAATGGTTCCTTTTTCTAAATCTATATTATTACTACAAAGATACTGAAGATATTCCAGAGCTTCGTTTCCAGCAGACTGAAATACAGACCATAATTAATATATCATTATCTCCCTTGACACACTAATGGGAGACAATTCAGTAAGACTACAGCAAATATATATCATTATCTCCCTTGACGCATTAATGGGAGACAATTCAGTCAGACCACCGTAAATCAGAGACAATTCAGTCGGACCACAGTAAATATATCATTATCTCCCTTGACACACTAATGGGAAACAATTCAGCCAGAATCAATACACCCGAAGAAACACTAATGGTAAATTTCTCCTTTATTTCTTCCTACTTTATTTTAAGATTACACTAAAAAAAAGGCCACCTTTTTTGAGTATATGGTCTCTAAAAAAAATTCCATGTTGACAAGCTGCTTGTAGCAGCTTGCAGCAACAAGCAATCATAAAAGGTGAATGCCTACTAAAGTAATCATTGAAATGAGGACTGTTAGAAAGATACCATCACCAGAAACTTTCAGAAACTTTTTCAAATTTGTCCTTACCTTAATCTCAAATTTAGCGAAATTGGACATGTCAATCAGACAAACACGTTCTTTACAAGCCCAATATTCATCTTGAGTAAATTCAAACCAGGCTGGCTTGGTGTAGGATCCCTGATGGATGTATGAGTCTTCACCTCTATCTGAAATACACACACTAGATAGTTTTTGACTTTTTCCCAAGATTGACAAGAAAAGGTCTTTATTCAAAGATTTGAATCCACATCTATCAACATAATTTATAAGTTGACAACATCAATAACGCAGATATGAAATGAGTTCAATATTCAAACTACCAAGATGGAATGAATGATGAAACCAGGTGTACTGCACACACTACAAAAACATTTCCCAATTTGCAAACATGATTCATTCAAGAGGGAGATAAACCATGTTCAACATGAAAATTTCTATCAAAATCTATAATCATCAACTTGGGGATTCAAATCCCTCAGCAGGTTAGAAACATTCTAATATCATGCCATGGTCAATGTTTTATAGATAGGGCTGCTCTTGACTCTCTCCTACTCAAAATGTCAATAGAAATGAATTGAGTCAAAAAGCCATCATCAGTCACGATGGAATGAATGACAAAGCCATTACTAAAGTTAAAGTTAAAAATAAATCCTGGTGCCACAGCCAGTGCCTTTAAGTGGGCCACTGTGGACTCTAAACCTTTTTCCTACTCAAAATGACACATTATCTTCACCTCTTTTATCAGGGTCAAACCACATTGGTCGTTCGTACGCCATTGTTTCTCCAAACATAGCTCCAGCGTTCTCTAGTCTGGTGTGGAGTGGAGAGGTACGTAATTTTCTACCTCGTGTAAAATCTTCTTTTGGATATCTCAATCCAAACACTGAACCTGAAAATACAATACAACACAACTACAGTAAGTTGGACCCTAACCTCTTAGATATAGTGGCACAGGTAACAAAAGCAGTTGAATTTGTCATTGTAGTTACAATCAGTTGGAACCAAAGCTTTCAGTTGTGGTAGAACAAGTAGAACTGGCACTAAAATCTCCTCAGAATTCAAGCGTTCTACTGCAATTACTGCTCTTAGACACACTAAGACACGCTCAGTTATAGTTATTTTTTGTAGATGTGTTTTTTTCTAGTGTGTTGTTTATTTATTTGTTTTTATTTTGTGATGCAGTTTTTCTGTTCTAAATATTTGACTGAAATGATATGAGCTAGATGTGTAGAAACTTCAACAAACAAAATCTCAAATTGACCTGGACTTACCTAAAACTTCTTTGACTCTTTCGTATAAAAATCTTCTGTTATTATGATGATCCACGAATCTACGAACATCGAACTGCCAGAGGTTGATACTTGGTTTACCATCAATAATCCACTCGGCCATATAGTGACCCACTCCCCCTCCACCAACAACTCCTCGTGAATTTAATCCTGCTGCTACATAGTAGTTATCTACCTTGAATAGGATAATAATTACCATGAGACGGTGTGATGGATGGACTCTAGTACTACACTATTATAAGAATCTGAAGACAGGTCAAGTTATGTTTAAAGGAGCACCTCCACTATCTGTTCGACCAATCATACCTTAGTTTCAGAAACAGGAATTTTTTTTGCTTACATAATCAGTAATAGTGGTAACAGCTCATCGTCCTCATGGTATTGTAACTTACTTCAGCAGTTTCTCCTAGAATCCAGTTGGCATCAGGACTGAAACTTTCAGGACCATTGACCAACTGTCGTATTTCAGCTTTCTCCATGATAGGATAACGAAGTAAAATCTGGTCCAGGAGAATTTCTGCAATATAAAAACACATTGAAATATTTTATAGTTATAAACAGTTTATACTGTAAGTGATAAAACTACAAATTGATAGTTTTGACCCTAATCAAATCAATAAGTAATCAAATCAATAGCAAATCAAATCAATAGCTAATCAAATCAATAGCAAATCAAATCAATAACTAATCAAATCAATAGCAAATCAAAGAACTTAAGTGAATGGTGTCAACTGAAAATTTTATCTCCTACTCCTTGGTCTCTTTTAGACTAACAATAACGAGAGCATGCAGACATCTTAACATATGAATATTTTATATCACACGCCCTTAATTTAATAAACCAGCTTACGGAAGTGATCCCAATCTTCTTGTAAGAGTTGAAACTCAAATTTATCAGGAACTCCAGTATGGAAACAAGGTTTGGAGACAGGTTCGAATCCTCCAGCCAGTAGACCTCCGTTCCATTCTCGGGAATATGTATACCCATCATAATCTCTGATACCTGGAAATCATTTTAAAAAATTAACATTTAGCCACAAGATATCCATCTATTTCACACAATTTTTTTTATTTTTAAGAATACTGTATTCTAATTGGTTGAAAGTAAATGTAAAATCAACCTGAATGCGCAGGAGATTGAAAAACTTTTAGGGCAGAAGGCTGTCATCTTGCTACTATATGATTACTCTTTCTAATGGATATAATTTCTTAACCATTGCCACTGAAGATCACGAAAGAAGTGTAAAGTAAAGCCTAATTTTTAGCCATGACCATTAATAACCTTTGACCCCTGTCATTTGCATAATAACTAACCTGGCATCAATCGATCCACCTCCTCCAGTGGTTTCGTGACGAGGTAAAAATGTTCACAGGAATGTAAGGGAACTCGAACCTTAGGGGTCGTAGATTTACCAATCTCTCGTGCCCACTGAAATAATATAATATTAATATATAATATATTTGAAATAAATTTTAACTTCTTCATTAAATTTTGACCTCAAATCTGAAATAACTTTCTAATCCTCAATACAAATTAGCATTAAGTTTTTGTCATGAATGTTCTTTTTTTGTTTCTCTCAAAAATTTCACAATTTTAAAAAATCAAATTGATTGAAAGATTTGTAGAGAAAAGGGGCCGAATCTCAAAAAAATGTTATTTAGGGTCATCTGACTGAGAAGCCTTGACTGACCTGTCCAGCACAGTTAACAAAATATTCACAATCAATATTGCCAGCTGAAGTTTCTACTCCCGTCACTCGACCATTTTTAGTTAAAATCTTCTCCACTTTTACACCCTCCATAAACTTGGCACCTGGAATTAAAGTGACAATAAGAACAACAAAACCTTCCTACAGTGGAAAATCGTTTGAAAACAAGCTGTAGGATTTTCAAGATGAGAGATTACAGGGGTCAAAATCAAAAAGCTAAAAAATTTGATCATTTTATATTTAATGATCAAACCATATTTCAAAATCAATTCAAGCTGACTCTCGGATACAATATAATTCAGAGAGAGGTGGCTGTGTTTAAAGGCTATTCTATTCTAAAACAATGTATAAAACATCAAAATGGCAGTTTTCTATGATGATAAAATATTTCGTTGGCAATCTTACCTCTTTCTCGTGCGATTCTCATCAACGCCATGGAAACATCAGGAGCAGTCACAGCACCATCAGACGGCAACCAAATTCCACCCTACAATGATATAATCTTATAATTTATAAAGATAATGAAATGAACTTTGTTGTTCTGCTTCCCCAGATTTGGCTAGTGCTAGTTCAACTTATAAGCAGTATTATTCAAATTGTTTCAATACCTCATATTTATTTAAACCAGTGTTTGTTAATCCCCTTTATATTAACGAACATCACTCACTGTATTATAGAGTTTTGAATTTCAGGAAGATGTGAATTCAGGGATTGGCTGACCATGAATATGCTGAGAAGTGAAAAAAACCCAGAGAATTTCAAAAAGTAAAATAAAACCTACTATCAGGTCATCTGTTTTGATCAATGGAACCAGTTTTTCAATTTCTTTTGGTGATAAGAGATGAGTTTCTAACCCTATGGCACTAAAAAACAGAAGAAAGTTCTTAATATAATATGTTATTGTATGTAATATAAACATCACTCTATCAATACACAAAGGGTCTCATTCCTGTGCAATAAAATACAGATGTCAAAGTTCGTTTCATGTTTTTATATGCTATTACACTTACCTAACATGTTTTAAATGGATTCTTTGTTGTGTTTGGTCGAAATTTGACCAGCAGAATAAGTCAACTACTATTCCTTCATCCTGATCTATGTTTTGTTGACCCATCGTTGTTCTCAAGTCACGTATATAAATACATGTAGAGTTACACACCCTTACCTAGCCATGGAGTGTTTCCGTTTAAACTCTGTCCATCTGTCCTTGGTTCGAGCTAAATTCAGCCCACCACATGGCTTCCAACCTAGAAATAAAACAACAAACTAAATAAAGCGGATTTATAGATTCTACATGTTACAACTCAATAGTATGAGAGACAGGGTAGCCTTAGTATAGGCAGGAAAGGCTTGGAGAAAAGTCCAGGTACTGTATTCTCGAAATGATCCTAACGCTAGGACGTCCTAAAACAGTGTTAGAAGTTAACACCCTCGGATGTCCTAGCACTTAAGATGATTTCAAGAAAACAGAGTCTGGTATATATGGATAGCTATGCTAATTGCCGAGACCAAGACCTACAACTAAAAGTTCATCTTATGTCAAAATCTAGTCAAAACTCATTGGATTTACAGGTAATTAAAATTGGAATTGTGCATTTAGAAGTTATAAATGTCCATAATATACAAAGGTTACAAAACCTCTTTCAACATGTTCCGATGTTTAGATGCCGAGATGTTTGGCCATGTCATCAAAATTTAAAAATATCTCATATCAAATTCAAGCCAAGTCCAAAATATCCAACAGTTCTTTCCGAAATACAACCGTGATCTTACCCAATCCGTGCCCCTCTTCTTCTAATCTGGCGTAAAGATTCCTACTGATCCGACACGCCTCCATCTCAGGGTAATTAGCACGAAGTTGGCCAATCATACCTACTGAATGCCACGTTGTACCACATGTTAGACTATCATCAGCAACAGAAAACAGAAAACAGAAAATTACATTTAAAAAAAACACAATTAGGTTTTTGTACTTTATTACACTAATAAATACAATTTAAATTTCTTACCAACTACTTGTCGATGCAAAATGAGTTTTGAGCAGTTTTCTGGCTTTAAAGCCAAGACTAGGAGAACACACTCTACAATCCTAGCCTGCGGCCTGTTGTAGGGACGAAAAAATTTAAGAACCCTTCCGTAGGAGAATATATAGGGCAGTAGGGCAGAACATTGGACCCAATAGACAGAGGTTTTGTCCTACACCCCTGAGTAACACAAGGAGGAAGGAGCCCTCTTACACGGGGCAAAGGTAGGTCATATTTGGAGGATTGTCCTTTGTTACATCTTTAAAAGGGCAAAAAATCTGTAGAAAGGGGGAAGTTTTTTTGAATATATTTCTTACCTGCCTTGCTCCAATAAAACCACATCAGTCCAGCCTCGTTCAGTCAGATGATACGCTACACTGGGTCCGATAATACCGCCACCTGCTATCACTACACGGGCATGTTTCGGTAGCGCCACCGCCTCCCGCTCTAAAGTCTGACCTTTATCTGTAGAATATTGACGGGTAGCTCCACCTAGAGACCTTATACTAGTCCGAACATTGTGTTGACGTAAACACGATAATGTTCTCATCATCATTCTAGCCTGTCTTTCCATTTTAAATCCAACAGTTTTTCTTCTTGAATATCACACAAGTTGATTATAAATTACTATTAACATGCCCTACTTCATCAATATCTGGAATATAAACAACTATAGAGATAACAAGCAAGTATTAATAACATACCCACAGTTAAAGGGATTGGATATAGTAGTCTAAATATCTGCCATATTGGCTCTGAGCTCAATACCTACCACCCCTTGCACTTCTTATCTTTCAATACAATCTAACCTGGGTTTCTCCTGTATTTTAACAAAACTGTTGTTTATTAGATCGCTGTCTCTTCCAGTTCGTTTGTGAATAAGCCGTAGGCAGAAATAACAAAAAATATAGATAAATCATCAAATTGTATCCAGAAGCTAATGTTATTGCATCCCCTGAAAATTCTTAAAATTAAAACTGTTACCTTCCTAAATATAATCACAATACAGATGAATCAAAATGTAGCTGTTTTACTTTGCAAACTGCTCAACAGCATTATCTCGTAGCAAATGAACTTGTATTCATATATACATACGTTAAATACCGGTATCTCATATAAGCTTATCACATGATCCTTGAAAATAGGGAATTTTACTTGGTACTTGGCCTTAACACAGTTGTTATCAGTGTGCAAGTAATTAAAGATCTTATTCACCTGGCTGATTTCAATTTCTGAATTTTAATTTAAATAATGGTTCTATTGTATTTGTAAGGGGTCAAATTGAATGATTGACCCATTACAGACAGCGGTATGTACACACAGTACATTGATGACAGACCAATTCCAGACAGTCATAGGAATATATCGAACAAGATGTCAAATTTGAATGATAGACTCTCATTAGTTATACATCGAGCAAAGTTGTAAACAGAGTGATCTACTGAAGACAGTCATGTTACAATAGCCTATTGAGCCAAATTTTTAATTAATAATTGCAAGAAATCCACTTTAAGTGGAACTATGCAATCATAGGATGGACATCACTCACTGTAAACTCTTTTTATCATATTGAAGTCAGAATCAGTGAGTATTATATTCACAATCATACACTATATAGCCACTTACAATATCAACAATTATTTCAACTCAATCTCTTTAAACTGGTCAAATGAAATGAACTGGCTGCATCAGGTTATTTTCAAGGCTGAGATACCAGTTTTACCCAGAATAATATCTCTTATACAACTACATTCTTATCAGCTGCAATATACAAATAATCCTTATATATCAGTTAGAAAAACACTTAACATTTATAATAATTTCACTATTGTTCGTGAAACTAAGACCATCAATTTTTTATCTTATAACTATAAAAATATTAGACATCTTTTCATTTAAAAGGATTGTAAAGAGGTTTTCTAAATATGTATGTGTTTGATGACGTCTCCAAGGGTCTTATGTGATAAAGCATATTTGGCGAAAAGTGAGAATGGTGCAAATTGATGCTATCAGTGTACCCTATACACGTAAAAAAATTAGAAAACTTCTTTACAATCACTTTACTTTAAATCACTTTGCAATACCTGCAGTTTTAAAATTCATCGTCAAAAAATTTCAGCTTTGACAATAACTCAAATTACTTATTGGGCTAAATAGAAAACAGGCTTGAAGTGTTTATCAAGGGAAATATACCAGTTCAGAGGCATTAGTCAACTCTTTTCAAACTTCAACTGTTAGAGTATTATATCTAACCAGTACCCATGCCAGGATCACACCTTAGGACTATAGGCTTTTAACTTATTAAGTCATAGTAGAAACCATAATGCAAGCGTTCCTGACACAGATGCTAAGGAAACTGTACTACAGACCAGAGCAGAGGATATTCACCTTGATAATAGTGTTGATGTTCTGTAGATCTATTGAATAGAGAGGCTAACCTACTTTTCATTTAAAAACTAGGTACAAGGTTGACAAAGGTTCAAGTTTCTTATCATATCAGTTAAATATGTAAGGCTAGTTCAAATAGAACTCTTTGTAGTCATATGACTCAATATGTGCTTGTTTATGTTAGTTTTGATCCACTTTATTAACTTGTTAGTTTTAAAAATGTCTGTACTAATAGTATCTCTGCCAGTGACATTTGATATCAATTTAGGCAAATAGCTCCTCTAAAATATTATTATCATTTCAGCCAGTCTAAACATAACTTCTTCTTTGTCCTTGGGAGTAAAAAAAAAGAAAAGAAATCTTTGCTATTTGCTATTAATATATTTTAAAAACATTTGTTCATTCATATTTGCTAGTGTTTCATGCGATTTTATGGACTTTTTGCAATGTATTTTTACAATTGTTCGTGGACAATCGTCCTAACAAAGTCCAGAATCGGACAGATTCTATCGACTACTGCAGTACTGATGTCGGGGTGTTTTGGGGAAACATTTTATTTGCAAACAAATTTGCATGGAAATTGTTTTGCAATTTCAAGGACAAAGAATGGACAACAATTACCAGGTGCCTTCAGATTGCTAGATTAAATCTGTGCCTCATAATGCAGCTTTACTGGAGATTCGTATTTCTCAATAACACATTGGTGGATTCTCCATTTTAAAATATGATCACGTGTGAGTCACATGACACAAAATTTATGGTGTCGGTAAAAGTGTGAACACTCCGACAGTTTTGTAGCTTATTACCTGTTCATTAATGCTGGATTGTATTGCGGTTTCCATCATTCCAATATCTGATAAAAGTCTTTATGTTTTGACAATTGAATTTTGTATGTAGCTGAATTTTTTGAGTGTAGTCTTGAAGGCTAGTTTCGATCGTGTCTGGGCCTCCAGCCTTCCAGGGGATGTGTTGCGTGGGTGTTTAGGAGGCTCCGTCCACATAAGATTGATTTTCATTTTGGGTAAGAGTTGATACAGACATGATGTTCTACTTTTGTGTTACATTCCAAGGGTTGATGACTGATTTATTGATAGGCCAAATTTCATGAGATCAAACAACTAAGCATTTTTTTTGCCTCACAATATCCTTAAGGGGCATAGGTATTATTAGCATCCTCAGCAGCAATAATTTATAGCTTAGCATTTCTATAATTACAGGAACCACAGACATCAGACAGAAAATTTGAATGATGCAAATAGAAGTCATAAATGTAGCTAATACACACAAAAGTTATCAGACCCGTAGCTAGCCCAAGATTTCATGGGGCCAAATTTTTTTAAGGGGGCTCAACTATAGCGACTCAAGTTATTTGAGTCATCTAGCTATGGGCCTGCATACTATAGTATTAGGTATAATAGGGGATACTGTCCTATAGAAACACTAACTGTTTGATTGAAGAATATACTGATTAGTGTTGTAATTCGCAATACACAGAGTGTCGGAGTACTCAGAGTTTTTCAAACTAGCTTAAGAAGGAAAACAATTAGGACCAGAATGTCAGAACACTCAGATATCAGATATCACACAGTACACTGTATTTGTAATATGGATTTTATTTTACATCTTAATATTTGGTACATTGTGAATTACAAACATAATTAACAATAAAACAACTTGAAACAATGATAACTGAAATATTCTACACCATTTTATTTTACTCCAATGATCAACTAACCAACATTAACAAAATATTACTGAAATGAGATGAAATTTATCGGGTTTGGTGATAGTGATCAACGTTGCTTTTTTTCTTATTTTTTGCCATTCAGAAATTGTTCCCAGATTAGAAAATTTTTAACGAATTGTGTTATAAGCTATGATAATAAAGATTTTATAAAATGTTCGATAGTCCTCAAGTTACTGAGTGGAAAAACAAAACAGTTTACACTGTTCACTTACTTTGTGACACACCAAACTAGAGCCTGCCAGTTCAAAGTCTCTACACTAGAAAATTTCAAAATGTACAGTTTGTTCACTGAAACTATATACATACCACCAGCTAGTTCTAGTTTCATCACATGAAATATAGACATGCACAGATCACAAGGACAAATGATTAAGTTCACCAAAATATGAAACATTGACCTATCCTGTCCTAGCTTAGTCCATGCCACATATTCTCAAAACAATCTTAGCGCCAAGATATCCTAGAAACAGTGTTAGAAATCTAGACCCTAGGATATCCTAGAAACAGTGTTAGAAATCTAGACCCTAGGATATCCTAGAAACAGTGTTAGAAATCTAGACCCTAGGATATCCTAGAAACAGTGTTAGAAATCTAGACCCTAGGATATCCTAGAAACAGTGTTAGAAATCTAGACCATAGGATATCCTAGAAACAGTGTTAGAAATCTAGACCCTAGGATATCCTAGAAACAGTGTTAGAAATCTAGACCCTAGGATATCCTAGAAACAGCATTAGAAATCTAGACCCTAGGATATCCTAGAAACAGTGTTAGAAATCTAGACCCTAGGATATCCTAGCTCTAAGATTATTTTGAGAATACATGACCATTTGTACTCTTAATACCATTTATCAATTACACCTTTTGAGATTTAAATTTTCTTCTGTTGACTATCTAACTCATTCTAAAATCTGAAGATGTTTTTAGGAAAGAAAAGTTCTTGTTTTATTCAACCAGTCATCAAATATTCTGTATAGAGGATGAATCTATCTATGATCACATGAGCTCAAAAACCATTTTTTTCTTGTCATATCTTATATGATTGAACTTACCCACAGAAAATAAATGAAACAAAATATAAGATATATTCGTTTGTGATCCAGTTTCTAACTATCTCAAAAAAATAATTTTAATGTATCATTTATCTGATTGTCAATCAATAAAATTGATTTCAAAGCTATCTTATATCAATAACAAATGTTTGATTTTGATCAGAGTTGAAGGGATTGTAAAAGGTCTTCTAAACTATTCTATGGAGTTAATGTCTGACAAATTTGCATCATTCCAATTTTCTGTCAGACGTCTGTTGTTCTTCCACTAAATCTAAGCCTTAATATTCCATATAGACGTCATAGCACTTAGATTTAGTTGAATTCCGAGAACCACAGATAAATAACTGAAAATTAGAATGAATGGAAAAAGAAGTCATAAATGAACCCGAGACACATAAAGAGTATAGAAAACCTCATTACAATCCCTTTAAGGTACATTGAAGAATGAAGATGAATACATTTTTACACGACACAAGTGAAGGTTTTTAGGAATGAAGCTGTGAGAGTTTTAGCACTATTTAGATTATTATTGTTGTTCTGAGTTAGCTCTATTCTGATATTTAGCTATAATTCTCTCTAATATTCGTTTAGCCTCAGATTGAGGGAAGTTGGACATATCGTAATATTGAGGCGCGATTTTAATCAACCTGAAATAGAAATTAGTTAGAATAAATCATTTGGACTTTTGAACAAAGAAATGACCATAATATACGGTTAATAAGAATACAATCTACCAATACTACTTAGTATTGATTTATAATTAGGTTTCAAGATAATCCTATCTACCAGCTGGCATCGAAATAATAATGCTAGAGTAAATTTATATCATAAATCTGGCGAATTAAACCACATGGAAAGCTTGTTATGGTGTAAACCATATAATTAAGAATATAATACACATGTTTATGATACTCATAGCCAGGACATAGACAGGTTCAATAACAGGCTTGAACAGGTGCTATTTCACAACTTTGTCAGATCATGGACAGAAAGTGGATCAACCACAAAAAAAAAGGAGTAAATGGTATGGACATCTATTTTTATCAGCCATATAGAATGTTTGATAGGTGATCAGGGTTCAAAGATGACACCTTCTTATTAAGAGGTTTCAAACCCACAGCAACTTATTACCTTGAATCAAACTCGCCACAACTGATATATTTCATTGCCACAAATGTCACATGACACACATTGAAAATAAGGCTCAAAGTAAATTTTGGACTTGTAGAAATATATTACTTACCATTCTGGTTTAATATCTGTCACAGTTCGGATATAATTTTTAGTTGTCAAGACAAATTCATTGTATATCACCCATTCTGGTTTATGGTCTAGAACTGTCGAGGGATGTAACTGTACTATCTGATTGTCTTTAGCTGTTAAATAATGACCTGTTCTTTCTAAATGGGCCACCTGGAAATACAATAATAAGTTTTTAAACAAGAAAAGTAAAGTTAGTCAAGACACAGGAGTTTATATTGCAACGTTAAATAGGTTATAAGATTTAACGACGATTTAAAGAAGTGGAGAGCACATATAACAAAAACACAAGTGAATATATTATGGTATAACATGCTTCTTTCATCATACAATATATAACAACACAATTTACACGGTCATCTTCAGATGAAATTAGATCTAGATGGGATCCTCAGATCTTCAATTTTAATCTCACGAGATCTGGTATTAGCTGTTACAATAAGACATCCTGTCTGATGTATCAATATGATTCTAACTGATGTCAGCATGTAAGGACCTCCTTGGAACTACCAAAGAACAATCAGGAACAGGGCTGTTGATTTACTATATATTCCAGACATGACTGACAAGGCATCTTGAATGTCTGATAATCACAAGCCTCTGTAGGACATCAAGTATAGGTTTGAGCGTCATTTAAAGTCAGTGATAGAGAAGTGAAGTATAAAAAGTCTTTGACCCAGAAAGATTTAACATTACCTGCATAAAGAAACCCGAGACAAGAGCCTTTCTAATATTAATATAATAATCACGACTGTTAAAATCAGTACTGGCTCGACGCAGGCTGAATCGATCCATAATCCTCGCTAACTGTTGTCGTACATTATCAGCACTCTTTAAAGATCGGTAGTTCACAAAATTATCAAAACACCATTGGTTATCTTCATGATCTGAAATTACAAAAATTCATTTTGTTTTAAAGATGGGTTCCTTTATTTTCATTTATGAAAATGAAAATGCTAATACTTATATGAATAGAAAGTAGAGGTGTTCTAGTGACTTACCAGTTTGTCTCACATGTCCATAATTAATTCATAATTTGCTAAATTAGAAGAGAATTACTAGCAGAATTCCAATGAGTGACCAAACGAGAAAGGTCAAAAAGTATTTTTTTGTTTATCCAGACTGTACATACAAGGACATTTATGGAAAAAGAATAGCTATAGTTTTATTACTAATGTACTCACTCTGTTTAAATGCATGGTAAACGTTGAGAAGAGTCAAATGATCACCATCAATATGGGCAAACCTCATCTTCGCTTCATCTGCAGCCTTCTTCACCTCCGACGGTCTGACAAAACACTGTGGGACTAAACAGGAAGGCAAGGGGCGGGGCCAAGATAGCCCATCCCATCATCATTAGTAACAGCATACAACATGAGACATCAAACACTAAAAGGAAGTTGGCTGAATCAGGACGGTGCACCCACGGAATATGGACAGATGGAAAAAGTAGGCCTACTGGGGGAAGTGTCACAGTGTGCAGGGCGTGCCCACCCTTATTAACACAAAGTACTTTTCTACAAAGAGCTTAATTCATATACAACTTAGCATTTCTTTAGTACAGTACAGATAGCTTTTGATATTTAGATTTGTCAACACGACATTCCTTCTAGAGAGTCCACATATCCCATGATCAAATTGGTATTCAGAGTTTTGTGAATTTGTAACCTCTTTCATGGGTACTTTGTCAATTCAGTCAGTGTCCAAATACGGTAGCCAATAGAGTTTCTTAGAGTAATATGAATACAGTAGGAGAAGGTGCACCATCAAAATTTTAACAGTATTAGTAACATGTGATCATTTTTACAGAAACATTGTTTGACATCACATTCAAATCAGCTCATAAGTTATATCAATATCAATAGGACTCAGGAAATTTTACCCTCCCAAGATCACTGTGTGAAAACAATAAACGTAATAAAAAGGCTCTAACCTGACAACATGGCTGTGATAGAAAGAATTTCATTTGAACAACTGAAATCACAGCTTGCTATCACCATCTTAGCTAACTGAGGATCTAGAGGGAATTCAGCCATCATGGATCCTAATTCTGTTAATTCTCCATCATCATCTAAAGCTGCCAGGTAATTCAATAATTCTAATGCTCTCATTAACGTTTCTGGCGCTGAAATTAAATGGATTTTTACATCTTACTGTTGTGCTTCTGATGCGACCAATGAACACAGCCATGTCATGCTGTGTTCAAAACAATTTTTCAGGGACAGCAGCATAAGCCTACTCTTTATAACTTCTTAATGATGCACTGGCTGTAAAACACAGGGCTTCATTCAATAGATATGTCAAGATTTTAACACAATGAGATTTTTTTCAATAATAGGTTAAGTCTGTTTCAAATTAAACTATTTTCTGACAGTGTTTAATTCAACTTGTTATCTGATTGGTCAATAACTACAATCGATTTTAAAATATAGTATCCTTATCCAATCATATTACTGTGTTTCTTGAAATCTGGATTAACCTTTGGAAAGTTTTCAAGAAAGCGATCCTAGGTTTAATCAAGGTTTGTCAATTCAGACCACAGTGAAAACTAAACTAACCTGGAGGGTCCATGAAGTCAAAATGAACCAAATCATCAATACCAAGTTTCTTCAACTGAAGTACAACTGATCCTAAATTAGATCTTAATATCTCAGGATAGGTATTCTGTTGCATCTCGTTTTTATACGCTTTCTCTGTATACAGTCGGAAACATTTTCCTGGCCGCGTTCTACCAGCTCGACCTGCCCTCTGTTGAGCACTAGCTTTACTAATAGCTGTAACCAGTAGCGACTCCACTCGGATTCTGGGATTGTATACCTGTAAATGAAATTGATGGCATATAACGAGAACTGGACTAGAGAGCACAATGAGGGAAATTGTCAGAAGCTGTCCTTTCTCTTTATCATGCATAGATCAGAAATTATTTTTACGCCCTACTTTTTTGCTGCGAACTGGATTGATGAAGTAGGTCAAAGGACGGACTTCTTGCCTCAATATAAGCATTAACCTCTTTTTGATTTTTAACTATCAAGAGATTGAAACATCAACAAAAGCACAAACAATTTTAGTCTTCAACATAACCAAACTATAAAAAAAAAACAACCTTTTCCAATATCTGCAATTGAAAGCAAAATAATCAGAACCCAAACAATCCAATGTTTCCAAATCAAAATCTGACAAATTTACCTTTTGTTTGGCAAAGCCTGGATCAATGACAAACACCACTCCATCAATAGTCAACGAGGTCTCGGCAATATTAGTAGATACTACAATCTTTCTACCAACAGCTCCGTTAGGTTTCTTAGGGGGTGGGGGTTCAAATATACGCTGTTGTAAATTAGGAGGTAGTGTCGAATATAACGGAATACATTTTAATTCTCCAATTTCGGCTCCTAAATTATCCGCTTCTCTTTTTATTCTTTTACAAGCCTCGTCAATTTCCTGTAAATAAACCAATCAATCAAAAGAAAGTGAATAAAATAAGCTCATCAGATAAGATATCAAAATTTTATTATAGTTTTCACTAACATTTTTTTATTATTAAACGACTGAAGTAATGGAGGCCAGATTAAATAACACCAAATTGACAAAATACTGAAATAACTTGGCTGACTAAAAAAAAATCTAAGAGTTAACTGTCTGAGACAAAACCATAAAATAATCACTGCCATCATGTCACACTATCTTGCTAGTTGGACACAGTAGTATAGATCTATGATGACCCACTGATATCATGTCATTATCTACTAGTAAAGGGGTAAAGGTAATCTAGATCAATACTGGCTATTTGCTGGATAGTTTTACACAAAATTTAACAATATTTCACACATGGCAACAATTTACATTTTTATTTCATAGAACGATTTAAAGTTATCGAAACACTACCCACCTCCTGACCAGTTAAAAATAACAAGAGATCTCCTTCCTGTTCTTCACACATATGAATCTGCATGACAGTTCTAATGGCTGCCTCCAGGTAGTCACGTTCTGGTTCTGGTGTATAGAATATCTCTACAGGGTGAGTTCTACCAGGCACACTCATTAACGGGGCGTTATCAAAATACGTCTACAAAAAAGGGTGCAAAAAGGTTATGAAATATTTCATTATTTATTGCTGAGGACATTGATCAAACATTATAAAATATTTCTATAATACCAAGGTCAATAATAATAGGTAATATTAACATTTCATTGTTAAATGCATTGAATACAGATCAATATAGACAAGTAAAATATGTTGCTACAAATGACAACATATTTTGGGTTTTAACAAGAAAATAAATTGGGAAAAGACAATGTCATCAAATTTTGACGGTCATTTCTATGAGTCTTTAAGTTCAAACTGTCAGTAAATTTCATCAGAAAATAAAAAAAATAATCTTCGCATAAAAGTATAGTAAAGACAAAGGAACTGACCTGAAATTTTCCAGCATCAAGAGTAGCACTCATAACAATAATTTTTAAATCAGATCTTTGTCTAGCTACTTCCTTCAATAAACCCATCAATATATCAGTGGCTAGAGTACGTTCATGGGCTTCATCCAACATGATGACACCATAGGCTTCTAATAGAGGGTCAGACATACCTTCTCGTAACAACATACCATCTGTCATATATCTACAATACATTATATTGAGTTTTACACCCTACTCTTCTGTTCCTTACTAGACTCATGAAATGAAATGGAGTTCTCTACATTGGGCTGATAAGATTGTAATCTTACTGTTTATTGAGTTAATAAGTTTTAACATTTAATTCCTACTGTTCTGTTCCTTATTCGATTAATGAAATAGAGTTTTATATCCTACTGTTCTGTAGGTTATTGGGCTAATGAATGAAATGTAGTTTTACACCCATTGTTCTGTGCTTTATTGGACTGATAAGTTTTTGTGACATGCATTAATTCCATATTGTAGGCAATACAGCGCTCAACTCGTTTAATAAAACTTCATTTTAAATCAATGTTGATACTGGCATCATCAGATGAGAGAAATGCTAAACGAGAAGTACTTGTGAAATGGAAAACAATCTCGGAAAACCTGACAGCAAAAATCAGTCTGCAAACTTACTTGAGAACAGTTTTAGAAGATGTACAGTCTTCAAACCTAATAGAATATCCAACTTCTTGTCCCAGACCGATATCCATTTCCTCAGACACACGCTGAGCCACAGACATGGCAGCTACTCGACGTGGTTGGGTACAGGCCACACCCTTTTTATTATACCTAGCTCTCACCCATTCTAAACACCATTGAGGAATCTAGAAAGAAATAAAATGGAGTTTACACCCTACTGTCTGTAAATGATACAGTTAATTAAATACAAAATATGACAAAGCATCATGAGTATTTGTTACAAATTGTACAGAGCCTACATGTCAAATTTTGTACAATGTCAATGATGTATTGTTAGGTAAAAAATATACTTTACCAAGAGTAGATATATTTAGGAAGAAAAAAACCTCCATTTTATATATGATATGCATATTATTCACTTTTATAGATAGAAATTGTCAAAAAAATTTCTGGAGAACCACACCAAAATAATATAACATAATGTTAATAAAACTGTAAAACAAAGATAACCTAAAGCCCATTGAAAAGGGAACAGGTCAGGGGGCTGAGACTGCATTGTACAAACCTGTGTAGTTTTACCAGAGCCAGTCTCACCAACCAGTACTATCATCTGATGATCTGTCACCATCTTCATAAACTTATCTTTATATTCCCAGACAGGCAGCTGGCTTCGTTTATTATACAATTGGTAATACCGTGGGGTAAACGGCAACCCTGAAATATTGGAATTTTAAGTGAACACGGTGAAATAATAACGATAAATGGTTTGGGAAATGAAATGAGATGAAAGTTTTACATCCTATTTGCATCTGATTAGGCTTACGAAGTAAGGCAATGTCATGCAGTGTACAATGAGGGAAATTTTGCAGCATAAACCTACTCTTTTTGATATTCAACTTTTGGGGATGTAGAGATGTATAGTGCGAGTTACAGTGCCTTAGTAAACCTACCTGTAAAAGGATTCATCTGTATAGTTGGTCTCTGAATATTGAACTCTTCAAATATAGATTTATGTTTCTTTTCACCCTTTTCTTCCCCATCATCATCTCTACAATAGAAAACAGTCAATTAGTCAGTTTATGTGTATAATAAAATGCCATTCAGAAAAATGATGTGTTTAGATACTAAACAAAGAATACAACACAACACCTTCTATGTGCATTTTGATAAAAGTTTCTGGGACTTTAAGCCCTGCTCCAATAAGCTGTCTTGAGTCTGAAATGAAGCCATTCATTACTTGGCGATTGACATTATTATGATTATAAAATAGCACTAAATAAATACGCCTGTGTAACTGTGGAAGCGTCGTAGGGGTGTTGATTTAAAGCTGGTGGTGACTGATGGGTGTATGCAAAAGTTAATCAGATTTGGAATTTTATCGAAAAGATTCAGAGATGATTTTCTACCCACATGTGTGGTAATTCCCACTAGTCCAAATTTTGCGTCCTACTCAATCTATAAATTGCGCGATCGTTCAAAAAAATTCCCCAATGAAAGACTACACGTACCTCTTCTTTTTTGTGTTGGAATCACCAACATCTATACGATGTCTCTTCGACATTTTGCGTGTTTCAGTCGTATAGTTTTATTTTAGACGCCAACAAGTACAAAATGGCGTTTATCAACAATACACCTAATTCTCTCAACTACGGATTTTTCTATACAAAGGCTCAAGGTAAGGAGTTGTGGGATAGTTTGTACGTTTTTCGGACTTGGGTAAATCGAAATACCCGGATGATCACATTCACAGGTACTTCCTGTTTGATTACTCTTCACTTGATCAAAGTCAGACCACAAGTAAATACTTGGATCTAATTTGAAGGAAGATACGATATTTTTCCCCAGATATTTTTTATTTAACCGTAGGCTACCATGCTCGTTCGAAATGTCATCTCAAAAGAGTTAAACTATGATACTGACTTAATCGCCAGTACTCTTCCACAAAAAATAAATTTATTTTATTCAGAGTAGTGACTTCAGACAGAAAACACATTCCGATCTCAAAAAAACTGCCATCGTTCCCAAAACAGTTCTCTGTAGCTATAAGCATCCATTGTAGATTCCCAGCCCCGAATGCGAGTTTTTCGGGCATGACTCTCAAAACTCGGGCAACCTCAGATATTTCGCCCCCACCCCCCTGGTCCCACCACTGGTCACAATCTGCTGTAAAATAGCACCGATAGACCGAATGACGGACAACCTTGTAGCAAATTATCCAATAGGCAAAACACTGGTATTTTAGGGGGAGAGGGGGGGGGGGACCATTAAATAGCCTACTTGAATTATATTCTGACATTGAAATGGTTGGTCAAAAATGAAGAAATCGGATTGACTGCCTCTTTAAATGGTGTATTGATGTGGCTATAAAGTGTGAATGGAAATGACGAAGTGTTAAAACAGTCCACCCTGTGACCATCAGAATAATAAACGGTTTTGTTCAGTTACTATGTATTTTATCACAATATTGACAGTGGTAACAATATGTACTTTAACTCTATAGCATTCGGGAGAATAATGGTTTTCTTGGGTTAAAAATATACATTGTTATTATGGACTGTAGAATGGTGTACGAATGCGGGTCAAAGGCCACAGTAAGACTGTGGAAGGTGCAGGGTGGTAGGTAGGTAGGTGCAGGGGTCAAGGGGAGGCTGATGTACACATCCCACGATGTCGAAGGTGTTAGAAAGATATACCATGGCAATATACTTTCCAGCCAGCTCTTAAAGTTTAAAAGACTTATAGCCAGCATTAATTATTTTTACAAGTGCTGTTGTCTCTATAACACTAGCCTAAACGTTACAAGCTTATAAAACTTGGACCCGTTTCTATTTCAAAATGAAATCCGACTTAATGTTCGCTTACAATTAAACAATCAAAAAATAACAGTTGAATTTGTTTAGTTGCCTCAGACAACTATGGTGATTTCCATATGCCCATAGGGACTGACTGGTGTAACAGGATTAAATGCGAAAGGAGACGCTAACTTCACAGCACAAGGACACGATACTGGGGTTGAACCCCGACAAAGGCAGGTCAGATTAACGACATGTTTTAGAGATTGATCAGGACCAAGTAAAATTGATTGCTGTACAATAATCACCGAGTTGATTGTCGTCTATTCAGAAATAGAATAAAATCTCGCGACACTACGAATCACGTCACGTTACTTTCTCTTTACCTATTCAACCTAAACCAGTAAAAACTTTCTAACATGTACTGAATAAAACCTGTCATAGTTATATCGAATTAAAGAGAATTCCACCCAATTATAATATCTTATCCGGAGTTGGGTATTTCTCAAAAAAAAAGTAATTGTATTTTCTAAATGGCCATCCATCATGGCATTGAATTTCAACTGTTATTACTTCATTATACTTTTTCATATTTAGCTTCTGTCTTGCATTTTTGTCGATAAATGGAAATTTATCATTTATTTAACAGCAATTGTAATAGCAGGTTCAAAATGATATTAATAGTCCGAGAGTGACAGTGTGTTGAGGAAAATATAAAAATGTACACATCAAGACACGCTTTGATTGGTTAATAATAATAACGTCATTAGAACGGGACTGTGTTATAAGACTTGTTAGATTACAATGGAGATGAAAAAAGAATCGAAATTGTTAAATAATTTCCATTAGCTTGCAGTGATTGACACAATGTTAGTTTATCTAAAAGCATACCAAATTATTGTTACTGCCTGGAACTTTCGTACTTTGGAACAATGACAGGTTTTTGTGGTCAGAATGCTACTCATTTCTGTGATATTTTTAGGGGAAATATGAAATTTGGGCTACAGGTTTAGTTAACACATTGCAAATAAAATTTTATAAGATTTATATTATGGTACTTATTACCGTATAAAATGTTTTATTTTATTATAATGTGGATTTTTAGCCCTTAACAGACCCTTAACTCTTATCATAAATACACCTAGTTATAAATCTTCAGTTTTTCAATAAAAAACATCATTAAACATAAATTGAAGTAGAAGAAATCAAAGTTAAAGGTTGTGGGGGTGGGGAGGGTGTGAAGCGATGGAGTAAAGGTGGAGGGGTGTGAAGCGTTGGAGTGAAGGCGGAGGGGTGTGAAGTGATGGAGTAAAGGTGGAGGGCTGTGAAGCGATGGAGTGAAGGTGGAGGGTGTGGAGGATGTGAAGTGAGGGGTGGAGGGGTGTGGAGGATGTGAAGCGAGGGTTGGAGGGGTGTGGTTTAGAATGAAAATATTAAAGAGATTATATAAAGAGATTTTTCAAATATTTTATGTAAATAAATAATTCACAAATGTGAATGGAATTCCACAAAAATAAGTGTTTGATGACGTCACTTATCGCAAAATATGCTTAATCACATAAGAACATATGCGATTAGTGACGTCATCAAACACTTAGTTTTAGTGGAATTGCAGGAACCACAGACGTCGGATTGAAAATTGAAATGGTGCAAATTAATCAATGTCTCCGATGCACATTAAAGATTTAGAAAACCATTTTACTATACCTTTAAGTCCGCTCTATAAGAGAAGATTTTTTTTATCTTTTTATCTTATGTGAAGCGAACTTTGTCTCATGAAAACGAATTTTTAGATTTCTACGATCGTGAGAAATCAGTGATAATGAATTTTTGAGAGAGATGTATTGTCACTTTTGATTATATCATCATCATTATTATTTAAAACATCGCAGCTTTCTGACAATTATCTATAATTTCTTTGACGTGATCTGGTTCCCCTAGAATGAGAACTATTGCAATAAACCAATACCTGATGCATGATTTAAAAAAAGGTTTCACACGGAGATTGTGCGAAAAATCCACCTGTTTTCAGTCGTAAAATCTTTACACTGTAACTGAAACACAAGAAAACCTAAATATAGTCCCTTTTACCAAATACTTTAACTTCACTTCAGATTTATTTCATGTCAGCGACACGTTAAGTTGCCACTTTAAACTGTCTGAATAATCAAGGTAAATAGTCGGTAGTTTCCGTATTCAGTCGTCACTTTCCGGATTTCAGTATTCATATATATAAAGTTATTTGTGTAGCAGACGACACTATAGAGAAAGTTGAACTCAAGATTTTATTATTCGGGATTTCAAGTAAAAATGTCGTCTAAAAAACCGACGCTAGAAAATGGCTATCTGGGCGCTCAGGATGAAATGAAGGAGGTAGGGTTAACACCATTAACCCACAAGGAACCGGAATTCGACATCTCAGACAATGAACTGGAGATTAAGTTTAGTGTCAGCGATCCTGTGAAAGTTACCACCAATCTTATTAAATGTAAAACGGATAAGGATATAGCTCCGGATTATGTGTTTATCCAGATGGAACGAGGGGCAGTGAGTTTCTCCTGCAGTTTCCCAGAATCTGGGTTCTACAAGTTTCAGATCTTTGCCCTGAGGAAGACGGATGATTCCAAATCTTTGCCAAATGTTTATAATTATCTGATCCACTGCAAGCAGGCGATTAATCCAGTTTACCCCTACCCCAAACAATACCTAGAATTCAAAAATAACTGTCGTCTGTACGAACCTAAAGTTTTGAATTCGTCCTGCCGACTCCGAGGAGTTAATTTCAAGGTGAGTAAGAATTTTTACAAATTTGTGGTTGGGCAAAGTCGACATGGGGTAGGGAGGGGTTGTCTCATATCTTAGTCTCTCTCCGGAAGGGAAAGCTTTTTAGTTTTCTATTAATGGTTTATACGCTTTTGGGAAAAGAAAGTATAAAATCATATTTGAATATGTGCAGCTCATCTCATGTCGACACGTGTTCCGGATATAATATCGTTATCAGGACAGTTTGCTTTTGAAATAGGGAAATTAAATAAAGACATAATATGATACACTTTCGTTGCTATCATTAATAATTCACTAAAGGTAGAAGTACAAGTTTTAAGCCTGCAATGTGATTGTAAATCAGCTAGTAGATAATGTTTTCTAGTAAAGTTTTTAATTGCTGCGTACATTTTTGAAATTCCATGGCAGTGATTTAATTAAGTTTAACAACATTTTCTCCTCGTCAAGTTTTGTGCAGGCTATAAATGATAATTATACCAATATGACTGAGATACATTGTAAAAGCTCTGAAAACTATATATTTGGTATGGGTTAATTGAATATATCTGGTCAGAAAACGGCTCTGAATATTTTATGTGGGTCATTTCACTCAATCTGATTAAAAAGCATGAGATATTTCGTTTTGTTAAAGATGGGTTCCCTTATTTCCATTTATGAAAATGAAAATGCTAATATTTATATGAATAGAAAGTAGAGATGTTTGTTTCACATGTCCATAATTAATTCATAATTAGCTGAATTCAAAGAAAATTACCAGCAGAATTCCAATGAGTGACCGATCAAGAAAGGTCAAAAAGACTTTTTTTGTTTATCCAGACTGTATATATTAATTATTTGTTATAAGAACATAATGATGATTAAGAATACATGCTAATTCAAGTAATCAATAGTTTTCTTAATTTGACACTAAGAAATAAGGAAACCCATCTTAAAAATACTGATCGCAATATTGCGTTTTGTGTGTTTCCGCTGGGTCATCAGTCTGAAGATATATATTGATTGGTTACAATGTCCACTAGTGTATTGCATTCAGCAGTCGTTCCACTCCATGTTTTACAATAGATCTACAGGTCAGGTTTGCCATGAGATCAGATCTGATATAAGAAAGAATGTTATTGGATCTAGAACTTGTGCGCAATTTTGTGTTCAGGGCCAAGATAACTTGGCTGTTTGACAATGTTGAATATTCGCTTTAAAATGAAAATAGATTAAAACCAATGATTTATTATGGCTGTAAAACCTGTTACAAAGTTACTCAAACCCGAGAATGACTCACAGCAAACTGTCACATAGCGACTGACGTTTAATAACATTTAACTTGAGGGTGGGAGGGGGGTGAATATTGTAGCATGAGACTAGGCGGTACCACATGGCAGACTGGATTCGTGGATTCTGACACATAAATTTGAAGTTGTTGAACAGCTTTCTTACTTTTCTGCTTATGATTGGGCTCATAGAAACAGACAGCGTCATGCAATAAGGTCAATTTTCCCATGTAGCATTAGCATTAGTCTACTCTTTTCGATTTGCAACTGTTGAGGGATATTTAAAGTCCACTGTAGAACAAGGTGTATTAGTCTATGCGCTATAAGAATATCTAGTAAATCGCTGGTGAATCAGAGCCATTTTTGATGCTATTGGTTCAGTCAAATCCACAGAACTCAATTAGAGCAAAATTTTATCATTTTATAAATTTATTAACAGGAGATTTTAGAATATCTCTGTTCTATCATGTAATACAACTAATATTTTGACGACTATAGAATACAATAAAATATTTAACTTTGAAATTGTCATAGCTCATTTCCGTACCTCGCTACTTTAAATGACATTGCGCTATAATTTGTTTAATAGGCCAACAAGTGAATTCATTGAATCATTAACCCATTCAGTGCACGTTACCTGATTTAGTATAAATGACATTTTCCATTCAAGTTGTTTTCCTGTGTGAATTTCCTCAGGGCTAACGACGGTGATTCATCTTGACTATTAAAGATATGTAAACAAATTTATCTTTATACAACCATGATATCCTTATCCTTGTACAATACAACCATAGTCATGATATCCTTGTTGGTTGATGACTTTAAGATGACAATTTAACGCCCGCTTCCAGCTAATATGGTGGTTCTTTATACAATCATTACACAGTCATAGTCATAATATTCTGATCATTGAACATAATCTTTACCTGATGATGACAATGTAGATTGTTGAAACGTAGTGTGTAATAAAACTAAGGAGTAGTATACCATAAAATTGTGTTCGTTATTTAAAACAATCTTTACCGTTATTGTCAGGCTGAATTCCAACAGTCACTTGGGTTAAAGGGATATTGTCGTCAAATTACTCCTTATCCAGTTAAGTATTCCATTTCAGCTACCTTTATGTCTTTTAAGAATGCCAACCCGATATCGGTTGTTTGCAATAATAACGCATCGGCGTAAAAGCGTTAAGATCCGTTATTTACCTTCGCTCTACTACAATTTATAAAAAAAGGTGTAGAGGCGAATGTGACGATATTTGAAGTCCTCATATGTCGATATTTCACAAGTTATGGCTTCATCGATAATATTTGCATGTGTGAACATAATAAAAAAAACTTATATTTTACATTTTGGTCATTAAGTGATCTTTACAGACCATAATTTTGCGACAGTGACTATAGCTAATCTGCAAAACGAAACCAAATTGACAAATCTTGATCATGTATTAAACATAATAAGCTACAAGACTGTCGAGTCGACTGTATACCTGCTCTCAATACATCAGAGTGATTTATTGCACTACAGTAGTTTAATTAGTTTAAATACGTCACTTGAATTGCAATGCACTTATCTAACTATTATTGCCAAATAACTAAGACTCTAAAAGTTATTTAATATTCTAAAGTTTTTAGAATATTAGCTGTCTTTGACATTTATCGTTTTAAACGGAAAACACTTGAAAACAGTGAATGTAAAGGGGATGGGGGTTTGAGGCTTGCACCTATGGCGCTTCCTTTGCCGTATTCAACCCCGACAGCTGTCCCCAAGTTAAGTCAGTCTGTCCCCTATTTGTACTCCCAGCTGACTGACTGACTGATTGACTGGCCACTGATGCAAAAACCTGGAGGGGATTGGAAAGTCATGTAACAATGTGTTTTACCAGCCGATAAGCTCATTTTCAGCTATCCGTATCATGGCAACTCGACTTCTGGTTTGTCTACAATTAAAGAGTAACACAACGGTGGAAATGACGAGAATCTTACGATCCGATCCGTTATGAGCTATCTCCATGACGTGTTATTAAGCACCTAGACGACTCTTTCTTTTCACGATGAAGGGGCAAAATTATCACAAATGGAAATAAACATTTATATCAATGCCTAATACTGAAAGATTATTATTGAACTATATTTCAGGTTGGTGTACCCAATGCTAATAAAGTAGCTATAGTGAGTAATGGCGAGTGGACGCAGCTAGAAAATACAGGAAGCGACATCTGGGAAGTGAAATGTAATTTAGATCAACACCGAAATAAAAACGTGAAAGTTACAGTCAATGCCAACTTCGTCGACGATGAAACTAAATATTCTACACTTTTGGAGTATAAAATTTAAAGAATGGCTCTACTCAACCCTGGACTACTGACTAGATAATCTAGTCTATACAGTGAACAATTACGGAGTTATCTACATTTGATTAGAGTTACTTTCCTTTAATTGGAGTTTTATCCTTTTTTAAATTTTACGCTTGAAAAATGAAAACTTATCGCGACAAGGCAATCTAGACTACTTATGGATCATTCCTGATTCAGTCATCGCTTTCAATTTGCTTTTAAAAAACATCTTGACCACTAGGCTACGCAATTTGACCTACTTAATGCAGAGTTACCTGCCTTTAATTAGAGTCATATCGCTTTTTTGAAAAAAGAACATCTATACTGTTGATGATTTTATGGAGTTACCTGCCATTGCCCTAGCATAATCATTATTCTACGTTTTTAAAAGAACATTTTTGACTTCTGCGTAGTGTAAACCACTCATGGAACTTTCTTTGTTTATTCCTCTGTGAAGATTTGATCAAGAAACTCAACTGAATTTGATGTGTATAATTCAATAGTTGCCTTCCTTTGTGAGGGCTAAATAATTTTTATACGCCCTGTAATCTCAATCTTTAGTTGCAGTGAATAAACCTAAGAATTTGAACTTTAAAAATGTGGTTGTTTCGAAGTGTATTAAATATAGTCTTCTTATTTCATAAATACCTAACAGCAAGCCAGATTTGGCGGGAATTCGATTATTTGAATATTCAAAGTTATGATGTATATATCAAAAGCAGTAACTCGACGTTGTACTTTTTGAGTTGTTTTATGTTTTAGAATTAAACTAAAGAACAGAATTTTTGACAAGGTCATTCTTCATCTTTGGTTTTAGGACTTTGAAGTCTTATTAACGTCATGACGAGGTTTCTCTTATGAACGTCCATTGCCTTGTACCTAAACATTAAAATGCCGAAATCGCACATTGATTGCAAGTGTAGTAAACGACAAAGAAAAACCTCCAAAATACTGAGCAATCTTGCGTACTTTTTTCTTGACTTACCCTGTTTGTATTGACTTTAGGTAATTGTCGAGCTGTCGACACACCTTACTACAGAAATAGATCTACAATTTACCTAACTAATGATTCATGACAATCAAACAAGACCTTTAACATAGATCAACTGAGAATAAAACTCTTATTGATATAACTTCTACAACTCACATAACTATCAATATAAGAACCAATGGCTGAACTACCATAGAGACTGGGTGAAGCAAGTCCACGGACCCCATCACTTAGAGGGCTCCCATCCCAAGAAAAAATACAAACTTTAAAATAATATATACTAATGTATGCAATGATAATCAAACGTAACGACCAGCAATATATATATGAGTTATATAGCATTAACTATAGATTGGAAATCTTTACACCTTCCATTAACAGGTAGCAAATTGACTAACAGAGGGTCTGATAATGCAGGAGACTATATGTTACAACGTTCCTGAGGGAGGGATTCCAACCCACTTTAGTCCACGAGCACCTCTTATCTAGTTTAGCCACTGAAAGGCATATAGTCGGGTAGTAGCTTGATTTCAGATTAGTTTTTAAATTAAGCTCTCTTGCATTCTGAGACCCATTAGCGAATCAATTTACTGCCTGTTAATTTTCTTTCTGGGCACTGAGCCACTGACCACTGCATAATTTTATCATGATAAATATTATCACCTTTTCAAGATATTAAACCAAATATTTTGTCTGTTCTTTGTTAGTTTTGACTTGTCATATTTAGGTTACGTATTAAATCTCATCTGATTATTCTGTATAAGAAGATAAACAATAAAGCGTGATAGGAACAATATAGAATATAGTATATTGATATGATCTAGTCTATCTTAGTTATCATTCACAGGTCTTAGATTGCTTTTTTACAGTTAACATCAAAATAGTCTTAACAGTTTTTGGGGTTAATGGCGTCTTCGTTAACACTTTTTTTTAAAGATTTAAACTCAAAGTTTTGAGTTGCATTGGGCATTTACTTATGTTCGCATTCCAACAGGAAATTAAACAATTTACAACTCTATCTAGTTTTGATAACAGTTTGATGGTGGGGGGGAGTGGTTGTGGCACAACCTCCAGAAAAATAGTTTGTTTTTTATCGCCCCCAAAAACTAGGAAAAACTCTGTCAGACGCTTTATGGTATGCCCAGAGTTGTTGCATTTTGAATCTAACCTAGATAGTAAGTTGCCCCTCCCCCCCCCCCCCACAACCATATTAAGTCAGTTTGGCCCCTATTTGTACCCAGAGTGGACTACAGATCATTAAGATTTAGATCTCCATTTCCATTTTGCTACAAAATGCAATGAAAATTACAACAGACTTTTATGTGAAATAAAATGACTAATCTTAATTCAAGTTTAAAAATAAGATTGCTGTCATAATGAAGGCCTACATTGAAGAACTATTGAAATCTTGGTCAAATAAACCATTAATATAGCTCCATTCAAACTTTATACGACGATATTGTGTATTGTTAGTATGTAGAGAGCTCAGACTAGCCAATGTTTAAATCTTTTGAAATGATAAAGTTTGAAGTGTGTGTTATAAGACTCTAAATATTAATATCATTATCATTTTTGTACAAATTGTATGGTAAAATCTAGAGCACCAAACCACCTCTAGTCCAATCTAATAAATCTGTGTAAATCTTTATCTGGGAAATATTTTGCCTCTCTTGAGAATTTGGAGCGATGATGCTAAATACACCTTGTCATAATCGCGCAATATCATACTTTAACTTCAAAAGTTTACGAATATCAAGCTTGGAGTTAAAGGTACATTTATTATAAATGACTTTTGTCTCAGATCATCGTTCGGTAATCGGACGATCCCCTTCCTAAACCCTGGGGGTAATTACCGTAATTTCAAAACTTTTGTGTCTGATGTGGGGGGAGGGGTACTTGGTAGTCTAGCATGAAATGTTTTCGACATATATACAGTCAGGCTATATTCTCTGACACGATTGCAGGGAGTAAAACCTTGGAGAAAATCACAAAATAGTAAGGATTTATAGGGGGAATAGGGGCAATGTAATCGATCAAAGAAAGAAATAGATTGAAAACCCCTGCGCTATGTCCAAAGGTGTATACATGAATTATGCCTGTATCGAGGTAAAATATACGTATATATATAATATATAAAAAATACTTGGTAAAAAATATTGTATAAAATATTCTTTATGACTGAAATGAATAATCTAGGAACGTAAACATAACAATAACAGTACTATAGGCTACTATTTACATTGACCAGGTTAAATGGACATACATAGGAACAAATAAAACAGGTTTTACTCTAAATAATAAGGTTTTATTATATGCTGACTTACAAGACATACAAGGCTTTTATGGTAATGTATGCTAATTTATGCACATAATTAAGAGAATTGACAAATTGTGGTCTAGCAAAGGTAAATGTTTCTCTCTTGATTTGTTTCTTTGTTCGTAAATAAATGTTTCTACAATCTGATTTAAATTCAGCTACAAGTATTTTTGTTTATTTATGTTCTGTGGGCCACTTCAGTCCTTCTTACTGGATTTAAAAAAAAATATATTTAGAAGTATGTTATCTGTATATGATGGCAGATGTAGCCGACGTAAAATCAATGAAAAGTGCACTACAAGGGGAAGACTTTTAATAATAAAACTTAAGTCTGGACAGAGGTTATCAAAGAAATCGAACTGTGTGTTATGATACATGATACAAGGGTGATTATAATATCATTGAATACAACAAATAAATCACCACCCATAATCACATTGGAATGTTTTCATTAAAATTCTGTTTATTGTTATCTTATAGTAACCAATGGCGGCTCCAGTGGAGGTACATGGGGGATGGGGATCATTCAGTCTCGAGAGGCTTGTGCCGACACTGGTAGTAGCGCTAAGACAGGACAATTGGCTGGAACGTCTCATGTCACTCATGTGGCTAGCAAGCAATAAGTGTAGTGCGTGTGGCTAGCGAAACTATAAGTGTAGTGGGCGGGCTAGCAAAACTATAAATGTAGTGGGTGTGGCTAGTGAGACTATAACAAGTGTGGCTAGTGAGACCATAATAAGTGTGGTGGGTGTGGCTAGCGAGACTATAACAGGTGTGGTTAGTGAGACTATAATAAGTGTGGTGAGTGTGGCTAGCGAGACTATAATAAGTGTGGTGGGTGTGGCTAGCGAGAATATAATAAGTGTGGCAGGTGTGACGAGACTATAATAAGTGTGGCGGGTGTGGCTGGAGAGACTATAATAAGTGTGGTGGGTGTGGCTAGCGAGAATATAATAAGTGTGGTGGGTGTGCTAGCGAGACTATAATAAGTGTGGTGGGTGTGGCTATAATAAGTGTAGGTTATCTTGTCTAGCAAGCTATATTAAAATTATAAAGTGTAATATGATACTATATTTGACACGATTAGACTGTTGATTTCGTTGATATCTATCAAGTACCTTTATCTAGTCAATACTAGCTCTATACACCGAAAACCTGGGGTAATTTACAACTAATCGCATCAAATGCATTATCACAAAAATTGATACCATGAATGTCCCCGATACACGGACCAGAATAATTTAGTTGCCACATCAGACCACAATAATTTAGTTGCTACATCAGACCACAATAATTTAGTTGATATATCAGACCACAATAATTTAGTTGCTACATCAGACCACAATAATTTAGTTGCTACATCAGACCACAATAATTTAGTTGATTTATCAGACCACAATAATTTAGTTGCTACATCAGACCACTATAATTTAATTGATATATCAGACCACAATAATTTAGTTGCTACATCAGACCACCATAATTCAGTTGATATATCAGATCACAATAATTTAATTGATATATCAGACCACCATAATTCAGTTGATATATCAGACCACAATAATTCAGTTGATATATCAGACCACCATAATTCAGTTGATATACCAGACCACAATAATTTAATTGATATATCAGACCACAACAATTCAGTTGATATATCAGACCACAATAATTAAGTTGATATATCAGACCACAATAATTTAATTGATATATCAGACCACAATAATTCAGTTGATATATCAGACCACAATAATTCAGTTGATATATCAGACCACAATAATTTAATTGATATATCAGACCACAATAATTCAGTTGATATATCAGACGACAATAATTCAATTCATATATATCAGACCACAATAATTTAATTGATATATCAGACCACAATAATTTAGTTGATATATCAGACCACAATAATTTAATTGATATATCAGACCACAATAATTTAATTGATATATCAGACCACAATAATTTAATTGATATATCAGACCACAATAATTTAATTGATATATCAGACCACAATAATTTAATTGATATATCAGACCACAATAATTCAGTTGATATATCAGACCACAATAATTTAATTGATATATCAGACCACAATAATTTAATTGATATATCAGACCACAATAATTTAATTGATATATCAGACCACAATAATTTAATTGATATATCAGACCACAATAATTTAATTGATATATCAGACCACAATAATTTAAGTGATATATCAGACTACAATAATTTAATTGATATACCAGACCACAATAATTTAGTTGATATACCAGACCACAATAATTTAATTGATATATCAGACCACAATAATTTAATTGATATATCAGACCACAATAATCTAGTTGATATATCAGATCACAATAATTTAATTAATATATCAGACCACAATAATTTAATTAATATATCAGACCACAATAATTCAGTTGATATATCAGACCACAATAATTTAATTGATATATCAGACCACAATAATTTAATTGATATATCAGACCACAATAATTTAATTGATATATCAGACCACAATAATTTAATTGATATATCAGACCACAATAATTTAATTGATAATATATCAGACCACAATAATTCAGTTGATATATCAGACCACAATAATTTAATTGATATATCGGACCACAATAATTTAGTTGATATTTCAGACCACAATAATTAAATTGATATATCAGACCACAATAATTTAATTGATATATCAGACCACAATAATTCAGTTGATATATCAGACCACAATAATTTAATTGATATATCAGACCACAATAATTTAATTGATATATCAGACCACAATAATTTAATTGATATATCAGACCACATTAATTTAATTGATATATCATGGTGTAGATCGAAAGGGTCTGAACAGGTTCCATATGTTTCAATTCTTCCCACTTATTTCCTTCCCCACCATTTTGAATTCTGTCTGCATATGTGGAACTCTTTTTGAAATCTGTTCCAATTTTGTTTTATTGAATGTTCTGTTGATCCCTGAAACAAGAACGTGCCAAACTCACCCACCAGACGGCCCCTAGGAAACAGACAGAAAAAAGTTAATAACTTACAATTTTATTTTTTATACAAAATTACAAAATATACACTTACTTATAATTAAACAGTTTTATTACATGGGAAATGGCTAACCTTTACTTTGTCATGTGAATATTATAAAAGAATAAATTACACCATTTCACTGAGCCCTATCAGTCTTATAAGATAGCATATCAAGGCATAGGGCAAGGGTTTTCAACCTTCTTCTTTCTATTATCCCTTTCAGAATCCTTAATCGACATGCATTACCCCCTAATAAACGAATTGCCCCTATAAACCCTGACCATTTCATGACTTTTTAAGGTTTTTACCTGCAATCAGAGAATATAGCAGTGTAACTTAATACAGAGACTTATACCATACATGAAAACATTCTTTAAACACAACTTTATCCCTGTACCAGTACCTTCTGTTGAATAGTGACTAGTTGCTTGTCAATATTAACTGGTTTCTCCTAAATTTCTATTCTTGACTAAACAGAGTCTCATGACCTCACCAAAATTTCAAAATTACCCTGTTAGGGGTAATTACAACCAGGTTGATAATGTCTAGTCTGCAGGGTAAGAAGACTCTACAAGATAGGGAACTAGGACACTAGACTGTATTATTCATAAGTTGAAGTAATATTTTTGATCGTTCCACCAATCTTTGACAATTTATTTTATCTTCATTCACTTTCATCTTTAATTCTTCTGCTTCCTTTATCACCTGTAATTAATCAAGTTTTTAGGGTTAACAACCTCGCGAACATTAAACAAAACTTAAGAAATGTATAGAGCCTACATAAACGGGAATAGTTTAGCTAAGCCAATCAGTCCTCAGCTCACTGGCGAAATTTGAGCCTTAAAATTCATGTGTGTCCAGAATTATCTGTGTTTGTAAGTTGAATATATGACTCATCTTTTCTACTCTGCCATATGTAGAAAGGACATATAGAAATAGTAAGTAAAATTCCTAGTTTGAGATATTTTCAAAGGTATTATGTGATTTTCGCACATTTCTAGTACTTCTGAAGACTATTTACTATATTCAAGACTCAAATCAAAGTCCCTATAATCAATATTGTGTTCAGTTTCCAGTAGTATCCTACCTCCTGAAGTTCTTGCTGTACTTGTTCAATATTTATTTCATCATCTCCATCATCATCAATCATACATCTTGACTCATCTTGTATCCAGCTAGATAGATGTTTACCTTGTTTCTGTAATATTCTGAAATTTACATAAAACAATGACATAAGTTTATTAATGAATGATTGAGCACTCAGAAGATTCTGACATTAAAATAACATAATATTCAAATAATCCTTATAAACATTAGTTCATCATTTATAATCCAAGTTTAAATGAAAGTCAAATATTTTGACAAAAAAAAAGGTATTTGTTTTAATGGTCCTTTTTAAATGTGCATGCCTGGTAAAAACCCCTTTCTCCCTAACATAGGACAGATTAAATATTTAGTATATGCAATAGAAATTGGTCCAAATCCGTTAATCAAAAATCTCGTTCTAAAATGGCAATCTTTACAGGACAATATTTACAGAATCTATACATGCACTTAACATATCAAGGGTAGTCTGTTCCAAATGTCTGTGATTCCTGCAATTCTAGAAATACTCAAACAGATTGTGATAGTCAGGTCATAGTTCGAAGGTGAAAGTTCGAAGGTGAAAAAGCAGTCTTTTTCACTTTCGATTTTTTCAGTTGAATTATTTGAATCTGTTTATCAATTCTAAACTTACTTTAGTCTTTTCTTGTCTGCATCAAATTTTTTCAAAACATTTCTGATAAAAACTAGCTCTTCTTGGTAGGACATATCTTTTGGTACAGCCTTTGGCACAGAATTTGCTTTTGGTTCCAGATTTTGGTGTCGCTCTGATCCTAGATTTCGCTCAGAATTCAACAACACATCATTTGTAATGGTCACATCATGGTCTTGAGAATCAAACACTTTAAATGAATGTTGACTCTTCATAAAATCTTCAGGCTTCAATAATGTAACCTCGTTCAACTCCTTTGTGGATTCAAAATTTATTTTTGGAATGTCTTGATCACCCGACAGCGTAGAAATGGCAAGAGTTGATTGGCGGAGAGTTTGACGTCCAGATAGAGGCGAGGAATGTAAAATGCGTTGATTTGCCGATGATTTCTGGGTATTTGAAGATAGGTCTGCATCATGGTGGCCATCTTGAATTGAATTACGGGAAATGGAATGATTATCAGGGGGAGAGAACTCTAAATGTCTTGGTTTTTGAGGTTGATGTGGTTCACTAGGTGGTGTTTCTCCATGAGTTTGTGGAGCGCTGTTTGGGTAATCAATAACATCTGATTGAGGCTGCGTAGCAGAAGATCTGATTCCATTTCGTTCCTTTTCTTCTTGTGGGCTTGAAGAAAACAAAATACAAAATACAAAAAACTTACCCACCTAAAAAATATGGTGTTAGGGTGTAGGAAGGGGGTGAGGGTAAGGAAAACAACTCCCAATGTAACATCAAATTAATTTTCTTACAAATGAATATATATGCACACTAATGGAATAAAGGAGATAGGCATGAAATAAAACTGTTGGTGGTGGGTAAGGCAAATATTTAGAGAACTTTATCTCTTTACAAATTCTACCTTACCTATCTGATTGTGTGAGGAAGAGACCTGCTCTGTTTAGAGATTCCACCAGAAATGAAGGTCGTCGAGGTTTACGTCTTTCTATAGCTGTTAGTATTGGATCTCTAAAATAATAAAATAAATTAAGGTTATATTGATAGGGATTTATAGCTGACATATAACAAATAAAAAATTACATGAATTGACAGGCAACCCCATGCAGTGGGCAATGGGTGAAATGTTTGCAAGGATGGGGCATTAGTTTAACTATCCAACTGTTATGTGATCTTCAACAGCTTGTCAAACATAGGACCTCAGTTTATTGTACAATTTGAAAGACGCTTTTTCCATGTCGGTACCATATACCTGTATTACTGACAGAGGGAAACCAGGAGCTAGGGACACAGGACCTTCAGGTTAGAGAACAAGTATCTAACTCACTGAGCGCTCTACAACAAGTAAGATGAAAGTAACCATAAATGCCTCAAATAAAGAGCTTACTCTATGTGTTCAGTTGTATTACGTTGTTCTAATCGTAACGGAGATGAAATAGAAGTCTTATTCAATGCTGGTATTGGTAAATCAGGAAGACTTGACATTTTCTGTCCAATGATTGGTCTTTGTGGATCATGTGACTTCATCACTGTATGCTGATTGGATGATTTAGACTGAGGAACCAATGGACGTGGTCCACCACGGCGAGCAACATTAGAAGCTGTTGTATGTTTCCAGTGAAGGGCATACTTCTGAAGGAGTTGAAATCTTTCATAAGCAGACTGCAAAATGAATAAGAGACCATTCAAGATATAGTAAAGCTTACAGGATACACTCAACTGAATATTTGATTGAAAACTCAAAGATATTGTCAATCAGTATCTCCAATATTCTTTTGTTATCATTTAATTGCAAATGGATGGATGATTTTTCAAACATAATTACAGTAGTATGTTTTCAGTAATTGGAGAGGTGTACCAAATTGGCTAATCTATACATGATGTCCGATACAGGATATTGACTGTCAGTCATTTGAGCTTCCCGTCAGTCATGTCCGACATATAGAGCAAAACCAACAGCCCTGGTACCAATTTTGCAGTACTATATTTGCGATTGGCTCACTAATCACGAAAAGTGAAAGGATCAAGAATCACAACTATGGCTTGGTTGTCTTTTCAAAGGTGAGGCAATTGAATTTAGCTGTAGTCTTGCTCTAATAAAGGAGAATCTCCAGATTCCAGACATTGCAAACTTAAAGGAGCAAAAGTCTTGAATATATACCTTAGCTTGTTGCTGGGCTGCAAACTGTGACCTCATTTTCGACAAATCATCAGACACCGACAGCCATTGAGACACGCCATTTTGTAATAATCTATGACGTCTTGTTTCCATAGCAACTGATATTCTTTCTCGTTTACGTTTTCTATCCTCTATGTATTGTAGCCATCCATCTATCACCTAGGTAACCCAAAAAAAAATGTATGAAAAATAATATGCATCAATTAAATCAAATAGATATAGCACAAAAAATTCATTGGATTTTCATGGATTTCTGCTAGTTCTATATAGTCTTGTATGAAGACAGGTGCAAAAATTGGAAAATTAGCCTTAGAAAGAAATTTTTTTATCCAAATAATATTATCCGAACTGATGTTTTTGGTGACCAAGAGTGAGCGAAACTTTTGTTCCTATATCCGATTTTAATAACATAATTGATAAATCTCGGACTTGAAAACTGATTTGGAAGCTGAATTTCAATTTTGCTTTAGGTTTTAATTTAGTGGAACTTTGTAGGCTTAAATTTGTTGTGATCTTTCACATTTAGTGACCTTGACCTGAACTATCCAATAATATTTTCATCTTTGATCCCTGATGGTCTAACACGTGACTAGCCTAGAGCATAAATTTTGTCAGAATCTAAATATACTTGTTATCCTCATTTTAACCAGATGCAAAATTGGCATTTTTTCAAGATATACATCAATATATTTATATTCACTGTTGGATGTCTACTTCCAGTCCTTTCGGAGAGATTTTATCAGATCAAGTATATTTATAGCTCTAGTTTATTATTTTCATCATTTTCCACAGGGTTGATGCGGCTCCTGAATATACAAAGAGTCTTCAGAAGGACTAGAATTTCACTATCTATTTCTATAGATGTCTGTTCTACATAAGGCAGTGTATCAAGAAAAGACAAGTCATCTTTTTAACATTCAAATGCGGATAATAATGGATGCACATGGATTTGAAGGCTCAAAATGTGATCTGTGAACACTATTACTGATCAGCTGAGACTAAGGTACAATAGGTAAAAGAGCGAACCTGTCCCTTTAGGCAAGACTTACCTTCTTCTGTAGATTAAGACTCCAATGCCATAAAGCAAGATGAGTTTTTTCCTGAGATTGTTCTGCCTGATTAAAATATTCCTTCCATAATAAATAATATTTAGCTGTTAGTCTAACTTTATAGAACCATTCAGCTTGTCTTGACAGCAGCTGGAATTCAATATAAATCTGTTGAAGTGATTGTTAAGAGGTTTTAAATATTTTTTTATGTATATCAGGACACTGATTGCATCAATTTGCATCATTCCTTTTGACCCAACCTGATGACCTCTGCTTTAACCAATCAAATTCCTCCACTCTCTCAAAATCCCAGTGCTGGTGAGGGCAGAAATTTGATTGGTTAAAGCAGAGGTCATCAGGTTAGGTCAAAAAGCTATTGTGGCAAACATTTAAGAGAACACTCTAAACTGAAGTGGCTATATTAAAAATTAAAACTAATAAAAAACGGACTGAAGTTAGGTCTAGTTTTAATTAGACTGTCAACTAATATGCCAATGCATAAGATTGGCAAAGAATATGAAAGGTTTTGAGTAAAGCTTTATTTGAAAGATATCCAATGCTAAAGTTCCTAACGAGAACGAATGACTTACAGTTTTTCTATGAGCAAGTTGAGTAAAGTGTTTCCAAGTAAATAATACGGTACTGTACAGTTTATTATTGTGATGTTGTCGAGCCTGTTCCATTCGTAATCTAATCAGGATACTCTCTTCTTTCTTACAACACCATTTCTTATAATACTCTCTTATTCTTACTGTAATAGAACGAGATGGAGTTTTACATCCTATTTTACTGCTCTAGATTGGACTTATGAAGATGTTATGTATTGTGTAAGGAAGAAACTGTTTTGACAACAGCTATTTTCGCCTACTCTTTTCAATTTCCAACTGTCGAGAAATCTTTAACAAGCACAGCCTGTAACACAGAGCCTTGGTTTATTTTGCCATCCAAACAACTAGAAACTATGTCAGGCCCTCCAATTTGCATCACTGTAAGGGAAAATAACCTAATAAAAATAGTAAATGTGCTCAAATGCTTGACTTCAAATTCAGCAAGCAAGTGTCTTAATTTTATGAGCCTCTGTCTAGAGTGATAGACAAACTTTACTGGTAGTTATAGTTAATCAAATGTATAGAGCCCAAGTCAGCCACAACTGGTAAATCAAATCAAAGCCTACAATTTGAATCAATGATTAATATCAATATATGCTACCTTTATTTAAATGTTGCCTAGCCTCCTCTTCAAGTTTCAGTGATTCAGATTTTTTATAAGCATGTATAACAGCATATCTATGCCAAGTTGTAAACACCTTCATAATATAAAAAAATATAAGTGTAGTTAAAATAATGCCTTATAAAGAACAAGAGGGGTACTTTCTTACAGGGTTATCTACAACTTTTCCCTCAATAGAAGGTGTTAGCGCGTAGAGTAATACAAATTGGACAATCCATTATCCTTGATATGATGACCAATCTCTATAAGTGTCTATATTTATTATAAATCATTCCAAAATTGCCTTGCAGAAACCAATTAATGCCAAAATACAGTCACAAACAGGAGAGAGAGATTTGCTCAAAACCTTTGATCTGTCATAGTGTATAGTGTATAACCATAACAAAATGAAGGGTCTGAAGTATTTTCAGGAAAAGGTAATTAATGAACCTACTTGCTGTACAAGATGAAGATTATGGTGGATTCCAGCAGCTTCTTCTTTTCTTCTCTCTTCTTTTATTTCTTTTACATTTTCATACCATTGTCTCAAAATACGCCTAAAATAACAACACACACAGAGTCAATACTTACTATAAAATAGTTCTATATATTCTATAATACAGACTAGAGTCAATACTTACTGTTTTAACTGGTATGATTTAAGATGATATTTTGTAGTAATGACAGTATTTATCTGTCTAGTGTTATATATATATTGTATAAAGGATGATAAGATAGTTCTATATATTCTATAATACAGGCTAGAGTCAATACTTACTGTTTTAACTGGTATGATTTAAGATGATATTTTGTTGTAATGACAGTATTTATCTGTCTAGTGTTATATATATATTGTATAAAGGATAAGATAGTTCTATATATTCTATAATACAGGCTAGAGTCAATACTTACTGTTTTAACTGGTATGATTTAAGATGATATTTTGTTGTAATGACAGTATTTATCTGTCTAGTGTTATATATATATTGTATAAAGGATAAGATAGTTCTATATATTCTATAATACAGGCTAGAGTCAATACTTACTGTTTTAACTGGTATGATTTAAGATGATATTTTGTAGTAATGACAGTATTTATCTGTCTAGTGTTATATATATATTGTTTAAAGGATGATAAGATAGTTCTATATATTCTATAATACAGGCTAGAGTCAATACTTACTGTATTAACTGGTATGATTTAAGATGATATTTTGTAGTAATGACAGTATTTATCTGTCTAGTGTTGTATATATATTGTATAAAGGATGATAAGATAGTTCTATATATTCTATAATACAGGCTAGAGTCAATACTTACTGTTTTAACTGGTATGATTTAAGATGATATTTTGTAGTAATGACAGTATTTATCTGTCTAGTGTTGTATATATATTGTATAAAGGATGATAAGATAGTTCTATATATTCTATAATACAGACTAGAGTCAATACTTACTGTTTTAACTGGTATGATTTAAGATGATATTTTGTAGTAATGACAGTATTTATCTGTCTAGTGTTATATATATATTGTATAAAGGATGATAAGATAGTTCTATATATTCTATAATACAGACTAGAGTCAATACTTACTGTTTTAACTGGTATGATTTAAGATGATATTTTGTAGTAATGACAGTATTTATCTGTCTAGTGTTGTATATATATTGTATAAAGGATGATAAGATAGTTCTATATAGTTTATGGTTGTGATATCTTATGGCTTTGTTCATCAATATCTTTTCTTTTTTCTTGATGGCACAATACTGAAATAATTTATTTTAAAGTGAATCAGTAAATATGACAATGAATTTGAACTCCACTTAATATATCTTATGTTACCAGTCACTAACATTACAGGGAAAGCTCAACCTTCAGATACACTTGATGTTGTTCTGCAACTCTGCACTTCTGTTAGAGAGGCATCACAAACTTAAAAATAGTTTATTTAGAAAAACAAAAAACTTGTTGAATTGGAGATTGAATTATAATAAGGCTACAATGTACAAAATTCGTTGTCTTAGCTATTTTCTTTAACATGTTTAAGATGATTATAAGAGACAAGAAATCAGTGAGAAAGTTTATAATATCAAATTGGTACATGTTCAGAAATGATGTTTACCTGTTGCCATTGTTGGAATTTCTGTTTTAATAAAGTTTTATATCGAACTGGACTGCTAGTACTTCATTTCTTTCACTAGAAATATCAATAAAAAAAAATGTTTTAATCCAACTTTTCTACCATTATTAGTGAAAATATTTTGTATATAGTAGAATTATAGCACTAGAGAATTCAACATTTATCATTTACCTCTTAAATTCAATAAAATAATATGCTCATAAATAAAACCTGCACCAACCTGTTTTTAATCTCTACTATATGATTTCTCCAGGCTGTAAAATGTTTCTCACCATGTTTCCAGTTGTAATGTTCAGTTGCTTGTTCCTAAATACAATAAAATAATTTTATCATGTACATTTGTGAAAACTATACACCAAAATCTAGAGAACTGCGCCTTTCAACGTTTCTGAAAATTTTAACTAAAAAAAATCCAGCTGTTAATTTGTAAACGAAAAAACTATTTAAAAATATTACGTTAGGTTTTAAGTTCGTTATGCTTTTTTGAAGCTGTTCGAAAACTAGTATACAGATTTGAGTAAAATAAACACCTTTATTGTAGAGAAATATGTCTCCTACGTTTTCTAAAGATTTCAACTAAATATAACGAGCCATTATCGAGCCAATCACCGAAACTAGTCCAAACTGCTTAATTAACAATTAGTTCACTCCGTTTTTAATTTAATCCTTAAAACAAATTCAGTTTGATCAAATAGATACATTGATATAAATAGCATACTTGAGAAATATTTTCAGGCATAATTTAAGACGTTTATGATAATGAAATTTTTTTACAAAAAAGCGGAATACCACTTTAAAGAATAAGGAATTTGAATGCTTTTTGTGCAAACCTTTGTTCTGCTGAAAACACATTCGTTTTCCACATCTTATTACTTTTTTAATAATAAATAATTAATTTTCTAAGTGGACAAACCTCTTTAACTTGCTCTGTTAAAACATCTTCAGTTCTCTGTTTCCATGACAGAAAGAATCTGTATCGTAAACAATCTTCATAATGCAGAAACGCCTAAAATCGTAAATTATTTGATACCAATTTTCATTATGAAATACTCACTTATAATTGATATACATCCTCATATTAAAAGTTCATTAGCTGCTACCAATATGTCAACAGATTTCAGGTCTTGTTTTACAGTTCAGATTGTAATACTTGGATTATTTATACAAGTTATGAATTTGTCCTCTACTTCATACAAGTGTATAAAAATGACACAATCAAGCCATGATTCAAACACTTTAAGCCTCCACTGTTTATATGGAATATGATTGTAAAGGGCTTTAGTGGGTCCTTCCTTTAACTCCATATTCAGTCAAAGGTTGTTTAAAACTTTTATCACTATCTACTACCAAAGATATGAGAGTTAATCAATAACTGTATTATTGTAAATATAATGTACAACCCTTTACCCTTATCAAATCTGGAAAAATCGCTGATGTGATAAATAATACACATCCTGTCTGTATTTATAAGATAATGGAATACTTACCATTCTTTCTGCCAGCCGGTTTTCACGACACTGGTCAGCTGTCTCTACCCAGTAATAAAAATATCGAGACAAGGTACTCTCTCTGTAATATAATGGAATAGTTTAATAACATTTGATTTAAAGCAACAGTTGATTATTTCTGTAACTACTATCATGTTTACATGAAATGAGAAAAAAAGAACTACAATATAGCTAAGCAGGGGTGTATCTTGAAAATGCCTGTGGGGTGTCTGTCTTAGGAGAGGCCTAAATTGCCAGAGCATCTAGGGAGCTTAATTTTCATTTCATAAGACATTTCACAGCTTGAGGGGGTGGGGGAGGGGCATGGTATGGAGAATATTATACAGTGGAAAGATTTTTAATTCAGGCTCATCTCAAGCATGGCATGGCAGCTAGTATTTCAGATATAAAACCCTCATCAGGACGTTGTTCTCTGCCTTACCTATAAAACTGGACAGACTTCTCCTTGTTTTCTTTCTGATTTTTAGAAATTTGAAGGAAAACTTTAAAGGCAAATAAATATTTGGGCATCTGATGTAAATAATGATGAGTATCAGCTTTAAGATGTTGTTCCTGAAAACATAAGAATGAATATCAGGGTAGGTATTAAAAGAAATAGCTGTCTTAGTATTTTCATTAATATCTATTAGAGTTCTATTTCAGTCACATGTGTTGCTTTTCAAACTCATAATCTGTCATCTGGTTTTTAGAACAAATATTTCAACCAGAATAGTAGGTTGTATGATGTTCAACTTTCAAATTTCATCTTACTAAAACATAAATTGTGGCATAAAATGAAGTGGAATTGGCATACTGGTGTACAGGTCAGGAAATAAATCTGGAGATTTGCCTTGAAAAATCTGAAGATTTGCCTTGAAAATTCTGGAGATTTGCCTTGAAAAATCTGGAGATTTGCCTTGAAAATTCTGGAGATTTGCCTTGAAAAATCAGAAGAATTTTTCCAATGTGCGTAAATTTGTGAATTTTAAGCTCCAAAGTGGGTTTTTTTCATTCATTGCATGCAGTGTGCAATGAAGGAAATTTTGTCAGGGCAGCAGCAAGTTACATCTTATGTAGTATAAGTTTGTTTTTGTCAGATACACAATGTTTATAATACTCATTCAACCAATTCACTTGTCTTTTATCTTACCTTTCTATGAGCTCTCCATTCTTTATAAACTTTCAACGATTTCAGACATTTCATCAATATCACATTTCTGGAAAATATTAAACAGGAATATTCATGAGGTACATAGCAGACACTTGTTGGGTTTAATGGCACATGTTTTGTTTAATTCTCACGATTAAGATTTGCCGTTTATGTGGAAAGAGCCTCACAAGGATCCTTTTAACAGCTGGTTCTTGGCATGGATTCATCCATGTATCATTGTACCCATTATTAGCTGGGTAGACTAGAACAATGAGGTAAGATGACCAGACTTTCACAAGCTGACCAGGATTAGATCCCTTGAATATTGTTGTAACTGAGCAAACAACATGAAGATTTCAACACTCTTACTGACTGATCTACAGTCCGTTCTCGAAATGAAATATCACTGAAAGTCTCCTCCTTGAACTTGAGTGGCATTTAGTAACGGGGCTATGAATAACTGGACACAATTATATAGATAACAATTACTTTAATAAATAACTTGTGATGTTTCAACGATGATGCTTTCGTCTTGATTAAGCAATTGTTATCCATATAATTGTGTCCAGTTATCCCTCTTGTAAACTATTATAAAAACTAAAACTATAGTTAAAGTATTACCTGTGATGTTTTCTAGCTTTAGCTGTTAAGGGAAGTAACTCTAGTTCTTCATTCCCTTCACAACGTTTTAACCAAACATTCCAGTACTGACGTAATACCTAAAATACAAAATAAAAACATCATTACCATGACATCTCACCTTTTCATTTTAAAATCATCAAGTTTATTATCATAGCGCCCCTAAACAATTCAACCCCAATCTATACCCCATTTCATCCCTTGTCATGTTGCCCCTTCCTATTTCAACCCTTACCAATTCCTTCCTTTTCCATTTCGCCACTTTTTATTTCGTCCTATCCTGTTATTTTTTATGTGGTTTAGATATCTATTCAAGAAATACAAAATCATTTTATATATCTACAGTAAAAAACCAAAGAGCAAAAATTTCTTTTACCTGTCTATGATGTAACTGTGTTGCCATGGTTTTTCTCATTCTTTGAATTCTAACTTGTACAGAATTTAAACGAAATGCATTTAACCCATAGGACTGAATATACAAAACAGTGTTAAAAAAAATAAAATATATATCAGTTCTTTTCACAAAACTTTCTATTTTAAATAAAATATTCTAAACATTAGAAATTGCGTGTGAAGCAAGTTGTATATGATGAACATATTGAATTGTACTCTAATTGAGTTGTAATCTTTTCATTTTTTTTTTATAGTTACATTAATAATTGATTTGTCAGAGAGGGTAATATAGATGAAGCCTATTTCCCAATCCTTTTCATAGTGTATATCTTTGAATATGTTTGTGAATAGAATATTTTTTACAAAAAAAATATATATATATTGGTCTTAGCATTGAAACTTTATAGACAATCCTGTTATGAAAAGGGATATTGTTTTCTTACCAATAAATGTTTTCTATAAAACTGATCTGCTGTCTGTATTTTCTCTCTTTCTCTTTGTTTATTCTCAATAACTTCTTGTGGTTAAAGAATTTTACTTAAATTATCATTTTTTTCTTTCAATAGAAATTTCAGGTCAAACTCTCAATTGCTGACACACAAACTGTTATACAAAATCCAAACCAAAGAAGATTTAGTATTCAAGTTATCTGATTGGTCAATCACTAAAAGTGAATTTAAATTACATTTCATTAGCCAATCAGATTATTGTATTTCTTTCAATTTTTTCAATACATCTGTCCGTACGAATAGTCAAATTGAAAGCCTCATTGCCACTTTAAAATAAGAAAAGGATACAAAGTTTCCATCTTTCGAGATATTTTCTAAGTTGAAACTGGTAACCAAGGTGATGTATTGTCTCCTGTATATTACGATGATTATAGACCTGCCGTAATCTTTCTTTCCAATATTTTATACAGCGTAATTTTACTGAGATTTCATACAACTTCTTACCATATTCTACAAAAATACGTTGAAATATTAATTATAATCAGTTGGAATTTAGACAAACTTTTAACATTTAATAAATATAAACACTATTATAGATATACTGCTCCTTTCTTTAATTCTAGTAATGTTTCAATTCACATACAGAAATCTTTATCAAGCACAAAATAATAATAAAGAGTTTTGGTTTTACTGTGTAAAATATTCATGTGCAATTTAACTGCAATATTCAGAAATATTTTCTTATATTATGATATTTTCTTCACATTTTCTAAATGGAGCTAAACCATCAACAATTGAACATTGCCCTCTACTGACACAGAATAGACCCAATGCAATTTACCTTCATATCAATTCTAGTGGGTCCATCAGACATTGTTTTCAATATTTATAGGGGTCACTTATCTTGGTTCCAACCAATTAATCCTTCAAGCCCCACCCCAAAATAATTATAAAAATGCCTAATAAGACATATACCTTTGGTGTGTATTTTAACTTTACGTTGTTGATGGTACACTAGCCAATGAGATAGAGTTGTCTTCAGTAAACATCTGTTATAGTACTGCTCTGCCATCTTTATCTTCTCTCTTTGTTGTATTCTATCGTTATATCTTTCAACCCACAGAAACCAGTGCTGAAACAAAACATTTCATATTTACAAATCTTGAATCAATTCTATCTGACGAAAAGGTTTACTACCTCTTAGAAATATCATAACAATTCTCAAATTTAGCCAATAAGAATATAGATTTATCTGTGGACTTGTAAACATGTACCTGGTAGCATAAATATGCTACTTACAATGTCATAGACTATATACTTTCACAAGTTGGTCTCACCCTTAGTGTCATGATCTTTCCCAAATCATCTGTATCAACTTACATCAGTTCTGAGTGAAATCACAACAATGCCTACCTCAGCCTGAAGTCTGTATGCCCAGAATTGTAAAGCGATACCATCCATCTCACGATAATGTTCAACATTAGTCATTTCTTCCTTCCATTTATTCCAGGTAGATCTGAAATTTCAAAACATACAAAAAATTGAAACTAAAAGGGGTTATAAAGATCTTTCTTTTTCCTTTTTAATCGATTTTAAGCCATTATTTACATCATTCCAATTTTCCCATCTGAATGAACTACAAGCTAATTAATATTTCAATATAACATAAGAGTACAAAGTTTATACTTTACCTGAGCAGTTGATTTTGTCTGAAGGTCAAGGCTGTCTGACCCCTGACATTCGACTGTTTCTGTTGTTTTTTATAATTCTTCCACGCTTCCACCATTTTACTCATCAACACCCTTTTATCTTTAAAACAAAAAATGAAATAATTAAAAAATAATGTCCTTTTAAAAAGAAAAAAAATCAAACACATTTTTACGCTTATACTTTCATTTAGTTACTAGTGTTACATTTTCAAAACAATACGATATATTTCAAACAATTTTTTTGATATTTCCAGTCAGTGATCTTTAAAAACAAACATGCAAGCGATCTCGTTACACAGGAGCTGTTAGTAGATGTGAAATTTCCAGTCTGTGATCTTTAACGACAAACATGCAAGCGATCTCGTTACACAGGAGCTGTTAGTAGATGTGATATTTCCAGTCTGTGATCTTTAACGACAAACATGCGCGCGATCTCGTTACACAGGAGCTGTTAGTAGATGTGATATTTCCAGTCTGTGATCTTTAAAAACAAACATGCAAGTGAGCAGTTGGTAGATGTGAAGTATAAGAAGTAGTACTTACAATGTTGTTCTGCTTTATAAATGGCTGCCTTTTTCTCTCGACATCGAGCAAGATATTCCCTCCACGCCTTGATCACATGACCCCATACAACATACCTAGTCAAATACATCAATAATCTTTCATATTCTAAATCATACGTCCCCAACCTGTTGTGCTCCATGTTAGTACCCCTGACTTCCACATAAGCGACATTATTCACAATTTGGCAATGCATCATATACATTTGTACACAGTAGCAAGGGGCAATATGGGAAAGGGGTGAAACAGAGAAGGGACAAATCAGAGAAGGGGAGAAATGCAAAGACACTGTGAATCAATACCTGTATCCAAAAATACTTTGGAAAAATTGACTATTTACATGAATAATGCCAAAATCAAACTGTATCTATCAGCTGATAAAGCAAATATCTAGAGGACTATTGATTGGTTGATCAGAGTGTCTAGTAACCTTACCTATAATGACATTCAGCTCTGATCATCAACCTCCATTCCTGTCTGATTACCCACCAGTCTTCATACCACACGGCAAATATCTTACGTCTTATCACATTGTTATAGTGAGATCTACAATATAAACATTGTTCATTAAATTCATTAAATTGTTTGGATATAAACAGTCTCATCTTAGCTTGCTGACAACAGATGGTAGAATCTTATATAATCATACTTACATAGCTTTAGAGGGTAAAACTCTACCAAATACACCCTTGATCCACAAATATAGATATTTTCTAGCAATATTCCTGTAAATAATATATTATATTTAATAATTGGAGTGAATAAAAGTTACTTTAAGTAAGCTTACAGCTCTTTTCGATATATTTCAAAAGAAACAAATTCACTAATTTCAATTTAGAATGTTTAAATGACAGCTAAGAACCCAAATAATGTCAGCTTCTATCTCAGATTTTCATATGACACTGAAGTACCCTAAGTCATGTCATGTCATGTTACTAAATAGTCAACAAAAAATCTGAATATCAAGACAAAGATTCCAACAACATCTAAATGACTTACAACAAACATCACCTTATTGTAAATTCTTTAAAAATAAATCTAAATGATAACAACAAAACCTAAATGACTTACAACAAACATCACCTTATTCAAGTTCTTTAAAAACAAAATCTAAATGATTTACAACAAACATCACCTTATTCTAAGTTCTTTAACACGACCACCTCGGTTCCAAGTATAATCTGGTCTGTAATTTCTGACATTGATTTTTGATTTTTCCTTTCTGTCTCTCCGTCTCGCTCTAGGGTTGCTTGGTGTGGGGATTTTAGATGACACAGTTGTATTTTTCATCTCTCCAGTCTCTTTTCTAAAAGTGACAAAATAACATTCCTTACCTGGCAACATAAAATAGAACATGTTTTTCAAGTTTAAAGAAATAATAACCAAACCATTTGATAGTGTGGGAAAATAGGGAAGCAGATAAAATTGGCAGACACATTTTAGAATTTTTTCTGCCAAATGTCAAGTCAATGTGGATATATTAGTACTGTACCAGTATAGGTAGGTAGGTACTTGGGTTGGGTAAAATGATCAAAATAATAGATTTTCGTCGCTAGGAATTTATGATTTCAGTTATCAATTATCAAATTTCATAAATGATTACATGTCAAATTTCTCCATTGTACCCGTTAACAAGTAGTAATCTCTTCCACATAGGTTCCCTTCAGCACATAACATACCCACAATAAACTATAATAACCGATCAAAGAAAGAGTAAACTTGACGCAAAATTACCCATGAAATTAAGAATTTTGGCATGTTTTTAATTTAGTATTTACAGGGTTCCTCAATTGAATTTTTTATTATTATTAATCGATTATTGATCAGTAGATTGCCATCTATAATCAATCTCAATTTGGTAATCGATATCCAGCCTGTAGCAACTGCTGAGATCCAGATAAAAATATAACGACACAGCTTTATGTATAAGAAGCCACTCCACTGACTGGGATGGGAGGGGGAGGGGGTGGGTGGTGTCTTGGTTTACCTGTACTCAGTTCTTGATGGGTGTAGAACGACAGTTTTAGATGCCAGCTGATTGACAGTTGTTTCATCTCCTGCACCATTCACCTCCTCAACTGTCATTCCATGTCGGGTTTGTAATTTCATTCGTTCAGCTCGTAACGATAGATCTTTATTCAGCTCTTTTAGAATGGCTTGTTTCGCCGAAACATGACTTTCAGATCCAGATTCGACATGACTTTCGGCCTTGTTCAGGGCTCCAGTGAATCTAGGATCGTCAGGCACTCGACGAAAATCTCTCCGACTCATGATCTAACCATTATCTACCATTTTTGGAATCATTTATTTGAAATTTTCATGCAAGAAAAGGTAAAGTTTATGAACATGATCAAACACAAATTTTCTTCCCGCGAGATGTAAACAAACGTTGCGTACAATTTACGGATTATTTAGGTTAGGAATAATCCGGAACGAAATATATAAAAATTTTAAAAATTTCTTCTGGGCCAAATATTTTATATTGGGAAAAATTTGTGACTTTTTATTTCTACCCTCCCCGGATTTTAGCATATTGTCAAAAAAAATTATTCCCGAAAATATGATTGGACGCATTAGAAATCTTCGCGGTCCAATCAGTAACTTTGTTTCATTCTCAAATCCAAAATGGCCACGGCCACTGCCTCGCATTGTTGTCGTGTGTGTAACGGGGCCATCACAGTGAAAAGCAGACGAAAACTATTTGTACAAGAATTTATGCTTTTGGAAGAATTATGTGAGGTCTTAGGCTACATGCCATCGGAAAATGATAATGGCTCACAATATGCCTGTTATTTGTGCTGGGGGGCTCTGAGTAAACTCAAGAAATTGAACAATGATTTGGTAGAGAAATTGATACGTGATAGACAAAATCTGGTGAAAAAACTGAAAGACAAACACATTTCGAATTGTTCTTGTGGCAAAGTACAGAAGAAAGGTAGGCCTATAGAAATTTGATGTGGTTTTGTTTTCTGTGTGTCTGTATTCATCCGACATTCCGCTTGTAAAAAAGTGATCCGTTGTTGATACTCAGGAATAGAACATCTTCACAATGTCAAGCCATTATGAACTGCGTCCAATACCTTGACATCATTAGGCACTTTTCTTGTTTGCAAGTCATACAAAACTCGGCAAGTTTTAAATCTTCTGCTATTCTGTCTAATCTCTTGAAGACTAATTCTTTTTCTTTTGATTTCAGCCATCAACGTTTTTTAATGAACTCCGCCTAATACCTTGACATTATTAGACACCCTTCTTATATCACAGAAGTTTGTAAGTGCAGCAATTTGAGTGGATTGTACTCTAGCGAATACAGCCAATCAGAGCCCTTGACAGAAAAACTCTCTGTGTTGTGAACTTGTTTTGATTTAAAGACTTAAATTTATTTTCTTAAAAATCAGGTGAAAATGGCAGCCATCTTAAGTAGCTCGGATCCTGTTTTTTGTCGATTATGTCACGAAGATCTCATTCTGACAAATCGACGGTCTTTGTTCATAAAAACATTTGGATTACTTAACCAATTGACACAGATATTAGGCTACATACCGAACGAAAAGGACAATGGTTCTCGATATATCTGTAGATTGTGCTTTCAAAAACTAAATAAACTGCAAAAAATAGATCACGATTTAACTCATAAACTTAATGAGTTGCGAGAAGAAAAAAGTAATTTGTTGAGTGAATTACGATCAAAATATGAGGCTGAAGCCGAGGTAGTGGCATATAGCCCTCCTCACGAATCAATTTCAAATTCTGATGGTAAGTTTCATATTTTAAACATTTCCCTCCATTTATCTTCTACAATCAACATTTCTGGACTTTCCAGCAAAAAGGTGAAACAAGAAACCCCGGTTGTATCATTGTATCTTGATTCATCTTCACAATATCAAGCTATTATGAATTTCGTCTTATACCTTGACTGCTATAGCCACCTTTCTGCTAATCAGAGACTTGACAGATAAGATTCTTCTACAAACAGACGGTAATCATTGTGATTGCCTGTATTCGATAGTGTACAATCCAATCGCTGTATTTACAAACTTCTGTGTTCGTAGTAGCTTGACATTGTGAAGATGATCTCGAATACGGGTCTAAAATAAATCGCTACACTTCAATGTTGTGGGTATGGAAAGAGAGATTGGTTCTATTTATATCTGACCAATCAGACAGCGGTTTACGTAGAAAAGAAATGAAGAAGGGTGAAGGTCATGTAAATACAAAACACAAAATGGCGGAGGCGGGTGTCAAAAGTGTGAGAAAGTGCACACTATGTTTAAATCGCATAGTTGACGTGAAAAACTACAGGAATTTAAAACATGAGACATGTCAGCCGTTCTCTGCAGTATTCCAAGAATTATGTGTCCCCTTTTCTGGCTTTCTGTGTAAATTCTGTGGGAGTAAAGTGAATCGTTTGGTCAAACTTGATCTCGAATTAAAAACGAAGATGGATACTCTTCGAAATAATAGAGAGGCTGTCTACTCCGAATTAAGTCAATTGGGAGGTGTGAAAAGGAAAGGTATAAGCTTATGTATATCAAAACGTGACACTCTACTTTCATTTTGTTTACATTCTAGAACAAAGCGTATATCTAACGAGTGATTTGATTGGATGAGATTTTCTCTAGGCCTTGTCTGAGCAAGTTCGTCGGTATATCGAATTTTGCCCATTTTTTTATTATAAAACTGTGCTATTTAAGAAGGACTTTGCCTTATTAAGAGTATGAAAATGAGCACACATATTTTGCCGTTGGTCGTATTTGTGAACGCAGTACAGACCACATTTTATATCCTATCCGATTTTTAAGAAATATCCACGAGATCATGGTCACGGTCAATTTTGGGTACAATAGATAACGTAGAGTCAAACCTTGTTTTCTTTTCTATTCTCGTATTCGGTAAGAAAGAACCCGATTCGTTAATGTCAATGCATGAAAATACGGTAAATCGGCCAATAACTGAATCGATTAGCCTAATGAACAGTAGTGTTTCTTTTTACATCTTTTGTTCTTAGTAAATTGAAACAGTTTAAACTAATTAAAAGATTAGGGAGGGGACTAGAAAAATCAATCAACTACAGTTCATTTGTCACTTATTTAATTAATCATAATCTGTAAAAAAGGAGGTTATGTTACTATAAATAGATAGTATCACAGCAGGTGTTCCTCTCTGCAGACTTGGGTAAAATGTTTAAGTGCAGAGCAGACGATATATTGATCAAGATTAAATTGGTATCCATTGTAACATCTTCACTTTGTCACGCTATTTATATATAATGTGTCTTGCCAAATACCTTGACTACAATAGCCAATTTTCTTGTATCACAGACGTTTGTAAATGCAGCGATTTGATTGGCATGTAATCTACCGAACAAAACCAATCAGATCCCTCAAACGAAAATCTGTAAATGATTAAGCCATAATGTTTATAATCTTTCTGTGGAGGAACATTCATTCAGTCAAATCGCTGTGTTGCAAACATCTGTGATTCGAAAAAGTTGGCAGTCAAGGTATAACACGCAGTTCGTAATAGCCTGCCGTAGAGAAGAAGATATTCTAACTATACATAGGCACAAGGGTGATCAATATTTGAAGCTTGTCGACAATATCTCTCAACTTTAAACAAGAAATGTGCCAAATGATGTCAAGTTGTTTGGGAGTTTGTGAAGATGGTATGCTTATTCCGTGGCAGCCCCTCTTATATTTCCGTAGCATCCCCTCTTACATGCATCACTGGCAGGGGGAAACCGGAATGAAAAATCCGAACGTATTATATTGGCGAGCAAGCGTCTAATTCACTGAGCCACCGCGGCTCCACCAGGAAACTTTCCTAGAGGTGACGAATACAGTAAGAAACTTCCCACTCCCCCGAACACAGTTTCTGTGTATTCAGAGATTTATTTGCAGCATTTTGTACTCAGTACCGTTTTCACTCTCGATATCTGGGGACATGGCTTTCATGCGAATAAGACATAGAAACAGGATGAAGACTTGCGATATAGTTGATAATATGTGGTCTTCATATACGGGCTGAGTGATCTATTTGCAAACGTACATATGATTCAAAAGCATAGTTGAAATACGTCTAACCTCTAAAAATCGACCGAATCTGTCTGGCGTAGTGATATATATGTCGGTCAATTATGTTCTTGTCTGTTTCTATATGAAATGTAAACGACACTTTGTTTTTTTTAATCTATCTCCCTGTTACACTAGTCAAATACGTATATATATGGGTGTCTCTTTAACGTCTGCACTTTGACCACACCTTGTAGAATGGCCTAATTGTGAACTTATCTTGCGTTGAAATCGATCAAATTAGCACAACACGCATCGAACATCATATACACAGTAAAATGAAAGCCCGCCGATATCACTGGACTGTGAATACGTGGTAATAAACATAGACTCAGCCCCGTCGCCAGGAATGAATTGATGCTCCCATGGACCCCACCCTAACGACGGGGCTGGCTGGACTACCGTTACCATATTCCTTTTAAAACTGGGCTGATCAGATTTTATAGATCTCTTAACTTCTAGGCCCACTCGGGACAATCTTGCACACTGGTAAGCAAGCCTATGGCATAAATGTTTTCTGACTACAGGAAATTTTGCATAATTAACAATTTGCTTGCTTGCTTAATTTGTTTTGTCATATAAGGTAGGACTACAGTTAAAGTGATAAAATCCAAATCTCTCAGTGATTTGGCTGTCCATAGTAGAAGAGCGAGGGCATCAGAGATCCATTTTCATTATTAGTCCCAATTTTTTCCGTCAAAGTCAAAATTAGTGCGGGAATAATTGGGGTTAAAAAGAAATTCCTTGAAAGCACGGGCCCGGGTTGAGAACATGTCCATAGCTACGGGGGCAAGACCTGGTTGTGAACCATCAAATAGGTTTTGGTTGTTTGATTTCTTTACAACAGATCTCTTGATGTGAACAATGTATAACATTGTATTCAAACCGAACGTTACATAGTCAATATACATTAAATATATTTAATATCGTTAATTGACCGGTTAATATCAATTGATTCTTATTAAAGGCACAATATCTGCTTCAAGGCCACAGAGAAAACTTGCATTTGTTAGGCAATTGATATAAAAATTGTAATTTTGGTGTGATCAGAATTGAACTTTGGAATTTGCTTATTTCATACATAGGTGTTTTTAGTTTTTAATCAGCAGAGAATGTCTCTGTATTTCGATTTTGAAATCCGTCAGAATTTTGGCCTAAAAACTGAAATCAATGAAGCTGAACAAGGGGGAGTAACTCGCCATCTCGACATGTTGATTACCGCGTGGTGAGGCTTTCTCCTTCATTCATTATAAACTTTATTATTTGAGCCTGAATTCGCCTGGATTTTAACATTAAAAGTGCTTAGCTTTGATATTTTTCTGTGGAATCTTCTCAGGTAATTTGTACAATATTTTTGCTAGTTTTTGAGTGTATATCTTGGCAGTTGTTGGTATTTAGCATTTGGAGATATATCGGTCTCTTCCCGGGCCTGGCTGCCATCGACCGAGGCTTTCAAACAGGGTGAATAATAAGGTAAAAACAAGGCAAAATTTGAAGCCTTAAATCACTGATAGAGGGATTAATTAGGACTTGTTTAATAATACAGACATAAATGAAGTGAATGGTGGTTTTGATGTGGGAATTATCAAGACGTACAAGCCACGAGAAGGGATTTAAAATCGTGAATTTTCAGGCTGTCTGCCTACGCTAATGGCGTCTGGTTTATTTTTAGTAACAGTGTGTTATTGATGTAGTACAGTGTATAACAATGTTGAGTGAGAGAGAATATAGGCTGACTATACTCACTCTCTGACTGATGACTGGGGTATATAGGCCATGCGTTATACTGAACTTAACTACCGAGAGAGGGGATTATCATACTGGCTTGTAACTGAGGACTTTTTCAGCTGGGTTTTATCTTTACAAGTCTCTGACCGCTTTGAATTCATATTACAAATTTTTCTACATAAAATTTTAGAAATTTAGTTATCTACCTCAAGAAATATAAAAGCACAAATTTTAAAACACCAACTTTTTAATAGGAATGCCCATATAGCAGATCTTGAAAATCTAATGGAAAATATGACAGCACCAATTTGACAAGTCACCTGGTCAATACGAAATTGGGTACTTGGTAAAGTGTACTGCAGGGTTTTTTAAGTGGGTAATACATACCAGGCCAATATCAGAGAGTACTCCACCAATATTATTGAAGTGGTAATACTAACAGGGCAATATCAGAGAGGGCATTATTGAAGTGGGTAATACTAACAGGGCAATATCAGAGAGGGCATTATTGAAGTGGGTAATACTAACAGGGCAATATCAGAGAGGGCATTATTGAAGTGGGTAATACTACCAGAGTAATATCACAGAGGGCATTATTGAAGTGGGTAATACTACCAGAGTAATATCACAGAGGGCATTATTGAAGTGGGTAATACTATCAGGGCAATATCAGAGAGGGCATTATTGAAGTGGGTAATACTACCAGGGCAATATCAGAGAGGGCATTATTGAAGTGGGTAATACTACCGGGGTAATATCAGAGAGGGCATTATTGAAGTGGTAATACATACCAGGGCAATATTAAGTCCACCAATATTATAGAAGGCAATAGAAGATATGAGGGAGGGCACTATACAACTGGACAATATTTGAGAGGGCAAACATGCACCACTGAGTTATCTGAGAAAAACCACTATGTTTATTACATGCAGATTTCAAGTTTTTAATGATCCAAAAAAAGTTTCCGTCCAAATTAAGATTTCCTCGATCATATTATCTTCATGGGACCTATAGGTAGGTTGAAAAGAAATCTGAGATGTAGGCTATCCGTTGAATTAATACTTATGTAGATTCCTTATCTAATATATTTCAAATTTTTGTCATTTCAGAAATCAACGAAATGCCTCAGTTTACCTTTACAAATCGTCTGATGGAAAAGGCTTTGAGGCGTGCATTTCTAGATGGTGTCATGGAGATATATGAATCATCCAATCAGCCTAGAGTTTACAGTATTACCTTGGAGGGCACCTTGAGTTTATTTATCAACAAAACAGAAAAATTTTACATCAAACTTCAAGAAACTGCTGAAAGGGCTAAAGAACCAGATCATAAATTAGTGCCCAAAACCGCATTTATGAAACTGGCAGAGTCTGGTAGTAAGAGAGACACCCCTAACGATTGTATCGTAGGAACAAACTGCCGTGTTACTATGAAAACAGAAAAACTTCCAATTTCTAATCCAACCACAATCTCCACGACGAAAACTCCAATCATGACTTTTCAATGTAAACCTTTACAGAGAATTGCACCGAAACCAATCACCACCACGGTGACAGTTGTCTCACCGAAAGTTTCCGCAAACGACAAAAATACTTCCGTTTCTTACACTGTTTGTAACAATGAAGAGTTCTCCTTAGATAAAGTTAAAAAAGAACCCAATACTTCTGGTCATGTGTCGTCAACGGATACAACAGATATTAAAATTGAGCCAATGGATGATGATGAAGCTGTCTCATCGACCAATGAAAGGTTACCAGCAACGGAAGTCATGGTTGTACAACCAGAATGGGTTGTCGAAGAAGCTGATCAAGGTAGGATTTAGAAATATTTATAAGAAACAGAATTTTATTGCTGCTGATGAGCTCAAGGCTGTTTAGTCTTAAGATATTTTCAGTGTTTGGGGCCATTAATGGCTTCAATTTGTATCGTTTCAATTTTGTCTGTGGTTTTATGCAATTAAAGAATGTGGTTTAATGATTAATAAAGAGAACGAAAAAACAAAGAAACGAAAGTGTAATGTAATTTTAATTCAGTTAGGCTTAGGCTTATCCAGGCAGAAAAATTCAACCCTTGACAACCTCCTTCGATTGATATTTCAGGTATGAAGAGAGATAGAGATGAGGATGAGGAATCAGCGTCTAGTAGTAGTGACGATCCACAAAACAAAAAAGCCAAAGTCACATTAAAGAATCCCATCATGGCAATCAACATCGGGTCTAGTCAGAAGGACATGCTGTACTATCATAAAAACATAGTGGAATGCCCGCTGTGTAAGGAGCCAATCAACAATCAGACATTTCTTCTCCTCCATCTTGAAAAACATCGTAAAGATCTCGCCGAGGAATGTGATGATTGTAAACAAGAAGGGCGTCCAATCGATGCATTGCTTTATCATTTAACAAATTTCCACACCCCTGACGGACAACGCGAGACGGAATTTCAGAAAATTAAAGCCCCAACTTTGACCGCTGTGGAGAAATTTAACAATGATAGTAAAATCGATGCCTCGAAGATGGTGAAATTTATGCTGGAGAAGGATCGAGCTATGGAGGGTTCCTCGAGAAGTGTCAATCACGGAACTGTAATCAAACATGAAGTGATGGAGATTCCCAAATCTGGACCGGAATTTCAGATAGAGTACATCTGTGACCTGTGTGGAGGAAGTTACACGTCAAATAAAGAGTTAACGCTCCATTATCAGGCTGAACATGGAAATAGTTCTGGGTCGTATACGTGCCCGTCTTGTCCCGCCTGCTTCGACGATGTTTTTAAGTTTCAGGATCATCTCCTTGAACATCATAAAGATGAGGAAAAATGCGTCTGTCAACATTGTAACACAACATTTGATAAGTGGAAGGACCTCAAACATCATTTGTTAACTGTACATAGAAAATTCTTCGTATGTCCTCAATGTAAAGCATCGTTCACAGATGAAGAGAGTCTGAAGGAACATGTCGAAATGCACGAAGCAGAACGACCTGATTCTTACGAATGTGACATGTGTGATAAGTCTTTCCATTCGACAAAAACCTACAATGCACATCGTCGATCACATATTGATGTCAAACCTTATGTTTGCCCTATTTGTCAGTCTGCTTTCTTTAAACGGGGCGATATGGCGAAACACATGCGCACCATACACGAACCAACCAAGTTATACATGTGTAAGATATGTGGACGTACTGGCACTAGAGCTGATAACATGCGTGTTCATGTACGCACACACAAGAAAGAAATTAGCCGAGAGCAGGTCGATCAACTTCTACAGAAAGTTGATCAATAACTTGTCTTATACCAAAAATCTAAACTCTTTCAAATCAAATGTTACAAGAGATTAAAAAGGCTTTTTAAACTTTTTATGAGTATCAGGGACACTTAAAGCATCGATTTGCATCATTCCAATTTTTAATCAGACATCTGTGGTTCTTGCAATTTCCCTAAAACTAGGCATTTTATGACATCACTATTTATGGATTCTTATATATCACTAGCAGCTGTTGTGATAATGTCATAAATTGCTTATAATTGAAATGATGTAAATTGATGCTTTCAATGTCCCCAATACACATGAAAAATTTAGCAAACCTATAAAAAAATTCATTAAGGATATAAAAAAAGTCCTGACTCAGATTCTAGATTTACTGCTGCCAGAAAAAGTTTTCTGATTAGAAGCTTTGATCTCAGTTTTTGTCATCTGCCACCTGTTTCTCAAAAATACCTTTTATCTTATGGTCAGTCATTTTCATAAGTAATTTCTCAATGTACAATTCAGTAAATACTACAGATATCTATTGTCAGTTTATTTTTAAGAAACTTGGTCAGATTCTAAAAGTACAGTCAGTCTTTAGCCTATTAGTGTCATATGCAGCGCTCATACTTTACCTAAACTTTGACTCAAGTTAGACTTAAGTCGAACTTTAGGTATGCACCGGTCGATCTATACGAAAGTCATGCTTAAATTTGACTGTCAAATGTAGACAATGAAAGCCTTAATCCTAACTTTGTAAAGTTCGACTTTAGCCAAAGTAAGAGCGCTGCATACGGCCCCAAGTGTCCTAAGTTTAAGCAATAGAGTGAAAGTTAAAACTTGAAATTGAGTTGCCCTACAATAATTGGAGGACTGGCTTCGGAAACTTGTATTATTCACTGGTTTGGAACTCTTTATATATACTTGTGACAGGACTGGTTATGATTATCTTTCCTACTTATATACAGAATAGGCAGAGATTTAATTTTAGTCCTTTAAAGATGGGTTCCCTTATTTTCATTTATGACAATGAAAATACTAATATTTATATGAATAGAAAGTATTAATTATATAAAAAGACCAGTTTGTCTCACATGTCCATAATTAATTCATAATTTGCTAAATTAGAAGAGAATTACCAGCAGAATTCCAATGAATGACCAATCAAAAAAGGTCAAAAAGTCTTTTTTTGATTATCCAGTCTGCACATACATGGACATTTATGATTCTTAATTATATGCAATAAGAACATAATGATATGATTAAGAATACATGATAATTCATTAGAAACACCAATTAATCAAATAGTTTGCTTAATTTGACACTAAAAAATAAGGAAACACATCTTTAAAGCTTTGACTGGTAAGATACATCTTATATATATCTTCAAGATAGAAGTCTTGAATGGCATTTAATATTGATATAAAGACACAACTTTGTATATTGATCAACAATCAATTTTATGCAACATTTTGATTTTTTTCTTCCGTAACTACTTGTCTGAGGACTACAGGAATACCTGTCAATATTCGTTGCTTTAAAACGTTAACCAATGACTGTTGTTCCATTAAGCTGTGTCCATATACCTTAGTATTAAAACTTAAATGTAAATTTGCCTCGTGGGCATAATACGTAATCAACAGATAGGGCTACAGTCACAATGTTAACCTATTAAGAACTTATACCTTGACTGTAATAGGCACCTTTCTTGTATCACAGAAGATTGTAAATGTAGTGATTTGATAAGATTGTACACCAGCGAGTACAACTAATCATAGGCTTTGACAGAAAGACTGAGAATACAAAGCCATAGTGTATACAGTCTTTATGTCGAGGGCTGTGATTGGCTATATTCGCTGCCTTACAATCCAATCAAACCACTGCATTCCATCATACAAGAAAGGTGACCATTACAGTCAAGGAATTGTTTAAATGTTTTGAAATGTTCAAAAAATAGTGAAGATGGATGATTATCAATCAAAGATTTTGATACTATTAGATAATATTACGAAACATGAGGTTAAAACTTTTGGAGGGTTTACAATGTTATCAGACAGAAACTGATAATTTTTTTTTTCAAATTTTCAATTTTACTTTGAATTTTTACATCTTTACATATTTCATTATCACTTTTACAAAAAAGATTTTTGTGAGTCGTCATTTATTGGCTTTACAACTAATTTTTATTTAAAAAAAACTTGAATTATTTGCTGTATAAATTCATTGTTGTCTCTGTTGAAGTGGATAGAAGAAAGAGGGGAAAGAAATAACTAAGCTTTGAAGCTTTTCATCTAGCGTAACAACTCTGTCCCTACCCTTCCTTGTTTAGTGATAAGATCAGTGGTGCGTCTATAAATCATCAGGTAGAGTGGGGGCCACACAATTGTCATGAGGGGCTGATAGCATTGGACTTTTAAGAACTCGATGATACTTAAAGAGACAGGTCTGCCATTTGGTGTTTGATTTTAGTCCTAAATATATGTAAATAGTCTTCAGAAGTACTAGAAATTTTACTAGGAATTTTACTCACTATTTCTATATATGTCTTTTCTATATATCACAGTGTATCTTAAATAGACGAGTCATCATTTTAACATTCAAACACAGATAATTCTGGACACACATGGAGTTGAAGGCTCAAATTTTGATGGTGAGCTGTGAACACTATTACTGATTGGCTCAGCTAAAAACTTCAAGTCTCTGAGACTAAAGTATGATTGGTCTAAAAAAAATAGCTTACCCGTCCCTTTAATATATACTGAGGGGGGAGTGGGCAAAAGTCGGACTGGCCTTATTTTTGGGGGAAAATGCCACTGCACAATATCACATCTGAGGAAGTTGGTAGGGTAAGAGTTGTTGGGTTATTTTATCATGAACCATGAAGATTAGATTATTCCGGAGAATTATTACAATGTTTAGGTTGATTTCTCAAATCTTCAGAATAGTTTAGTAATTAATTCATCTGATTGGTCAATCATTAAAATCTTATTGTTATTAAAGTTAAATTAACCAATCAGATGATATTTCTTAAAATCTGAAATTTTTTTGAGAAACCAGCCCATACTTTATGCTTTACACAAACCATAATTTGTAAATGCAATATTTTTTCTCAATTTTGAAATTATTTTAATTTTGAATATAATTTAAAAAGAAATTATTAAAAAGCACCCCCACCCCACCCCACCCCTCCCTCTTCTCTTCTATCAAGAAGTCAGCAAGCTGTTAATTTGTCTCTATATATATAATGTGAATGTTTATATTAGAAGCTAGAAAAATTTGTATATTAAATATTTCAACTTGTATCTTTTGTATCTTATTTTTATACGCCCACATGAAATCACCCATGTCCGTCTGTCAGTCCTTCCACAATTGCTCGTAAACACTCTACAAGGCACAATTCTTGACTGATTTCAATGAAAATTCTTATGGTTGTTTGTGATCACCCAAGGATGAACCCTATTGAAAATCAGAAAAATCGAAAAATATTTACTATGAGTTATTGCCCTTGTTCTTGAAATGCTCGTAAACACTCTAGAAGGTACAATTCTTGACAGATTTTCATGAAACTTAGTGTGAGTGTTATCACCCAAGAATAAACCCTATTGAAAATCAGAAAGATTCAATTCTTGACAGATTTTGATGAAATCTGCCACTCCACCACTGCAATCTTAAATGAACATCCCATTATTGACTAGATGAGTATCCTGTTTTCCAGCTGATCCTTGGCCTAACCTCTTGACATTGATATTTCAGGACTAACTTTACTTACTTACAACAGGGTAAACAGTGTTTACTAAACACAGACTGTTTAACACAACCACTCAACTAATTTTGAAATAATTACAAAAGGCCTCTGTTTCAAGACATAGTTTGATGAAATTAAAACTCTGTAATGTAACAGATAAATTTTAATCATGAAAATACACAAAATATTGAATTCAACCATAAATTTTATTTTTACAAAAATTACAACAAGACTATAATAATTGATTATAACAATTAATTTTGCTATGTGTACCACTTTTTGGTATAAAATCAGATTCTGATTTGCCGTCAATGAAAATACACACCTGTTTGAAAATTGATGACAATCTGAGTTCTGAGTAGGGTTTGATATGCAAAGCTTATGATGTCACTGGTTACATTTGAATAGGATATTAATGACTAAAAATCTATGGTACATTTGTATTTATTTGTATACAAACCGTATGCCAAATTTTCATTCTGAAAAGTAATATGGATGGCTGAAATTGAGTTTTATCAACTGGTGAAGCAAAAATTTAGACAACTTGATTCCTTTAACAAGAATATATTCTAGATAACATGAATGTACACAATACATAGTCACAGAAAAACAATATTTCAACACCTCAATATTACAAAAATTTCAAAAAATACTCTGTGTACCTTTATTCTTAATATCTCATCAAAATATAACCTAAAAATTGAAATAACTTTGGAATTCATAAAGGTGAAACCTGGAATGTTTTTAAGAAGTGGACGGTTGATGGATTTTTTTAATTTATCACAAAAATGAAAAATTAATATAACAACTTTATAATAGCACTTTGATTTCAAATGATCACATTTTAATTGGACGATTTTTAAGTGGGTGGTATCATAGTATAACAATTTGATTGGGTGATTTTTAAGTGGGTGGGATCATAGTATAACATTTTAATTGGACGATTTTTAAGTGGGTGGGATCATAGTATAACAATTTGATTCAATTTGGCGTGTGACATGATGTATGTCGGCAATCGTATGGACCGAGATCTCAACGAAACATTATACAAATATATTAACAACATCAACAAAAATAAGCATAAATAAATTTAACAATTTTTCAAATAGATTTCATAATATTTGATATGTTGGTAAATTGTGCATAACATTTCAAGGACCGTGGGGGGGGTACGATACGAGGGTTAAAAACAAATTTGGAAAATTTGGAAAAACGTCCTACATTTCTGCTCCTTATGGAATAAAGTCAAAGAACAAGTTGCAGTGTACAATGACGGAAATTAAGCCAGGAGAGTCTCTATAGCCTATACTAATTATATTTTTTGATTATGCACTGAATCATTATCAGAAACTACAAGTTTTGAAAGTAGATATCATGGCAATGAGTCAAAGAGAATCTGAGAGGAATTTCAGATACATTATCTTTTTAGAAATTTTGGTCATCATTTCAAAAGTGAGTGATCCATAAGCACTATGACCTTTGACCTTTATAGCCTATACTAATTTTTTTTTCTTCTGATTACTGGTATATACTGAATCCTTATCACAAACTAGGCAAAAAGAAGCTGAGTGGATTTCAGATACATAATTAAAACAAAACACAAAACATTTCTAAAAATTGGTCCTTGTTTTGAAAGTAACGCTACAGCCTTGTACGTAACTATCAGTTTGGTGACGTATTTTGAATCCTATATTAAAACATCTATAAGACTAGAATGGACACTAATAAATAGACCAATACATTTAAATATTGTTACTGAAATAACTAGAGTAAATAGGAGACAAGCTATATATAGAGTAACATTATAGGTGTGTATTATATTCACAAATATACAGTATATTAACATCAACACTGTTGTTCAAAAAACAACAACTGAAGAGACAAGATATAGCAATGTATCCATCCTACCATTTAAAAACACTGTGCAGCTCTTTTGAAGACATGACAAGCAAAGATATTTATACATCTGTGTTTGATTCAAAATATAAAAACAAACAGTCAACCTTATTTGAAAGTAGTGAAAATACAAATCATTACAATATAGATATTCTACCTCAATATAAAGTTGACTGACTGGGTTTATATTTAAGTCAGACCTGGATGTGGACTAATATCATTGATTGACTATATTATATTCAGTTGCTGTGTTGATAAAGAACTTAAAGCTAATAGGTTAAAGAAAAACCTCGGGACAAACTTGTTCACCACTATTACAGTATCATCAAACTCTAAGTGTGGAATCTACCTTTTTATTATGAGAACTTCATTATTTGTCCTACTTTTCACCACCTTAATGGCCAAATGAATATAATGGGTGAACTATTTAACAGTAGGGAAATATGAACATTAGAAACTGTTTGAAAAGGATACAAGATTTGCTAGACATAAAATTAAATACTTGTTTTTATATCACAGTAATAACTATTTATAACAACAAAACATCATAATTTTAACAAAAACTCAAAAAAAGAAAAGAAAATATTTAACTCAAAAAGGAATATAGTTGTATAATTTTTATTGTATTAGCTGAAATACTTCCTCATGTTAAAAGTTCATTAGCTGCTACCAATGTTTTAACGATATGTTGTTTTGGATTTCGGGTTTGGTTTTGAAGTTTGGATCATTAGTACTTGGTGTATTTATTGTATGAAAACTGTAGGATTTGAAAAGCAATTACTGTATAGATACCAATCTGCACTAAATAAAACTGAGTCATCTTACTAATCTGATTGAGATTGGACTTATACAGAAGGCAATGTCTTGCAGTACGCAACAAGGTGAATTTTGTCTGAAAATCCAGGGTAAAAACAGCTATTTCAATAAAAATTAAGATATCTATATGACTTTAACTAGAAAAATCTGTAATAACTTAATGTGAAAAATCAAAATACACAAAAACATCAACTTAACAAGAAAACAGTAATACAAAAACATATATTTCAATTATTTGCTTTATCAAAAGTTATGAACTTTCCTTTAATTTGAAAGAAAATATAAGACAATTGACAAAACCATACAAAATCAAAGAATTAGATTCACCCAGAAAATAACTGATCATAAATATAATTTCTATAAATAGATATATAATTATCAATAAGTTTATCAAAGTGAGTGAAAAATATAATTTTAATTTGCGTAGCTATATTGCAATCATTTTAGTGATAAAGTTTTTGAATAAATTTTTAAGACAGATACCTTATATTCATCGTATCATGAATTCAGGTTTTGACATGGTCTTATAAACTCGTACTAAACTTTGTTTTTGGGCCGTGGAAATGAGATGGGTGGTATTTAAATCTGACCAATCAGATGGGTAGAACTGAAAGGTTTTTGAATGAATTTTTAAGACATCATACTTGAAAATTTGATTTTATTTTTTAACAAAACTTCATGTCTACTATATAGAAAGTTTTTAATATTCCTGTGAAATATATATTGATCACTTTTTGACACACAATGAAGTTTATAAAAAGTGAATTTAATATCTTATGAAGTAAGTAATGGGTTTAATTTTTTATATGTATTTAAATACAAAATATGCTGAGTTGACAAACCTTAATACTAAATAAATAATATTAACTATGTGGACACTCCCAAAGAAATGTCAATTTGACAAACTTAAACTTGAACTCTCTGAAAGGAGTGTCGAGTTGACAAACATTAATACCAAATAATCATGTTTAGCTATGTGGACTCTCTGAAAGGCGTATTGAGTTGACAAACATAAATACCAAATAATCATGTTAAACTATGTGGACTTTGTTGAGTTGACAAACTAAAGCATCAAGTGGTATCAAGTGTCTTTTATGGCTTGAATTGAACCTTGAAAACTTGACATGAAGAAACCCCCAGCCTTGTCTTGTAAACCTCTAGTTTGTCATCATTCTTTACATACACTGAAAAACTCTTCCTGACCTTCTGTTTTAATCAGAGTTGCCTCCCCTCCTCCTGGTTTATATGTCTCTAAACTACGGAACACTTCTTTCGGATGTTTCTTAGAATAAGCTTCAACATCTGAAAAAGAGACAAATCATATCAACCGATAGAAAAATTGAATGAAAATTACCATAAACCAAAATAAATGAAGGAGTATTTCTTGTTGTTTTCTTGTGGAGATCTGAAAATGAATTAATATTCAATAACTGTTAATTAGATACAGATACACTAGAATATTGATTCAGTATTAACATTACTACATTTTATTTTCTTACCTTTTAAAACAAATCCAGAATCTGCGATGGTTTTGCCCTGTTTCCACAGTGTATATAGATAATAGTAGGACCCAATATAAAAATCATTGACTGTAGACATCACATCTTTTCTTTTATTTATCTCTCTACAATTATACAACAAATAAAATAGATTTTAACTTGTGTTCTGGTCAAAAATATTATATATAAAACTACATACCGTGGGTGAAACCCTGTATATGCCATATTTGGTCACTTTGATTTTTTGGTACCGTTCGAATTCGAAAGCTCTTAAAAGTGCGGATGTTATAATCAAAAATTCATTAAAATAATCTCAGACTTCTCATGTCTTGGACAAGTATATATAGTGTAAGACATATGTTTGTATTGAATGTAATGTTGCTTGCATATTTCCATCTACAAGTCTCAAAATGACCCTTGTCCAACAGCAACACAGTGACAAATTCTTTCAGCTTATATTAGATATTTTTTATCCAGGGATGTTAAATTTATCACTTCTTTGGTCCTCAATGTAATTCAATATGATAAAATAAAAAAAAAACTTACTTGTTTAAAAAATCTTCTCGTAAAGATTGTAAACATATTCTACTGATATTAATACCCATAACACAAAACGGGAAATTCTACAAAAATATTATATATTATCAAACAGGTAATTCAAATTTGGTGAGCTTCTTTGGTGAAAGTGTTAAAAACAGCAAAGTAAGCAAATTCATGAGACATTCATTATCAATATAATCATTATAGTCATATTATATGTTATTTTTATAATTCACAGAAATAAAACTAAAAGGGAAACACTATGCTGACTATAATTCAATAGTTTTGTTACTTTCTTTAATGCACCTCCAGTTTGGTGAGGTCTTTTCTTGGTATGTATATGCCCAAATATACAGTATGAGTCCATCTGGAATCAGTGAACACCTAATGAATTGATTTTCAAATAAGTAAGGAGGAAATCTTTAGAAATAAGTGATGAGAATAATTGAAGCCAGGAATGTGGGCTGACCTGTGTAGGATGTAGGGAGAGTTTATAGATATCTCGAGCTATCTGACCATATTTAGTATGCTGTAGGAAGTACAATAACTGAACTAATCCCAGAATTCCAACACCTCGTAGATCGGTACCAGGATCGCTACCTATAAATACAATATAATTATGTTAATATTGAGGTGGATATGATAACTAATACAATTCTAGCCCAACTTTAGGTGTTTCAATCAAAGTAATTAATCACCTAGCAGACTGCAACCGGAGCTATTCCACTGCGGCAATGTACATGGGTATGATAATGGGTAAACAGTCAATATTTGCACATTTATATTTGGCATAATGACATTTAGGCACACTTTCAATTAGGCACATATCACTAACAGGTGTGATGTTTTCTGTCTAACTATCTAAATAAAAATATAAAACATACCTTGAAATCCGATCTCTTCCCAATGTGAACCTATTCTTGGTGAATCAAACCTAGAACCTGTTAATATTCTATAAATACTCTGTAACATTTTACCATGGCTAGGCTGTTCATTATCTATACAACCTACAGATAGAAAGAATGAATGAATGAATGAATGAATGAGTAAATGAATGAAAGAATGAATGAGTAAATGAATGAATGAATGAGTAAATGAATGAATGAATTAATTAATGAGTAAATGAATGAATGAATGAATGAATGAATGAATGAATGAATGAATGTTTGTTTTTGCACATCTTCCTTTTCTTTGCATTCAATAGAGCTAATGAGGAATGTCAATGAATGAATTTTTTCCAGGCATGAGGCATCACCCTGCTCATTTTCAACCTAACTGTCAAGAGATCTTTAAAGTGAACAGATGCTTTTCCATGTCAGCCACTCCGAACTATATCACGGACAGGGGGAAACCAGGCAGAGGGTTCATTGAATTGGAAAATCACTATCAAATCAACAACACTAGCCATCAACACAGAAAAATAAACTCAACTTACTTGCTGAAAGACAGAAGATGAATTCCCTCCCTTTGATTAAGTCACGATTTAATTTGGGTGGTCCAAACAGAAAGTGGACAACAGCTGTTATACCAGACCTATCAACTGATGTTCGTAATGAGTTCTGTACAGAGGTATAATCAGCCTGTTGTAACGTATTGTAAGCTTCTTCATATGTATACAGTGGAGTTGATTTACTGATGGTCTGGTCACCTTTAAAAATCAAATATCAAAAAATTGTAATTTAGATGCCTTGTATCTAAGTCAAGGGCAATAACCAAAATCCATTCATTAAAACTTTGTCATATTCAAACTCATCCCAGATCTTTATTGTATTTCTCATCATAGAGAATATTCAGGGGTGAAAAGGGCCAGGTGCTGTTTCCATCTTGTCATTATTCTGGTATTTCTCAAGGTAAGGCTTGATTTTGATATCTTTTTCCATAATTTCACAAAATTTGCATGATGATGCATTATCAGGACTTAGTGCACAGACCAAAACAGACATTAAATAAAGATTTATTAAATAATTACCTTCTGGAGGTCTTTCACCCTTAAATCCTACAACAAAACAGTTCAAAATTACAATCAAAACCTAAACATTATCTGAGATAGAGTTCTTCAACTCTTAAATTGGTGTTAGCTTTATTAAAACAGGAATTGTGTCTTAACCCTTTTTTTCATTGGTTTCCCTTGGCTTTGTCTTCTATTGTGAATTCATCTATGATTTTTTCATCAAAATAAGGAATTAACTATTGTTTTATGAACTCTGTGTGCTTATAACTGTGTCAAAAAATGTTCCATTTTTAAACTCCATTTAACTAACTATTTATTTATTAGAGATAAAGATTGGCTTAGTGACCTGTAATCCCTGATTATCATTATTAACCTACCTGGTTGTATAGTCTGTATATTGTCCCAATCTTCTACTGTAGAGATTATTACATTAGACTTCATTCCATCAGCCTACAAACAAACAATTACAATTAGTCACATTATAGAGTAGGTATCAGTTAAGACAGTACTGTATAATTGTAAATATGGAATATATAACGCATCTAGTGATTCTTTATAACACGTAATAACACGTAATAACACTGTCTGTATGAACATAATATAAAACATTGAATTAAGGAATGTAGGCTTCACCATATATATCCTGTGTTTTCTAATAGTATGCAAGTTTTTGAAATAATGATAAGTTTTGAAAGATTTACCTGCTGAGGAGGCTGAGTTTGAGTATTATCAGGTATATTGGCACTGGCATCACGACTAGAGGCTCGCTTCACTCTTATTGGTGCCACGGGCGCAGCTTGGTCTGGAGTGGACTGGCTGGGGGTAGGGTCTACATTGTTTGTGCTTGGGGTTACAGGAGCAGCATGGTTTGTGCTAGGGACTACTGGGGCTGCCCTGTTTGTGCCAGGAGCTACAGGGGCAGGGCGTACAGGAGAGATAGGTGCTGGGCGAGCAGGGACTGGTTTTGAGGGGGCAACAGGGGCAGGGCGAGCTGGAACAGAAACAACTGGAGCTTCAAAATCAAATTCTGATTCATCTTCATCTTTCTGATCCTGGAACAAAACAAGTTTTTTTTAGTAGATTAATTCAAAATTTGTTTAATCAGCTGATAGACCACAGTCACAGCTCTCCCTGTCACTTTTCAGAAACAAATTCAAGACCAGGAGGCGTATTCTTTAAACAATCTTGGTGCTAGGATGTCCCAGGGTCTTATCTTCTAACACTGTTTCTAGGATGGCTTAGGATCTTAACTTCTTACACTGTTTCTAGGATATCCTAGCGCTAAATTGGTTCGAGAGTACGTGGCCTGGTTCTCTTAATTCTAAAATTGTGCTAACAGTGAAATCGAATCAGAATTTATTATCTGGAAGATTTTTAGCTGTAAGGATTCTGATCCACAACACCTAAATGTCTAGCAGACAGATGTCTTATCCAACTCACTACCAACTTTTATAGTTAATCTGCCCACAAACTGAGCTGTGAGAGAAGACACTCCTTTACATATGCTCTGCAGCAATTATTAAAATAATACCTTTAAACTGGTAGTAATCTGACTGAGGTCTATAGAATCTTCAATCAACTCATCTTGACTCTTTATACCTTCTACAACTCCATTTTTATTGTTTACATCTGAAAAAAACAACATATAATAGTAGAGAACAGATATAGTTTGAAAGAGTTATTGAGGTACTTGCTACAATGATTAATAGGTATTATTAGTGGTAATGATAAAGTATCAATACAAGACCACATCAAATGATACATGTATATGACATGTTGTATTGTAATGTACACCTTCACAGATATATTGTGCCAACCCTAATACATCGCATACACATGATATCACTCTGCATCTGGATTAGTTACTGAACACTTCTTTAATACTCAAGCAAGTCCACCTACTATGATATATTTCGTGGGTGACCGCGTGAAACCCTGTATATGCCATATTGGGTCATTTTGACTTTTTGGTACCAACGCTCTTAAAAGCGCTGATCTTGTGATCAAAACCTCTTTTTCTTGGCTTGATTGTAAATAACCCAAAACCACCAATTAAATACACGTATATAAACAGTCAGATTTAAAACCCTGTTATACGAGTTATTGGTTAAATAAGCCGGAGTACTCAAATTGTTATACGAGATTTCAATTTTCAAAGAATGAAAACCATGTATAGTGGTAAAAAAAATAATAAAAAATATTTTAACAAAATACACGTACAAATAGTTTTTTTGCGTTTTTCTCAAAAAGTAATTTTGCATCATATATCGTTATACGAGGTTTCAAGCAGTCACCCACCATTTATTGTATCAGTGACAAAATTGAATCAAAATGAAATGAATGGAGTTTTACATCCTACTTTTCTGAACCATACAAAACAAATCAAACGGAACCTTACCATCATTAAAGTGTAATGGAACATCAGAAATAGAAACCCCTACATCTTCTCCTGACACCTGGAATATATCATATTAATGTTAAGAAGAAGTTGGTTTCAAGTAAAGAAATTCGAGATTGTAAAGAGGATTTCAAAACATGCTATGTGTACATGTAAATCATTTCTAAATTTACAGGAACTACATCTGACCAACAAAATGGAAAGGTGCAAAAGCTATCAGTGTCCCTGATACACGTAAAAAGTTACAAAAAAACCTCTTCGAATGAATTAAATAACTACCTCAAAATGCAGACTTTTCAGCCAACATGTGCAAAAAACCCCTCAGCATTCTACATTTTGTATTTTTATCACAATTTAATAGTTAGAAAAGCATATCAGTTAAAGAAGTGCTAGAAGAGACCTAGGTATTTACATACCTGTTTCTGAGAACTATTGTGAAGATCAGGTAAACCTAACGAGGGCAAGATGTCAGGTAATGATGGTTTTACATCCAGCACAGGTGTAGAACCATCAGTTGACTGGTTGACTGGAATCACGGTCTCATTGGTTGGTTTATCGGCCAGTTGAAAATTGTTTAATTCTTGTGATTTGTTGGAGACATTCTGGTCCACTAAATTCGGTACTTGGTTGATGGTTGAAATCATCAATAAATCTGGATTTTCAACACCTTTTGTTTCCAATATCATGGCCTGCTCAAAAGGCATGGAATTTCCGACAAAGTTAGTCCCTGATTGTGAAGTTATGTCTGTGGTTTTGTCTGCTATAAATTGATTGGTACTGGAAAAGTTTTCAGAATTGTTGAAAGCTGCCTCAATTTCTGGTTCAATTTTGGTTTCAACTGAATTAAGAATGCTGGTACTTTGATTTGATTGGCTGTTGAAATTGTTAGAATTGTCTTTTGATTGATTATTTGAACTGCCATGAAAGGGATCATCCCCAAAAATATCATCATAATTCAAAACTTCGATGTTGAATGATTTAGAATCATTAGGGGACAGTTCAGAGGTCTGTTGTTGGATTTCTATGGAATCTGGTAATGTGCTTTGGTTTTTATAAGGGGCAGCAGAAAAGGGATCAGCATCTGTCTGGTTCTTGTATTCTTTGGAAATAACTGCTGCAAAATCAGTGCCAAAAGGATCATTTTGAGGAATTCCCTGAGTTTGCAAAGACCCTAGATCTTGAAATGGGTCTAAAGGTTTATCTTCAGTTTTGACAGAGGAAAAGACACCTCCAAAAGGATCCTGGTTTCCACTTTCTAACAAATTAGTTGCATTATTTCCTTGGTCTTGTATGGTTCCAAAAGGATCTGAATTTTGTGCAGCATTGGCTTCTGCCCCAAATGGATCTTGAATACTTGTAGAAGTAGGCACCATCCCGAAGTTGTCAGAGTTGCTTGATGGATTTGCTGTTCCAAGGGGATCTGGGTTATCTGAGTTGCTTGGGGGATTTGCTGTTCCAAATGGATCTGAGTTGCAAGGTTGATTTGATGTTCCAAAGGGATCTGCATTGCCAGATGGGTTCACTGTTCCAAATAGATCTGAGTTGCCTGGCAGATTTGCTGTTCCAAATAGATCTGAGCTGCTTGTTGAGTTTGACTCAGCACCAAATAGATCTGAGTTGCTAGGTTGATTGGCAGTTCCAAAGGGATCTGCGTTGCCAGGTGGATTGGCAGTTCCAAAGGGATCTGAATTGCTAATAGGGTCCAATCCTGTTCCAAATGGATCTGCAGCAGCATTTTCCCCAAGTTTATTGGAAGAAAAGGGATCTAAAGGTGCGAAAGTTGATTCAGGAAGTACGTCTGGATTGTCTCCCATTAAGGCACCAAATGCGTCTTTATCCTCCTGTTTTGTGAAGCTGCCAATTTCATTGGGTTTAATAGACACAGCAGGAAGATTTCCTTCTAAATCTTGAACAGGATCTTTTACCTGGTTGTTATTTGAAAAGGGATCAGGTATCTGATTTTTGGATGGATGTCCAGTCGATTCCAGGTCACCAAATGGATCATTATTGAAGGCTGTATTTGTAGACAGAGAGGCACCTTGTGAAAGAGCTCCGAATGGATCATTCAATGCATTCTTGATATTTGTTTCAACAAGTTGAGTAGAGCCTAAAAGATCTGGAAAATTATCCTGTTTGTGTCTATTTAATTCCTTGATTGAGTTGTCAGTTAAACTGGTTTTAAACGGGTCAAAATTCTTGTCTTCTCCCACAAAATCTTCAGAATTTTTCAAATCAAGAACTAAATCATCCACATCTAAAGCATC